TCATTAGTGTACCCAAATTATTATAAGGAATCAAGTAGGGATTAGATTACTAATCCATTACTATATCAATCTGAATAGTTAATCAAGTCCCAGAAAATGTTGTCTTTTTATATATATCTGGTTCTATCAACTATTCAATCCGCTATCGTAATTGATTAGTAAACCATACCTCAATTTATTATTTGTAGTGATTTGGTCAGACTTCATGGAATATTTAGGATAATATGGTATAGTGGTAAATGGCACAAGTATTATGAGAAGTGGTGATAAATGGGTGATGTTTCAATAACAATAGGTATTTTTAGATTTAACTAGAATTTTATGTACTCTTGATGCTGATTGCTTTTTGTTATACAATAGATTTTGTGTCAAGATACGTGGTATATGGGTGGATTTTATATCATAATCACTCACACTAATAATTTCAGGAAGTCTTTATGTTGAGAATGAGCGCCTTTATTCATTGGATATATAGTAAACATTCTCAATATTATATTAAACAGATTTAGTATACAAAATTATAATAAAGTTCTTTGCTTTTTTTCTCTATATACAACATAGAAATAATAATATACAAAGATTGTAAATAAGATAAAAATAATGTATGATGAAATCCTTGGCTTTATATATGTTAACATTCAACCATTTTCCTCTACGAATAGTAAGATATTTAATAAACAAACTCAACAACCTTTGGTGACCTCTCAACGATTATTACCCAACAATTTATCGTTTAGTGTCTGCTAAAATCTTATTGTTCTATCTATTTCATTATAAAACATTTTATTTCAACACTTTATAATCTTTTTGTAGTTGTAATCGGTAATTTCTTAGAATAATGTTGAGTATTATTTATAAACTTCTTAATGTTAGATATTGATTACTTTGTCCTTCTTGAACAAAGAGAGTAAACTGTATTTGACAGTCTTGTTGTTTAATACTTTCACAATCTTAAACGGAGCTAAAAAAAATTGTATTTTTAAATACTTCCTTCCCCTGAAATATACTTCTCTAATAAGCAAAATAAAGCCAGCAACTTTAAATTTAGTAGGTTTCTGTGAGGATTGTCTTGAGTCTCTAGCATTTTTTGGCGATCTGATAAATAGCTACAGGTACATAAAGTAAAGGCTTGTAGTTTTTTGGTTAATTTAACAGCAGTATTCCTTCTAGCAGAAGATTCACTACCAATGTCAATAAGAGGTTCGTGGAGAATAAATCCAATATCAATTTTAAAGGGGGCAGTTCTATCAGCAGATTAGAGAGTGGAATTGTATACAAATTCTAAATCTGGTAAAAAGATATTATTGGACTCCTGTGGTCTTAAACGTTGAACACACATCAGATCTTTTTAGTTTATATATATATCTTTTTTTTATTTATTTGTACATATTATATATATACATAAACATTTATGTTGTATAAAAGTAAATAGATTATCTTCTTATATCTTATTTTTTCTCTCTTTTGAAAATTTATGCTCTTTTTTTATATATCTAGACATTGCATATAGAATTATTGGCATTATAAAATTTTCTGATTAATAAAAAACTTTTTTAATATACAATGATTATAATAATTATTCCACCACTTTCTTCTCTACTTGAGTAAACAGTTATACTGAAATTTCTATTTCCATTAGTTTATATATTGAGGAAAATATTTATTGTAAATTATCACCATAGTAAACAGTCACTTCATTAAATGAATATTTCCTATTATAAAATAGATGTTTACTAATAATTAGCGGAATGCTTGTTCAAATTTGAGAAATATATGATAATTATAATTTTTTATTGATATCTGATGGAATAATGGTGACTTTAACTGTATCTCTGCATAAAAATAAACTATATTTTTGTTTTTTTTATTGGCTTAATCGTAGTTCAGTCTTAATAAAAAATTATACTTCATTTTGTCCTCTAATAAAGTAAAATTAAATATAGTAATTAATGAAAATATTTTTGTGAACTTTTTTTTTGCTGAAAAATTGAATTTATTATTATTATTGGGAACATAATACCAATATTTTGGACTCATTTATTTATTTTAAGCTTGATTTAATAATCTAGAGTTTGATTTAAAATGGAAAAAATAAAAAAACCTATATTTGATATGCATACACTAAAAGTTTATAAAAAGTATGTTTAATAATGTTAAAGAAGGATTCATTTACTATATTTAGTATTCCTGGTCCATAGAATTTGTATATTTCTTGTTCAGATTTTAAAATACACTGGAATTGAACTTTCTTTTATTTCACCAAAAATATATGCAGAAAAGTGTTAAGAACTATCAGTGACTGTATTGATAAATTCCATTATTTTTTTTTTAAAATTTTTATTATTAGGTTCCTTATATGCTGCACTAGTGTTTGATTGTTTAAAAAAATTGATCTCAAGCCAATAATAATTTAATACTGCTTTAATATTATGTTTTGGTTTACAGGAACTTTGATTGAAGAAATTTGTAAATCTAGATTCCTCAGAAATTTGATTAAAAAAATGAGTGAGTTTAAGACGATAAAAATATTTTCAAAATTTTGGTAAATTTAGTTAACATAACATAGCTTCAACAGTAGCATAGTAAAGGTTATTCTATAATTTTGAGAGTATTATTTTTAAAGTATGGTTAATACTTATAGACAAATTTATCTTAACAATTAAATTTTTTCAAATAAATCATTTTCATTCTTTTCTTTTATTGATTATATCTTGCTTACAAACAAATTGTTTCTAAAAAAATTGATTTTTGTTTTTGATTTTTATTGACTATAGCCAAATTTTGATTTAATAGTCAATTCAATTATTAAAATTATTTTATCAGTTAAAATATTATTTTCTTTTCAATGAGATTTTTATTGAATTCTAGGTTAGAATAAAAAACAATAGTTGTTACATTAAAGGCCGAACTTTTTTGTTAATCTATTTTTTTTTTAATTATTTAATCTTTCTTTTAAAGGCAGTTGGTTTTTTTATAATTAATACAACAAGCCTTTTTTCTACAAATATAATATGTGTTTAGAAAACTTTGAAAAATGATTTTATTTAAAATATTTGTTGTTACACAGGTCTTGGCTTCTATTAGCAGTAGAAAAAGTTTTATTATTTTCTGTCATAATTTGTCCTCTGGATGAATAATATTAGTACACATGTTTTTAGCGTCGGTGCTCATATTGTATGTTATTATTATGTATTATTATTATGTTGATATGTAGAGTAATTTCCCCTCCATCTCTTGATTGGGAATTAATAATTATATAAATACAAAAAGAAACATATAATAAAATGTATATAACTTATTCATCCAGATTGGAAAATTAATAAGTAAAATCGTCTACTTATATATGTTTACCTTTTGGCAAATCTTCATAATATATTAATTTATTTTTATTCTGTTTGATCTTATCTCTGTAATATTAAATGTGCAAAACAAACATTTTTCCTCTTTGATATATTTATATGTTCCCCAAACAGGTAATATATTATTCCAGCAATGAAAATAAAGATATTCATATAAATGATATGGAATTAATTTCAGAGATAACTAACCCATATTTCACTTCTTTATATAATAATGTGCAAAAGAAATTAGAAAAAATTATTTGCAAAACATTTACGCCTTTTTAAGAAAGAAAAACTAAACATAAAGACAAACATCACAAAAATCGTGATAACCAAACCATTTTCAACATTAATTGAAACAGACGTTTAAAAAAAACAAATTGTTATAACACCCTATTTATAATAATATAATACAAGAAGCAGCCCTTCACTCATAAATCCATATCCACTCGAATGAAGTATTGTTGTTATTCCAATAAGATTAATTGTTATCAGACACACATAACCATAGGGTTATCACAATCGATAAAAAAGAAAGCAGTGCTTCCAATCGGATTCGAACCGATGATCTCCACATTACTAGTGTGGCGCCTTACCAACTTGGCCATAGAAGCTCCTGAATGTTACTTTTTGCTGTAATATGATGTGATCAGAGTTTTGTGTTATTCGGGGAAGCGCTAGAAATATCAAACGGATAATCTATTAATAATCGAGACAGTAATTGATACAATCGGTAATGCAATTATTAATAGATTATCCGTTTGATATTTCTAGCGCTTCCCCGAATAACACAAAACTCTGATCACATCATATTACAACAGAGGTGTTGTAGCATTAAATTGTCAGATTCTTTATGTATTCCAGGGAAGTGCAAATAATATTTATAGTTATTCAAATAATCGAGACAGTAATCAACTATAGTCGATAATATAATTACTAAAATGGTCTTATATATTGAGCGGCTTTTAATGAGCTAATATATTTATTCGAAGTTACTTGACTTGTTACTTGCTTGTTGTTCTATTTTGTTATACATAATATATAAGTTATTTACAAGAAACGGTTATGGAAGATGATCTTTTATCTCCAGAGAACGTTGTCCTTTTATATGTTTTCTGGAGCTCGATCGATTATTCAGATTAGTACATTAATGACTTGACTGATTCAAACCCTAAAATTTATTACATTAATTTAGGTGCACTAGTGGATTAGAACTGCACCCCAATTCTCTAATCATGGTAATTAGTAATACACGTGGGACTTATTAAAACAATAGGTAAATTCTAGATTTGCCAAAATCTTATGTAATCTAATCATTTTATTATGCAGCATCTAATTTTGTAGCACGTGTATAGCTTATTAAAACAATAAATAGTTCTAGATTCATTCAAGATCTTATATAATCTTGATGGTAATAACCATTCTATTCTACTAAAAACGTAACTAGTCCTGTTCCTCGTGGCCCAATGGTCACGGCGTCTGGCTACGAACCAGAAGACTCCAGGTTCGAGTCCTGGCGGGGAAGGCTTTATTTTTTCGTTGCGCGTAGCATTTAAGAAATAACAAATAGGTGTTAAAATTTTTATGGATATAAAAGACGAACGTCAGATATGCAATAGAAGGGAACAAAACAACAACCAAAGAAACCAAAGTTAAAGAATGGTACCAACCAGCAAAGAAATAGCAGCACTTACTGTTGATTTTTTATCTACTGTTATCGATAAACAGGAAGTCTCAAATGACAACTGTGATTCCTTGAATGTTGCCATCGATTGTATCACAGATGTTTTTGATTTTGACAGAGATTCTATTAAATCTGTTATCGGTGAAAAATTCAATGGTAACGGTTTGAAACAAATCTTAACTAAAACTATAGAAGAATATGCCAATGAAGATAACAATGAAGACGTTAAAGTTAACATCCCTAAAGATGATGCTGAAATCAAAGCCAAGGCTGAAGCGTTGAAATTAGAAGGAAATAAGGCTATTACTGAAAAGAAATTTGAATTAGCTATTGAAAAATACACTGAAGCAATCAAAGTACTTCCAACAAATGCTGTATACTATGCCAACAGAGCTGCTGCTTATACAAATTTACAAAAATATGATGAAGCTGTAGAGGATGCCACTGCTGCAATCAAGATCGATCCTAACTATTCTAAAGGTTATTCCAGGTTAGCCTACGCCAAATATGTTCAAGATAAACCTGAGGAAGCATTAGAAGCTTACAAAAAGGTTTTAGAAATAGAAGGGGATAATGCAACTGAAGTGATGAAGAGAGGATATGAAACCGCTAAGAAGAAGGTCGAAGAGACATTGAACCAAAAAAGCAACACTGAAAATTCTGATGTTTCACCAGTTACAAAAGCGACACAAGATGATCAGACAACTAGTTCTACTTCCACAGCAACCCCAGACTTTTCATCAATGTTTGGAAATGGCGGTTCAGGTAATACGCCTGACTTTGCTTCTATGCTAGGTGGAGGCTTAGGTGGAGGTTTAGGTGCTTTGCTAAATAATCCTCAAGTTATGCAAGCAGCTCAATCTATGATGCAAGATCCAAATGCAATGCAAAAAATGCAATCTATGATGCAAAATCCAGCTATACAACAAATGGCTCAAAATTTTGCTAGTGGTAACACCAGTTTAAATGATTTAATGAACAACCCAGATATTCAAAACATGGCTTCTAATTTATTTGGGGGAGCTGCTTCTGGTAACTCAAGTAACAAGAAATAAAAGACAAAATAAAAATATATAAATATATTTTATTTAATACATATATCTTTTTCTTCGTATCAACATAATATTTTATATACAATTGAATAAAATATCTATAATTTAAAATATCATGCTAACAAACTGATAGTATGAGGTACACTTGTTATAGCATACTTACATTTCTAAATTTGCAGTAATTTCTATTTTCTTTCCAGAGTTTGCAAATTTTGTTTCATCAATTTAATATTGAATCCCCCCCATAACTTTATAATACCGAACTTAAAAAATGCCGATTTAAAGCGGACAAACTTGCTGAGCTCTTCTGCTAACTGTTCATATTCTCTTCTTATTTTTTCGCTATCATTCTTTAAGATTTTATTGACCTTTAGAAGATGTTCATTTATTTGTCTATCACTACTTGACTTTGTCTTTTCAAATATACTACCAATAATATTTGTAAACATATTAGTATTCACTTTAACATCTGTTTTTATAATTTCATCGTGTTCATTTTCTGAATTCATCAGCTTTTCCAGTTCTGGACCACACTGTTTTAAGGACAAAAATTCCCTATATAGTCTCCACCATCCTGAAATTTTGAGATCTAAAAATTCGGTAATGTGACGAATGAGTTTCATAATACAAACTTCCATAAATTCTAGGTTTTGTAACAGTAAATTAAGTCCTCCAATTCCGTAATATGTAACTTCTTTCCTTGAATAATTTAATTCTTGTTTTACTGCCATGTTTGCATAAAATTTACACGACATTAGCTTAAGCATGTTCTTAGACTCTATAATATCAGTGGTTTTAAATTTTAAAAATACAACTAGGCTCTTCAAAGCTATATATTTTGGAACCAAAATTTTCAACTCTTCTAAATTAAAATTTAAAAAATTCTGCATAGTATATACCTCTTCTGGTTCTAATAATTTTGAATTGAATGATAATTGAGACTTATTATAACAATTTATAATGGTAGTATCAGTGGTAACTATGGACATACTATTTTCTTTTCGTATCCATTCAGATAAGGTTAATTCATCTTTAAAAATATCCGATACAGACAAAATATTTATGTGGATCAATGAATCTAAACATAACGTCATCCATGACAAAATAGTTTCTCTTTCCTGTACCTTAATCCATCTCAAACTATTTTTTTGAATAGAGTACATCAGCTTATCTATTTTCATTAGAAGTTCTTTTAACGGTAAAAATGTCAAAGAATATTTTTTCTGAATAATTTTGAAAAGATTTCTAATTAATCGAAGATTCACATCAAATGTTTTATAGAAATTATTTGAATTCATATGTGAACTACTGACCGTAAGTTTTACTGAATAACTTGAATTATTATGTGTTTTTAAAGAATGTACATATATATGCTTAAAGATAGACTTTTTCTTCAATGCATAAACACCTAATAATTCAATTATAATTTCATTTTGTGCAAAATCAAAACAATGTAACCCACTATATTTAATTTTCTTATCGAAATCTATTCTTGGGTCTTGTAATATTGCTTCAACATTTGATACCCTGTCATATTTAACGTATACCATCAGTGGTGTCATTCCCTTATTATTACATCTATTAATTTCATTACCGTCAGCCAAATTCAATAAAATGGATATATTGCTTTTCATAATATGCAATAAACTATTACCTTTAGAATCAATATGCTCTGACACAAGAAACAATCGATCTTTTGTCTCTTTGTACCAATAATTTGCAAACTTTAGTGCCATTGATACCATTAAATCATAATTTATTTGATCATAACAACGAAATATAGTAAATAAGGGTGTTTGGTTCATATTATCTTTTAAATCCCACTCAATATACTGACCAATTTTCTCTAGAATATCTATTTGACCATTAAGGTAATGTGCTACAATTCTGCCGTCTTTATCTCTTCGTTTAAAATATGTTACCAATTCTTCAAAGGAACAGTTATTTAGAAAGATATCCACTAAAACCAAAGCAATTGTATCATTTGAATATTTTAAACACTGAATCAATAAAGTTGATCCATCAATAGTCTCATCATCTAACAGATCTTCTAAGGGAAAACATTTTTCAAAAAGTTTGTTTGATAAGAGTTCTATAATTATATCATTTTGATGATACTGTATGCAATATGAAAGAATAGATTGTCCATTAGCAGATCTGTATCTGAGACAATCTTTAAAAGTGATTAAAAACTCAGTTATATTGTTAGAACCATCTGTGAACGTAATTGTTCCAGTAATACATTCTATAAAATGTTCAAGTTTAATATCTTGCTGTTGTAGCTTCCTTAGTCTTTTTGTGTCTTTATTTAACAATGAATCCAAATATTTGATAGATGCTTCTAAAGTTGATATTGAATAACCCAACAAACCAAATTTAATATTATTTTCGTCATCAAAAAAATTTTGAAGATAAAATAAGTTGCATTTCACATCATGCAAATTATATTTATTTACAATTAGAACAAACAAGTTAATCAATGTATCGGCATCAATACATATATTTTCCTTATTTGACGAAGTGATTGGTTTTGACAATGATTGTAACGTTTCAACTAATATCTGGCATTTCTTAAAGTGTGACTTATATGAAAAAAATTTGTTCCAGACAGTAATAGCCCTTGAAATATTCTTCTCTAATTGAACAATATCAGATAATCTAAATGATACAAAATTTGACTTGTAAAGATCAGTTTGCAATTGATCTAGAGATAAATAATTTAGATGATACTCAGTATCATCATTATTAAGTACTGACAAATATTGTACCTTTAATTTTATAATGTTCCATATGTAGTCATATAATTGTAGTTCGAAATAACTTTTGATTTGTAATTTTAAATTATCAATTACTTTAAAAATCGGATTATCTTTTATTAAAAGATAAAAACCATTGACCATTAAATTAAAATTTGTTATAAATAAATCGTCTTGACATTGATGTGAATTTTTATATTCTATTAAAAAATTATTTAAATAATCTAACCATTGAGGGTTTAAAAGAAGAACCTTTTCAAACGAGGGTATATCATTCAATAAAAAGGAAGAAGAAGAAGAAGGAAGGGCAAGGGAGGAAGAAGAATTTTTATGATCATGAGTGATATCAAAGCATTGTAAATTATGCTTAAATATTAAATTATTTAAACTATAATCCAATATAGGCTGATCAATATAAATCAAAAGGAATTTTCTATAACCATTATTGTTATTATTATGAAAATAGTTATTAAAATTAATCAAAATGTCAAATTTTAATATATGATACTTTTGTTTTGTACCAAATCCATTATTTGTAAATAAATAAGGGCGATGTTGATTAATTATGATACTTTTACCATGTATAGTTCGAACACAAAATGCCTTATTATTCCTAACATTAACATTAATATTAATATTCCCCTTAGAAAACACAATATGGTTTGATACAAAATCAATATTAGAATAACATAAATCTCTTAAAGTACAGTTTTTAGCGGTGTCAAATTTTAATAATAAAATATCTGTTGGTGGTACAATGACAATAAAATCATCCAAGCTTTTCAATTTGTTGTAGAGTTTCTTTAACAATGAATTGTCTATATCAGGACAATTAAAAATAGAATCAATTAATGGATTCAATAGTTTGGGTAGATAATAACAGGATATATCATTGTCACTATTACGATTACCAATCTGATGTGGATTCGACATAATAATGGACAAAGTTGGAATCACATAAGTAAAAATATCTAACTGAGTAATTTATGGAAATAAACAAATAAACAACTGATCAAACATATGTAAGGAAATAATCAATTCTTTATTACCGTATATGGCATCGGCCAACCAACCAAGCAACTAGATCTCCATTTATATATACTAATACATTATACGCTTATGCAAACCTTTGATATGTGTCGTATATCAATTTCGTTGGCTTGAAGATTCGTATAAAGGGAAAAACACAGGAAAAAAGAAGAGATTATACCAAATGTGAAATACTCGATTGAAATCATCAATTAATGAAGATGAGAAGAGATAAGATGAGATGCGAGCATAATAGAAGAAACTTTTATCACATATGGTATGTACATATACACACATATATATATTATTGAGAAAAAAAAAGAGGAAGAAAACTAGTATTGATCGATAGCACGTCGAGAGGGAGGACATTGGTTTAAGCATCAGTTATATATATAGTAATCTCTAAATTATTGCACTATACATAATATGGGTAAAGGAAAAGGTAAAAACAAACCAAATGATGATAGACCATCAAAAAGTAAGCATAGGGGTGCCAATGGTCACCATATAAGACAAAATAATAAACACATGGAGATAAAGCAATACGGACATTCAAAATCCAAACAATTATTTCCCGTCAAATTGGCAATGTGGGATTTTGACCATTGTGATCCAAAGAGGTGCAGTGGTAAGAAATTGGAAAGATTGGGTTTGATCACGTCTTTGAAAGTGGGGCAAAGGTTCCAAGGAATTGTTATATCTCCGAATGGTAAAAGTGTAGTCTGTCCAAATGATAGATCCATTGTAGAGAAATATGGTGCATCTGTCGTTGAGTGTTCTTGGGCAAGATTAGATGAAATCCCGTTTAATAAAATTGGTGGTAAACACGAAAGATTATTACCGTATCTAGTGGCTGCTAATCAAGTCAACTATGGTAGACCGTGGAGACTTAACTGTGTCGAGGCCATTGCTGCATGTTTTGCTATCATTGGTAGAATGGATTGGGCAAGTGACTTATTGTCGCATTTCTCTTGGGGTTTAGGCTTCCTTGAATTGAATAATGAGTTATTACAGATATATCAGAATTGTACTGATAGTGAATCGGTCAAAAAGGCAGAAGAAGAATGGTTATTAAAATTAAAGGAAGAAAACCAGAAAAGAAAACAAGAAGTGCAAAATACAGACATCTGGATGATGGGCAATGTTAATAGGAAGATGAACAGTCTCAATATAAGTGATGAAGAAGAAGAAGATGATGATAGATTTGAATCAATTTCTAAACCTGTTAAATACGACAACTTAGGTAATATCATTGAAGAACGTGAATGTGAAGTCGAGGAGGAGGAAGAAAAAGAGAGGGAGGAGGAATGGGAAATAAAATATGATTCTTTAGGTAATATTGTCACTTCATGAAACGAGACGGTTGCTTCAACAACTATTCACATAGATACACACACTAAACATCATTTAAGTACAAGTACCCAAGTGTACTACCCGTATATACAGACTGTACATTAATAGCAATGAATTAGGCATTCAAATCTAATACAGTTTCTCTCTCTTGTGGCTTTTATTAACTTCAAAAGAAAAAAAATAAAATAAAATAAAATAAAATAAAATTTCTTGGTTTTTTTGACTGTACAAATCCTAACTTGGTTGGTTGAGATTTTGATATTACTACTGAAGATGACGAAGATAATTGATAATGGGGTCAATGTTGAATATTGTTCTATAATTTTTCCCCCTACATTCTTCAATTCTTCCTTTGTTCTTATTACTCAAGGTTTCATATCCCCATAAATTAGACACGTAATGTTGAAAGGGTAAGTAAACTAAAATAAGATAGTCAAACAATCTAATCATATATATAAGATATAAGACTTACCATGGAAAAAGATAGTCAATTCAAAGGATTTGAACCAATCCATACAATATTTTATACAATATTTCATCCAACAGAAGGTTCGAAGGTGTGTTATGAATTTCCACCGAATAATTTACAAAATTCTAATATTAATTTCGATTCACTTAAAAATTATATTATACCAAAACCACAATTGTGTCACAGACTATTAACATTAAAGTATGCAAATTACAGAATTGTTTCATACCCAGTGGCCATCAATAATTCACTTTATGCAAGAAACTATTTTAGGTTTAATCTTGTCTTTGTTTTCCAATATGATTGTCAAACTTCACCATATGAATCCGCCATTATGAGATTGGGGAAAATGTTTAGATCGCTTGAAGAACAAAGACAAATATTATCCAGATCTGAACATGATCCTGCATTGTTTAAAAATGATAGCAATTTTAACTGCAATAACAATAATAACATCCACACCAATCACAGCAATATCAATAACTCTGATGAAAAATTATTGTCTATGCCCGATTTATTAATGAGAATATATCAAGATTTAAACAATTATTCTGAATGTTTGATACCAATAAATCAAGGTCATGCCATCGACTTGAAGATATTCCCTCTTTTAAAGACACCCAAAGCTGCGAATTTATCTGTTGAAGATGTACCAATGTTAATAGTTAACCTAGCCAAGATTATTGATTTGAATTGGGATCCTACTATGATTTCAATAATACCGTATATTACAGGCTTGAATAGTATTTTTACCATTTCGAAATTGAGTAATTGTGACCCAGGTCTTGTTATAGAATGTATTAAACATTTAATATATTATAAGTGTGTTATCATCATCGATATCTTTCAATTTAGTAACATTTATGCACCAACAAGTCTGATTAATACATTCTTAACAGATCCTACAATGGCCACAGAGTGTAGAAATTATGTCACCTTACCAAGAGACTCCCTTTTACATCAATTACCATTTAAAAATGATAAAGATGAAACTGGCCCTATCAAATTACATAAAAAAACACAATCTATATCTTCCTCTGTCAAGTCTTCATTATTTAAGACACAGAAAAATTTACATGATGACGATGAATCTACTTATTCATCCATGATTTATTCAAATATGGGTAAAATGAGATCAACTAGCACAATATCAAGTAGTGACGTTGGAACATTTAGATCTAGTTCCAAATTCGATTCAAATGGAAAATATATTTGTGTTTCCAAATCTATTTTATTTGATTTATATTGTTCTCTATCTCATAATACTACATTATCTACTTGGTATGAGACGAATTATGAGATTATCCATAGTAATTTTATTGATATAAGGAAGTTTATTCATTTTGGTATAATTAAAAAAATTATTTATAGAATTCAATCCTATCCAGTCATGGGGAAAAGAGATATTATATTTAATCAAGACAATAGAGACAATGATATGGGTTGGAATGTTCATGATCATGAAAATGAATCGAATAATAAAATTAAAGAAGCACAAGTATTTCTATCAACATCTGATATAAAATTTGATATGGGAGATAAAATACTGAATTCTATATATAAAAAATTGTCCAAAGTTTCTTTCCAAAAATCCAATACCAATTATAATATCGATAAGACTCTAAATCAGAAGAATACTTCAAATAGTAGCACTAATGAATCTTTGACATTGAACAAAGAAGAAAGGTTATTGCTACTCAAATCATTGGAAAATATCGAATCATTTGATAAAATTTGTACAAAATTAGGGAAGTCAAGACACACTATAGAACAGATTCTTCATGATATTGGAGACTATAGGGTTGTAAATTGTTGAATCATAACAGACTACTTAAAATGTTCAAGATCTGAATGACACTGGATATAATGGTATAACAAAGAGTAATATATTAGTACCTATAACTGTATATATATTAAGTATTCCGTATAGTTACAAATATAAGAAGGCGTAAAAAAATATCTTTTATATATTCGTTAAGCTGCTCATTAATTACATGTAGGTTAGTTAAATTGTCTTTGATTATTATTATTATTATTATTATTATTATTATTATTTATTTATTTAGTTAGTTAGTCAGTTAATTTCTTTACTTATAGTCACATTTATCTACTTATTCTTGGTATTTTTGAACTAGTAATTTCATTATTTTGATCATTGCTTTCTTTAAATAATCTTTTTTTTTGGACTAACAGATCGTGATCTCGGTATGAGAGATCCATTATAATCTGTATTTACTAATGATGTTGGTCTTAAAGGTACAGTAATTTGTAGCTCATTTTTTTGTTCTTGTAAATTATTAATACTTCTAAAAGTTTTAAGATTCTCAATATTCTTCCCACTGTTAATAATAATATTATCATCATCATTATTAATTAAATTCTCTACCTCTTCATGTATAATGGCCCGTATCTTTTTCTCCATACCTTGTATCATTCCTATGGATTTTTTCTTAAATTCAAAATCTTTTTGAACATTTTGATCTAATATATTAATATTGTTGTTAATAGTCTTGAAATTTTTATCAATTATTTTATCCTGATTAATCTTTTCAATAATATTCATATTTTGATCACTTAGAATATCTTGATTCTGAATCACTTTTATTGAATTATCTATTAAGCTTCTGGAATTCTGTATTACATTTGTCACTTGTTCAACATGTGTATTTAATTGATTCCAATATTTATTATTAATAGAATCTGATTTGTTTATTAACTCTATTGAATTTTGCCACTTATCAAAATAGGGCTTTAATTCTTTATTATCACATTCAAAGACACTCTTAGTGACATTGTCTACAGTAGAAGTTAACAAATTTCTATTATTGTTGAAATGTTCTATAATCATCGATTGTAATGATTGAATTAAATTATTTGATGATAACTCTAAAGTTCTTAAAGTATCTTCCACATGTTGATTAATCATATCATTCTCTAATGGAGTCTTATTATTAATTATATTATCCTTTATTAATAGCTGTTTATCGAGGAATTGTTTAAATGTGTTATTTTCTTCACTTAAATCTGATAATTTTTCTGCCATATCATTATAATATATTGTAGTCATATCTTTGATACTTGTTATATTATCGTTTATTTGATTGAAGATTGTTGGAGTTTCTTTTAATAAGTCATTAATACAAGAATTGTATAATGATACAGCTTTATCCTTTGTGTTTTGCAGTAATTGAATTACCTGATCCTTAATTGTTTGGATATTTGGACCAATATTATTAATACTTTTATTTGTTATCAATGTTTGATCTTTCTTTAATTGTGACATAATACTGTCTTCTAGAGAATGAAATTCCAAATCTAAAACCGATTCAATATTTGATTTTAGTTTAGTTTCTTTTTCTTTGATTTTATTAAAGTTTTGATTTAATTGAAGAAAGGATTTATTTAAATCTTCATAAGTGATTTTTAAATCGTTTAATTGGATATCTTTCTTATCATTCTGTTTTCTAATTTGAATCAATTGGTCTGATATAATTGTATTCTTGTCATTTTGTCTTTGTAATAATTCATTTACTCTTTTATTTTCATCTAATAGAGCAGTATTAGATCTCTCTAAATTAATATTATTTTGTTTTAATTCTTTAATTTCATTTCTATTCATTTCGATTTCATTCATTAAATTTTTATAATTTTCTTGTGACATATAAATCCCATCCTTTGATTTTGTAGACCATAAATCTGCTCTTAATTTAACTAATTCTTGTGTAATATCTTTTAATAACATATCTTTTACAATAAAGGATCCTAGGCGAGGTTTATTTTGAATATTTTTAGCTTTTGATGCATATTCCAATGTACTACAAGTCTCTTCTAACACCAATTTAGCAGGAGATATTGTAGCAATTAAAATAGTCTTTGTATTCCCACCCAATGAGTCTTGCAATAATCTAGTTAATTTGGATTCTCTAAAAGGAATATGAATATTTTTTGTTTTATTTTTTGTTATATTATTATTGTTATTATTATTATTAGTGTCCTTTTTTATATTATCATTATCATTATTGTTGTTATTATTATTTGTAGTAGTAGTATCTTCATCTTTTTTGTTTTCATTAATTTCAGATAAAGAATTAATGACTCTACCTAAAGTTAGAAGACTTTGATTAATTGAACCTGCTTCTTTAGCTCTTAAATTGATTGCACCAGATTTAGATATATTCTCAGAACCTGCCAAATCAACTAAATTTAGTTTTGATAATCTAAATAGTTGATCTTTAAATTTTTTATAGAGGGTAATAGTGAAAATTGTATGCGATCTTGAAGAAAAATCGTTCATTTTAGTAGAAGCCATTTGTCTTTGTTTTAATCCATTTTGTAAAAGTAATAAACCATCTTTAGCATTATTTATATGAAATTCTCTTAAATTTTGAATATATATTTCTGTAGTAGTTACATTATTATTATTATTATTAGTATTAGTATTGTTACAAGTCTTAGATTTTTCTAATGATATAGGCAAAGAACTTCTATTTGACATAGATTTTCTTGATCTTTTAAATTTATTATTTTTATCTCTCTTTAAATTTATGATATTATTGCTGCTGCTGCTGCTGTTGTTGTTGTTATTTCCATTATTATCAAATATTTTTAATTTTTTACTCGGCGGTATAATAGTATCATTTGAATTTGAACCAGTTGTATCGTATAATAAATCTTTTAATTCTTCATTATAAAGTTCTAAAAACGAACATTTGACAACATAGTCTATATCTTGTTTTGTACCTGTGCTATCATTAATGGTATTACTATGACTATTATTACAATTTAAAATATTTTTCTCATATTCTAATGTATCAAACAATCTACAAAGTATTCTTGGTATTATACCTGCAGATTCACTTAATTTTATGTTGTTACGTGATACAAATTTATCTTTTATAATAAAATTATTATTTTCGTCACCCGTCATGGTATAAGTTTTCCCCGTGGATGTCATACCATATACTAAAATAGTACAATTATAGCCTTTAATAAAATCATTAAATAACGGTATAATGATGTCATTAAATAGGGCTTCCTGTGAGACATTTGGACCAAAAACCTTATCAACCTTATATGTCTTCGAATTTAATTTTGCAGTTATACCTATATCATCAGTTGTATTAACAGAAACTTCATTAGGATAAGTTGATGCATGGTTGATAGAAGCGGTAGTGTTAGGAACAGAAACTATTACAGGACTTTTTGCATCAATTTCCCGTTTATTTCTACCTCTACATCTTACAGCGACAGTAATATTCATTGAACTCTCCGAGGTTGCCGTAGAAGAGGATAAAGAAGGATTATTATCCATATGAACCATTATCCAAAGTTGATAGGAAAGAATTTGCTAAAGAAAATAAATAAATAAATAAATAAACCAATAAATAAATAGTTTCCTGTTGTATTTATCTAAAATATATCAAAAAGAGAGGAGGAAAAACCCAAAACAAACAAACAAACAAACAAAAGGCTATTATGGTATTGAAAAGAGGTTAATAAGTAAATATATATATATAAATATGTTACCTTTTGGTTGATTGAAAGTATAGATGAGAATGAAATGTGGTGTCAAAAAGTCCTTTATCTTTCTTATAATTTCATTAATAATAATAATATTTGGTGTTTGTTTACATTTTGATCTTCTCAAGTAAAAAACAAAAACAAAAAAAAAAACACAAAAAAAAAATAATAAGATAAACACGAAAAAGAGCTTTTCTTTATTTCTTTTTACTCATACCCTAATTCTGGAAACTTTCAAACTCTGTCACAGATACATCCATACACCCATTGCTATGAATGTATTATTATTTATACAATAAGTTCATGTAATGTATATGTTTCCCTTCTATAAAAGAGAAGGAATAGTTGCATATATATATATGTATATACATATATATATATGCAACTATTCTTATTTCCTTTTTTCTTTTGAATTATTTTTGTTTTAGGGTATGTACCATGATATTACAAGAAAACAGGCCAAAGTGGAATATTCTCTATCAAACCCTATTAAACCTATCGATCTTTACAACAATTATTTATTCAGTATAATCACACAATACATATCTATGATGTTGGAAAAAGAGGACAGGCTAGGGTTTGACTTGTACTGTGTGTATGTTTTATTTTTTTTTATTTTTATTTTGTTTTATTCTGTTTTGTTTATTGATATTACAAGGAATAAGTGAGTGATTAAATGAAAAACAAAAAACAAAAGACAAAAACGCACCGGAAATTACTTCGGAAATAAATCCCGGTGGAGGAAATTCCGCTTTCCCGCCCATGACGGATTTCTGCTATTATTCTGGTTTTTTTTTTACCTTGCATAATAAAGATCGAGATAAGGGAAATTATTCTTTTTTTCTTTTCTTTTTTTTTATTTATTTTTTTTATTCCCCCGTTATATTGAAGGCACACGCACATTTATGTCCATTACCCATATATATCATCCATACTTACATGATTATATATATATATATATATAGGTCTTGCTATTATTACTTTACAATACAGAAATAATAACTGTCCAATCTTTTGTCCAGGATTTGTCCAGGATTTGTCCATTCTTTTTTTTTTTTTCTTTCTTTTAAGCATATCTAAGATAAATTTGAGGATTACATATATTCATAATATTATTCTTTTAATTTTTTTTCGTTGTTGTTTGTTGTTTATTGTTTGCCCAATATGTCATCATCTGCAATGCCATTCAGTTATTCAAATAGTACGCATATTAGGGGATGTTTGACATCCGATGGGATTAGAATTAAATCTCAATTCACTTACAATAACGACGACGATTCCTATTATGATGAAGATATCGCTGATCACAGCAATAATGGCAGTAGCACATTAATCTGTATTAGTCCTTGTGTAACTTTATCTAATACACTAAAACAAAAACAAAACTATAGTAATACTATTAGCAGCACCACTGCTACTAATACTAATAACATTAGTAATAATAGTAATAGTGGTAATAGTAGTGATAGCTGTAGCAATAATAATAGTAAAAAAATTTTAATACCTAATGAAACTATTATTCCATTCAGTAGAATTATTTATGCAAAATATATAGATGTTTATGACACTAATATTTCTGGTCTGAATATTAAAAATAAAAATAAAAATAAAAATAGTCCCAAAACAAAAAAAAATTATAAACAAACAAATAAATCTACAAATGTTGAAGAACAAACTTCTTTATTGAATCATTATCATCCTATTTCTAATACTACAACTATCACCACTACCACTACCCCAACAACTAAAAATAATGATAACAATAGCAATAGTATTAACAAAGATAATGTCAATATTCAAAATCAAAGTTTTGATAGCGACATTAATTTAAGTTCGACTTATGAATCATTAAATAGTAACAACAACAATAAGAACAACAAAAATAATACCACTGCTACTATCACCACTAATAACAATAATATTAACCAGATTTTTATTGAATTAACTTTTGTTTATCCAAAAGGTAAAGATGTTATACCGACAAAGCTTAAGTTATTAATGGATCCACTGCCTAATAATAATAATAATAATAATAATAATAAGAATGATATAACAACTAGTAATTTTGACATAGTTTCTCACATTATTGAAAAATCCTATCAAAATGTTCGTAAAGAAAAATCCATTCTAATCATAATTAATCCATATGGTGGGTCAGGTAAAGCTTTACAAAGATTTAACAAAAAAATTAAGCCAATACTCGATGCCTCCCCATTCATTAAATATGAAATTGCGTTTACTAAATATTACCAACATGCAATAGATATTGCAAGAGAAATAGATGTCGATTCTTTCGATACCATAGCATGTTGTTCTGGTGATGGGATCCCTAATGAGGTCATTAATGGATTATACCAAAGACCTGATAGAGCCCGTGCGTTCAACAAAATCTGTGTCACACAGCTACCTTGTGGCTCAGGGAATGCAATGAGTATATCTTGTCACTGGACAATGAATCCATCATACTCTACTCTGTGTCTTTTAAAATCTATCGAGTCTAGGATAGATGTAATGTGTTGTCAACAGCCTTCTTATGTAGATAAATATCCAAGATTATCCTTCTTATCACAGACTTTAGGTGTCATCGCTGAATCAGATATCAACACAGAATTTATCAGATGGATGGGCCCAGTCAGATTCGATATCGGTGTCGCATTCAATATTCTTAAATACAAAAAATATCCATGTGATCTTTACGTGAAGTATGCTACAAAAACCAAAAAACAATTGAATATCCACTATTTGCATAACAAATCTAAAAGACAAGTACTCATGTTTACTCCAAATACATCACAGGTCTCGATCACGGATAATTTGCCAACATCACAATCTGACAATATACACCAAGGGGATCAAACAGAATCACCTTTTGAAGAGAAAGATTTCCATTTGAAATATTCTATTAAAGACCAAATCCCTGATGATTGGGAAAAAATCGATTCTAACATTACTGATAACCTATCGATTTTTTACACTGGGAAAATGCCATATATGGCCAAGGATGTCAAATTCTTTCCTGCTGCATTGCCTGCTGATGGAACTATCGATATGATCCTAACGGACACAAGAACTCCTATCCATAAGATTACTCCTATTTTATTGTCACTAGATAAGGGGACACATGTCCATGAACCTGAGGTGATTCATTGGAAAGTATTGGCCTATAGATTAGTACCAAAAATTGATAATACCGTGATCTCTGTGGATGGTGAAAATTTTCCATTGGAACCATTACAAGTGGAAGTTATCCCAGGATTATTGAAAACCTTATTAAGAAATGGATCATATGTGGATACTGAATTTGATTCACAAATCAAATAACATATCCTACTCCTTCCTCTAAAAAATAAATAAAATACAAGTGCCAGGGATGTGAAATTATCACTATCATTTTCATAACAATTTACTATCAAATACAAAAAATACCTATTAAATTTTTATGAAAAGTAGGTGTTTTCATGAATCTACAAAAATTAACGATCTTTTAGATTACCATGGATCAATTGAACCTTTTTCTTTTTTTTTTTTCTTATTTAATAAAAATTTATCATGCATATATATATATTCATATATAATTATTATATCTAAATAAAATAAAATAAAATTAAATAAATAAATAAATAAATACATAATTAGATAAACCAACAAATAAAAAATATAATGAAAAATATAATATAAAAAAAGTGCTTACAATATAAAAATAATTTATTATCTAATATACTTTATACTTTATATCCACACCCCACTCTATTTTTGCAATACTATATATATATATATATAGACAAACTATTTTTTATCCTAATCCTCACCCTCTATCTTTCATTCACTAAACAGGTAAAACAATTTGTAAAGTTATACAAAATACAACCATAATAATTATAGTATACAAATAATAAATGTACAATCAAAAAAGACAAGCATATATATATGCATACATATTATTTAACTATTTGGATAAACTATCTTTTAAACTAACAATTCTGTTTAAAATAATCTTATCAGTCTTATTACTTTCAGAATCCAAAGTAAAATAACCAACTCTCATACCTTGGAATCTACAAACTTCGTTACTCTTGAAATCTTCTTTAACATAAAATTCGCTATTCTTAACTGTATCAGTCACCCATTTCTCAGTGTTTTCAATGACATCGTGGAAATTATGTTCAATGACAGAATTCTTGTAAACAATTTCACTGTCTGGATTAATATCAGATAGATAACCTTCTGGGACACTTGATGGGTTCTCAGATTTGAATAATTGATTGTAGACTCTTGTTTCATAGATGTTCACAGGTGAGTTGAATTTCTTGGACACTGGAACCCATTGGATGAAAGTCTTTGGTTTAATCTTCACATCTTTATTATATTTAACATGCAATCTTGTAATCTTTCCATTAGTGTCCTTTTCCATACTAACATAAGATACTGTAAATGGAACTTTAATTAAACCAACAGCCTGTTCTGGTGTTAATCTAAAGAATTCTTTATCATCTACATTTTCACTGAAGTCCGCTCCTTCAATATAGAATCTATTAGTGAATGGAACAACTCTATCACCAAATTCAGGAGCACCAGCCTTATATGGAATCTTAACTTCTTCCAAGTAATCATCATCCAAGTTATCAACAACAACCTCAATAGGATCTAAGACGAACATTAGTCTTGGTGTCATGTCTTCTAAATATTTTCTAACAGCACTTTCAAATCTGATAACTTGAATATTTGTAGTACTTGTGGTGACACCTAAGGTGTTAATAAATGAAAGAATTGCACCTGGTGGAACACCGCGTCTACGAATAGCTTCTAGAGTGAATAATCTTGGATCATTCCAACCACGAACATACTTTTGATCAACAAGTTTAGCAATTTTTCTCTTTGATAAAACAGTACCAGTAATGTTTAAACGACCATATTCTCTTTGAGCAGGTCTAAAGACATGAACTCTATCACATAACCATTCATAGGATTCACGAGACAAATAGAATTCTGTAGTACATAAGGAATGTGTGATATTTTCAAAAGAATCAACCAAACAGTGAGTGAAATCATATGTTGGATAAATCTTCCATTTATCACCAGTTCTTGGATGTGGAGCATTTAAAACACGATAAGCAATCAAATCCCACATTTGTGGATTTGGTGAAGTGAAATCTTGTTTCATTCTTAAAATAGCCTCACCAGGTTTATAATGACCCTCTTTCATTAATCTGAATTGTTCCAAGTTATGTTCGACAGATTGATCACGATGAACACAACCAAATCTTTCACCACCTGGTGTACCGTCTTCCTTAATACCACGACCACGTTTGATTTCTTCAGCAGTACAATGACACACGTAACCATAGCCATTCTTAATCAATACTTCTGCTAAATCGTACAATCTGTCGAAGTAATCACTTGAATAAGTGATTTTCCATGGTTTGAAACCTAACCAAGAGACCATTCTTTTAATTGACTCGAAATATTCTGGAGCTTCTGCTTCAGGATTTGTATCATCAAATCTTAGGTAACAAAGGCCATCGTGGTATTTAGCATAACCAAAATTGACCATAATAGCTTTGGAATGACCAATGTGCAAATAACCATTTGGTTCAGGTGGGAATCTAGTTCTAACTTTACCACCGGTAACACGTAGATGCTCCTTCATCAATTCAGGGTAAGCTTGAGGATTTTCACCAACCTTATGTAAATCACCAAGAAAACCCTCGTTAAACATGGTACGCTTAGGAACAGAATCACCTGCTGTATCCTTATTTTGCTTTGTTTTATTATTATTGTTATTCTTGTTCTTAGAAGAACCCTTTTGTGGCTTCTTAACTAAGTCTCTTTCATCCTTTGGACCTAATAATTGTAAAACTTGCTTATCAATAATTGGTTTAAATAATTTTGGGTCTGCCCATTTTAATTCAGGTAAATTTTTGATTGCTGCAAATAATTTTGGTACAATCTTGTATCTTTCATTTAGAATGGTATCTTTATTTTCATTGAAATACAACTCAACTTGATCGTTTATTTCCTTTTCAGTAACTATAACACCAACACCAGATTCTTTATTCATTTCTTCAACAGTCGGGGTTTGATTATTTGAAACTGATTGAGAAATATATTTAAAAGCAGATTCAACTTGTAAATTTGTCTTTAATTGACCATTTTGAATAGCATGAACAATCCATTCAGAATTTGGTAAATCGTTACCTTTTAAAAGAGATGCTAAATTATGGATCAAAGAACGTGATTGTTTATTAAGTGGTGATAAATTAGAATCTAATTGATTCAATAATAAAGACAACGAGCTGGTCACCTTTTTATTCTTCAAAATTTCTTTAATCTTAGAATCTTCAAATCCAAATTGTTGAAATTGTTCTGTTAAGTCCTCCATTTTTTCACTTTTATCCTTTTGTTTTTTTCTTTTCCCTTCACAACTTTGAGCCAATCAGCCAATCAACCAAATTACTCGATTGACCTTTACTTATGTATTTAATCGTTTAAATATTTTTCTTTTCTATATTTTGACTCTCTTTATCTTTTTATCTCTAGCTCAATCTTCAAATACTTGTACAAGTATTTTTAATATCATCTCTATATCTTTTACATTACAATTTATCTACAATTTAATCAATTTTACCTGAAAAAAAAATAAGAGGAAATCACAAACAAAAAGAAAATTGAAATTGAAATTGAAAATTGAAATTAAAAGCAAAAAGATTACCCGCACATAGAATTAAAAAGGTAATATTATTACACGTGACATTCACATGCCAGTTTTAAACCTTCTGTTCAACATTCAAATATAATTAATCTAGCCGCCATATTTTACAAATATATATATGTATATATATATATATATATCATGAATAGTGGTGTCGTGCTATTTCCACATATGATTTGTCATTATTATAGATTCTTGAACGTACAATCCTCTACCATATCCATATACTCTTCTATCTTTTGCGTCTCGGATGTTTAACACATTTAAACCAACGTGTGTCAAGTTATCTCAATTGACATTCAACGTTCCGATTGATCAATGGAACCATGAGGAATTATATCTTCAATTAGTGCAATTAGAAAATAAATTATCGGCTAAATTGTTATCTGCTGAAAATACTTTACTTAATGGTTCTGATAATGTAAATATCCCACCTAGTCTGGTTGACTATATTATGATACCGTTAGCAAAAATTATCATCCAATTTGAATCACTAGATGCTAAAATTATTACTAAGCTACTAGCAATCCTAAACAAATTTTGTATTTATTCATGGATATACCCAAATCAACTTAATTTAAAGCTAGCTACAAATATCTTCCCCTTTGTCAATTATCTATCGCAGTCTATAATTGATAAAAATAAAAATAATACCGATACATATGCCCTTCGGCTTATAGTAGAAACTTTTTCTAACTTTATTCAATCAATTAATAATCAGATATATGGCCCGCATTTGTTTTCAAATCAATTTAACAAAAATAGTGACAACAACAGTACCAACGATAACACAAAATATATTCTTTTATCAAATCTATCTAATTTGATTGCTATTCAATTAGATATTCTATCAAATCACAATGACAAGCTTTCTGACTCCTCGTTACAATTACTAATAATTGCCAATCTAATAAATCTGTATCAAAATAATTTAAATTTTGATAATGGTGAAACTTTATCAAATATTCTACCTGGTAATGTCTCTAACCTAATTAAGTTTGTGATTAAACCAAGAGTCAATTACAAATGTATCATTAAATCAATCGATTTACTTGAATTTTTGATTGTAACAATATATAGTGACACCACTTTAAAACAAATTGAAACTGATAAAGCTACGAAGATTAATCATAGAGATAAGAAATGGTTATTAGCCACAAGAGAACAGATAAAGTTGGCTATAAATCAATGTTTTCCGATTTTAATAGCGAGGAGATGTAATCCCTACATCAATTTATCAATTTGTAAATTTATTAAATCATGTTTTAGATCATGTTATAATTCTATTGTATCGATATGTCAGGATGACTTGATTAAATATTTAATTCAATGTAGATTTGATTCGTTTGACTCCATTTATTTAGATGACCCACAATTGAAGGACTCCATTCAAGCTAATATACGTAAATATTTGACACAGTTGATATCTCAAATAAATACAAATATCAACCTGAATCAAACAAATAGTATTGAGTTAATTAATTTTATTTTAAAATTAAATTTTGGTAACAGTGTTAATGACACAAGTAGTTTAAATTCCAAAATATTGGATAAAAATGTTTTCGATAAAATCTTCTTAAAATTAATTCAGTCTGTGAACGTAGAGAACCAATCATTATTAAAAAATAATCCTTCGCAGACAAACGTAATCCAAACTCTACAATCAATGGACAATATTACCAACATTGAGGAAGATAATGTTATTATCAAGGACTCGGCAAATTCTATTTTTAATCCCCATAGCATTAATGTGAACAAGAACAATAATGAAAGAATCAATAATAGAGTTTGGAGTAAAGATATGGAGTCTGAGATTATTACACTTTTACAATACATTGGACAGTTTAATCATTTCGATCCTTACTTAATTCAAGTATATTTACAAAATATTGAAACTATCAATGTCTCATTATCATTCCAAAATTCGGCTTTATGGATGATTCTAAATTTGTTACCCAATAATATTGGAAATATGAGTAAGGAATACAATAATAATAACCATTTATTACACTCAACTAATTTTATTGACTCTTACCTTACATTTGATGAAGATAATAATGGCGGTGATTTTACTTCCAATAATATAGATTTACAAGCTAATATCGAGGACTCTTGCCTAGTTTTGTTAGAGTATTCAATAAACTTATTACAACAAGAAGAAATAATTAATAATTTTAATGTTTTATCATACGAACAAGAAAGATTAATCTCTATAGTTATACAAATAATTGAACGTAGTTGTATATTGATGGGATCAAATTTTGAAAGTGAATTAATTGATTATCTTTACCTTGTTGTTAGCCATTTATCTTCATCCTCACCCATGATCAAATTCCATGCATCTTCATGTATCAATACATTATCCAAAATACTGTATCAAGGATCAATACATGATCTTATTGTTAGTAATGTGGATTATCTAATTGAATCCATTTCTCAAAGATTAAACATAGGAATGACAAATCATGTGACTACAGTGTTAATGATGATCTGTAAGATGACAGGTTATGACATTATTTTATCATTTAATGATATCTTAGAGACCATATTTCAAATATTAGACTATTATCATGGTTATCAAGAATTATGTTTACAAATATTCCAATTATTTGAAGTCATAGTTAATGAAATGAACAAAAAATATTTATCTAATAATGAATCAAACTTAAAATTGGATTCGAATCATCTAAATAATAATCCTTTTAAACCATGGGGATGTACTAATGAATCACAATTGTTTTCCTTATTAAAGGAAGCCTTGCCGTTACACAACAATAATAATAAAGATAACATTAGCAGAACTGATAAAGATCTACCATTTGATCCAAATGAACCAAAATCCTTCCAAGAATATTTTGAATCGAGATTGAAAATACAAGAAATTGATGAAAAACAAAATAGTGGTGAAAATGGTGATGACAGCGACGATGAAGAAGGCGCCATTGATAGTGCAAATAAAAGTGATGAAGAAAATGAATGGGTATCACCAATACCAAGACAATCATATAGATTATTGATTCAAATCCTTCAATATGGAGATCGGCTATTAACTCATAATTCTAAACCTCTAAGGATTCAAATATTAAAAGTAATGAAACTGACAATCCCAATGTTATCAACTCAATATGATTCTTTACTTCCTCAAGTGGCGCAAGTATGGGACTCGGTGACTCAATGTTTATTTGATAAAGATTATTCTATCATAAATTCTGCCTCATTGACCACAGAAATTATAATCACATTTTCTCAAGATTTTATTTCAAGGAGATTCATTGAATTATGGGACCGTTTAAAGATACAGTGCCCATTATTACTGATGAAAGAAATTAACATAAATCGTAATACGGCAATATCTAATTTTGCTAGAACACAAAAACAAGTAGGAGAGCGAATCCAGTTCCCTACTATGACAAAAGCTGCATTAATTTCGATGTCAAATATGCTATTAAAGGGCGTATCCTTGACTGAGTATACTTTGGGTGAATTAAATATAAAAGATATAATCACTTGTTGTTTATCCGTGATCCCACCAGATATAATCAAAACAAGATCGACATTACTTGGCGATATCATCTGCATGATCCAGAATCAAACATAACATTATGACTGAGAAAATGTTTCCCTATGATCCAAAGACATTGTGATCATTGTGTAATCAATTATTTTTCCAAACATCTTTCTACATAGTATTTTTTTATAGATATTTAACTTTCATTATTATATAGACTATTTTATCCCATTGCATTGCATACATTCGTTCATAGCAATCTTTCAATAAATAAACGACGGGTGTATCATTCTAAATCCTTTTACATTCATCGAATGCTGTAATGTATTAATTTCCCTCACGTCATAATAAACTTTTATTTTTATTTTGTGTCAATTTTGGATATTCCACCTATGTCAAAAATCTAAAGATTAAACTAAAATTGAATGATAAAAAATATCTATTTAATAAGATAAAAAGTAAAATAAAGAGAGGAGCAGTTAGGGCAATACATTATTATTATGCACAATATTTTATTTACAAAATATTCTGATCACCAATAGATACACATTGATATTCAATTTTCCAATAACAGCCTTTATCTTTTTCTTTGTAATAGGCGAAACATATATAGCATTGTGTGTAATAATGAATCCATTTTAAAGGGATAAGCAATAGCCACACACATATAGACACAAAGAAGGAACAAAATCTCAATTAATAAGTTGATTTAAGTCTTTATATATTGTCACATGATGGGATTGACTTCCATATACGCAGAAAGAGGGCATTTACAAGGAACTAATAACAGATATAATAAAACCTCAGAGAACTCTGATAAAAACTCCAGAATTTTAGAACGAATAGAAGAATCTAACAAAAAGTATAGTCTAAAAGATTTAAATAATGCGATTGAAGCAAAATACAATAAAAATCGTCATAAAGTATATGATGATGCATTGAAGAAAGATAAAATTAAAAGTATTCACCATAATAATAGGTGCAAAAATGATACCACTAACACCATCATCGCTACAACTACCACTGCTAATCTTAATAATGCTATAGATATGACCCTTTCTAGTGCTATTGGAGAATCTGTGGCTAGTAATAGACTGGCAGAGACAAATACGGATGGACCAATTAACAGTGATCATGAAGAAGATATTTTAATGGAAGATATATCAGATGCAAATGATATTCAAATGGTTTCTAATTATTTGACCCAACAAAGATTATTGTCTTCTAATAATGCAAATTCTTCTAATTATATACAAGAGTTTCACAACAATAATTTCCTACCAAATAATGATATTGCATTAGAACCTACTAAGTTACAAACTGTTTATGTAATAGATACTAATTTTATTATATCACAATTACAAACTTTAGAAGGATTAAGACAATTAAGTCAAATTTATCACCATGTATTAGTCGTACCAACAACGACAGTGGCAGAATTAGATGGTTTAAAAAGTTCCACTTCCACTACCATTGCTAGACATGCCAGAGCTGGTAATATGTGGTTATATAAAAATTTAGCTGAAGCTAACTCTGGTATCATAGGACAAAAATTGAGACAAAGATTAAATCCTAATACTTACAAAGATGATTCTATATTAGACTGTTGTCTATATTTCAAAGAAAAATTGGGTTGCTTTGTAATTTTACTTTCTAATGATAAAAATCTATGTTTGAAAGCTTTAACAGAAGAAATATTGACTGTCTCATATCGTGACGGGATGACTAGCGAATTAATTGCAAGTAAATCATATCAAGAAAATTGTGCTAGATTTGGTAATAATACTATGTATCTTAATTTACCTTATGAAAATAATAATAACGAAATTTATGATAACATATATTTACAAAAAGCAGTGAATGCAACAGAAATAAACAATTCAAACACTGATGAGCATCTAAATCCCACCCCAATGTTTGCATCAATGACAGTAGCGGAAAAAGCTGAAGTTATATATATGGATATTCAATTTGTTGTCACCACTACCATCAAAAGCATTATGAATGATGAATACGGTGGAGATTTACCATATATTGATTTCAAGGAAGAACAATTGAAAACTTTACAAGATTGTTCTCATTGCATTTATAGCCACTGGATTTCAGTATTCTCTGATTATTTTAGACATAGTAAAATAAAAAGAGAGGATTGGAAAAAACTTCCAGTTTGTCTAATAAGCATCCCTAAATCACAAGAAGATATTGATAATATGATATTTTTCTGGCAAGATATTCTTGAAAATCTTTTTATTAAAAAAAGCGAACAAGAGTATCATCAACTGAAGGAATATTTCTTCAAATGGAAACAATTTAAAAATAAATGAGAAAAAAATATTTTATTTTTTACAGAATTTATATTTATCATTAATTCATATTTAAAAATTACACGCATCATTGTAATAAGTATTAATCTATTCTCATCATAGTAACTTTCTTCTCTTTTCCTCTATTAATAAAAGTTACTTTCGTTAAGATGAAGAAAAGCTTGTAACATTTTGCATTTTTTTGTAGTTAATATATGTATATTTATATTTATATAAAGTTAATAAACTTTTAAAAAATAATCACTTTCAAAAAAAAAAGGACAATTATCAACAATCATCATTCCCCTTTCTTGGTTCTTCCTTTTGCATTAATTTATCTTTACATACTCCTAGCTTTATGAGGCACCTTCTCATGTTCATCCAGTACATATTCTCTTAATTTACTCTTAACTGTTTGCCTTGTTTCACCAATTGCTACGGAAACAACATTAAGAACCGGGTTCCAAAGATTGAATCTATGAACAAAAAAGAAAGCAACCGATAAAATCAAAAGCATAGTCACGTAAAATGGATTTTTAATCACCATCATAAATTCATTCCAACCCAAGACCACAATAATAACATAAATCCATAATGGAATATGTGTAGTAGTCTTAATTATAGATCTCTTTGCATCAATAACAATAAGATTGACTTGTCTCTTAAATTGTTGTAAGACTTTCTCCTTTTCTAATTCATTTAAAATATGAGAGAATCTTGTCATATGATATATCCCCACCTCATCCTCATATTCTTTGCCCATTTCATCATCAATATTTACATCAGGAACTATTTCAACATTATCGGATGTCTTAGCCATACACAATATATCTAAGACTGATAAAGCCTTTCTCCTAGCCATTTTAAATGTTTCATCAATCTCTTGTTCATCTTTCCATAAAATTGGAGTATCATTTTCATCGTATCTGAAAGCATTTTCGAAAGTGTCTCTTATAATATTAACTATTGTATCAGACTTCAAATAATCATGAGTAGTGGTAGCTAAAGAAAGCCATGCTGCAAAATGAATCCTTTTAGCTGTGGTATCATTAGTAATTTGGCCAAGACCAAGTTGAAAATCATATTGGATGGACTGAGTATCCCCTTCTTCTTTAGAATTATCTTTATCACTCTCTGTGCTTTCAACTGCGGCTACCTGAACTTTATATTTGCTTAAATTTCTGTCTAATATACTATTAAACCTTGAAATAATTTTATCCCAAACGTCTAAGGATGGATTAGATAATAAAGGTATAATTTCATCTTTAATTTCAAATGTAATAGTTTTCCTCACTTTTGATATTAATAATTTCAATTCGTTATTTTTCAATTCTATAATCTTTGAATCAAGCAATTTTTCGAAATCTTTACATTTTTGTTCAACCGAGGATAACAATAATAAATCATTTTCATTAAATTTCTTCAAAATGGACATGTACTGTTTATCCATTGAATCCTTTACAGTAGTTAAACTATCAATGAAAGTCAACTTTTTATTATTCATATTCTCTTTAATAATATCATTTATTTTGTCTAACAGCTCTATGGAGACATCCTTTAAATGTTGATCAACAGAATTCTCAAATTTCTCATTTATCTTAGATATTAGAGATTGCCGATTTTCTAAATAAACTTGTTTAGTATAACGTGAAGCCATAGAATCATAGTCGCTTAGACATTGTTCTTTTATATGCTTCAATTCTAAAATCAAATCATCTCTATTATTCAAGATTGGTTGAACTATTTTATCAAAATCATTGAAATATTTAATAAATGTTTCTTCCAAAATTTCATTTGTCTTAAACCTTGCAACAAGAATCTGTTGAGTAGGTAAATCCAAATCTTTATTATTTTCAATTTGATCCCAACAATTTTGTGCATACATGCACCAACCATCTAATGGCAGCATATGATGATATATAGGTCTAAAAATAGCCTTCTCGGATTTTGTTGGTGACTGAGAGAATTGATCACCTAATTTTTTAACATCTTCAATAAACTTGTCATTTTGCAAAATTTTATGACCTAAACCTACAAATTTCAAATCAAAAAAGTCATATAATGAGATATTATCAGATCCTATTGGTTTATTTAGGCCATCCCAAAGAGACTCTAATTCATTAATCAAAGATTCGCTTAAACTTTCCAACGGAGTAACACCCACATGATCTCTGATAACAAATAGTAATAGAACCTTCTTCTTTTGATGTGAATTCCCGAACAAAGATAAATTAACTTCGAAGACAGTCTTCAGTAACCCCATGTTATTCCCTTGATATAAACCAATTTGCTGTTCCCACAGATTAACGATCAACACCTCGGATACAGAGATAGCAAACAAAGCTGCCTTTCTTTCGAAATCTTGGTCTTCTCCACGTTCTGCACCATCTGAACCTTCTACATCTAGGACAAACAATTCTTCATTTAACAAAGACCGATCATCATGACTATTATTAATTTCATGAGTATGAGCTAACCAAATCCCCTTTGTAGTCTGTTGTCTTTTGACTTGTGCATCCATTGTGTCGAATTCAGTGTTAAACAAAATATTTAAAAGGGTCGACTTACCACTAGATTGGGAACCAAACACCGATATAACATGATAGTTTTGACCAATATCCTTTTCTTCTAAGATGCTCTTAAAATAAGGTAAGATAGCATCTGAAAATTGTTTCTCCTCATTAATTAATTGGATGGCTGTTTGTTCCACCATTGTTTCACTTGATTCTCTTTTATACAGTTGTTAATGATAATATGAATGCACTCTAGACAACAGAAGCTATTACACACACATATACGTATGCACAGATATGTGCTTTTTGTTCTCCTAAGCGTGTATTTGCTAATTGTAGTTGCGATTCTTTTTATTTCTTCTACTTCTTCTTAACATTGATCCTTTCTTTTTTTTTTTTTTTTTTTTTCACATAAATATAATTTAGTAAACGCAACGGACTCAATAAATAAATAATTAAACGTAACAGAGAGACGTAAAAGAGGCGAAAGTAGCCAAACAAGTCCACGCACGATAGAAGTGACTGTCTATTGACATAAGAATAGGCATACTGATCATTAAAAACTAGTCAAAAAATGAGTAATAATAGTAAGTTAGACAGGGTCATTGCCCGTTTCCAAAAGAGAATCGAGGAACGTAATTACTATGAAGCACACCAAACTTTAAGAACCATTGCTAACAGATATGTGAACAGTAAATCCTATGATGACGCTATACAATTGATCATGCATGGTTCTCAATCATTTTTAACTGCCAAACAAGGTGGTGAAGGTACTGATTTGATATTCTATCTGTTGGAAATCTATGATATGGCCAACATTGAAGTCAGCGATTCCTCAGTGGCGAAATTGATTCAATTGCTAGTCTTGATCGATCCAATGGAACCCAATTTGAAAGATGTCGTTACTGGTATGAATAATTGGTCTATTAAATTTGGTGAATGCAAATTTGGTGATCCCCATTTACATAATGCCATTGCCATAAAATTATTAGATGCTGGATTTGTCTATGAAGCTGAGAGATATTTAATGTTAGGTACATCTGAGAGTCTTACTAAATATATTGATCTTCTATGGAATTGGTTTTTGGACACCGTCACAGATGAGAATGTTTCTACTCTTGTCGGTGACTTTATCAGCAGATTAATCTTCAATTATTTATTTATCGTCAATATAGATTTCACCATAAAAGCAAGAGACCAATTTATTAGTAAATTTGTTGCAAAATTTCCACAATTTGATTATGAAATGATTTCAAAGGGAGAAGATATCTTTAAAATGTGGTATCTAAAGAACTTACCTGAATTAAATTTCTTACAATTATTAATTCTAGTATGTCAAACAAAAGATAAAACCCTATTCTTAAATTTGAAAGAACATTATTCAAATTACGCTGGTAAATACCAAAGTCAACTAGATTTTATAGGGCAAGAGTATTTCAATATCATCCCACCAAGACAATCCAACTTCTTACAAGACATGATGACTGGTTTATTGGGTGGTAAATAAATAAACAGTTATATAATTAGATATAGATGTTAGATATGACTAAATACTAGGTACAGAAAAAACCTATCTTTTAATACTAGATCTGTTTAAAGCTTCAAGAAGTTCCGGTCTCTTGGCTTTTATCAATTCTCTTTTAGCATCCTCATATAAAAAATATCTACGTTTCCTTTTGTTGCATTCAGGGTATTCATCAAACAACTGACTCACTTTCAATTCATAGAAATGGAATTCTGATCTTGGTGGATGTTTAATGATAGTATCACCATTTTCTGTGTTACCTTTGTAATTCATATTCCATTCTTTAGGTGGACGCATGTCTTCCACCACACCAAGCGATTTAACAATAGTCCCTGCACAACCGGCTTCTTCCCAAGTTTCTCTTTGTGCAGCTGTTTCGTAATTTGGTTCATCAGATTCCACACCACCTTTTGGCAAGATCCATTTTTCTTTGCTTGCGGAAGAGGTTATCATCAACACCTTGTTTCTTTCCTCGTTTAAACAAACACAACCAGCCACTATTCTTGCACCTGTTATTTTTGAATAAACCTGATTCTTTCTACCAACACGAGCTACCTTAGACCTTTCCATCGAGAACATTTATCCACACTAATAATTATCACCACTTCTTACTGTTACTGTTGATCTCTCGTTAGTACTTTGCCAGAAATCAATGCTACATACATACTTGTTCTATATATATATATGTGTATATACATATATATTGATCTGAGACCCTTCTATTTTCTGTGGAACAGATAAGAAACAATTTTGAATCGTTTATTATAAAACTGTAAACCATCAAGTATCGTATATAGGTATATATGAGAGTACTAAACATGAGAGTAACAACTAAACAAACAAAAAGATAGAAGTATCTAGATTTATATATATATATATATATATATATATATATGATTATTTTTATCTATAATCCTAATGCCACTCCTTCATACTGACTTGATGTATTATCATAACCTTCCTCGTTATTCAACAAAACCCTGCTGTCTTCACGAGGATTCAAGGTGGGAAACACAGAATCAATATGAATAGTCATCCAAATCGATAGCCTCTCACATTGTTTTATTATCAATTGACAACTTTGCAAATCCATTGTGGTAGCCGAGATCAATTCGGGCAAAATGGTGATCAATCTTAACAGATGCAATGGTCCATATATATCAGATTTGATCATCCTTTCGTTCCTTTCCTTGTACTGCTTCAACAGAGTCTCGTATTGTAGCCTTTCTAATCTATACAGCAGTAATCTCGATAGAGAACATTCAAAATAATCTATTAAGCCTGATAGAAACTCATTTAATTGACATTGTTCCACCAACGTCATATTTTTCATAGCCTGTTTCTTATAAATAGATAACATTTGGTTGACTGTCATTTTAGAAGGAAGCGTCAATATTCTTTTATCTTTTGTTATGAGTTCCCAATCATCCACCAATTTCGCCTTTAACTTGATAGGTATATGCAATACCAACCTGGATGGACCATAATTCCAGTGATTTGAATCGTCATGATAAGAATTTGGAGATAATGAAGTATTATTATTATTATTGTTATTAGCATTGGTGTAATTTCTCTTACTATTACTACTATTATTGGCATCTTGCTTGATATTTGAATTACCATTCCTATCATGCTTATTGTTAAATCCATTATGTGATGACGATGAATTTTTTTTACTAGTGGAAGAAGAAGAAGAAGAAGCAGTAGAAATCCCAGATCCAGATTCAACATTCCTTCGTTTATTGTTGCCACTACCACTACTACTATTATTATTATTACTTTCTGAATTTTTATTACTTAAATTTGAATCACTGCCATTCTTCCTCTTTTTACTACTGGTACTGCTACTACTATTATGATCATTTTGATTTTTGGATCTTTGATTATCTTTGACCTCTTGAATCAACCGTTTCTTCAATTCAATGTTTTCCTCATTATACTCTCTAATTCTCTCTACACCAATCCATTCATCCCACGTAGCTTTCCAGCCTTGGTAATGAATGAAGAAATTATATTGATCCCGTAGATCTTCTGGAGGATATAAATCACTTTGATCGTGTCGTTTACTTGAACTATTACTACTACCACTACCACTACCACTACTGCTGTTATTACTATTGCTATTGCTACTGCCACTATTGCTACTACTACTACTACTACTACTACTACTACTACTATTATTATTATTATTATTATTATTATTATTATTATTATTATTATCCAGTATTAATTTATGTCCAGTTGGATTCCAAATACGTAAAATTTTAGCTTCATAAAGCAATGGACCATGGAATGCAAGACATTTCCCACCAACAACAAACTGGTTCAAATTGATCTTCTCATTATTCACCGAACTCGTATTTTTGGTTTCTGAACCCATAATTTCTTCCCCTCTCTTTCTATGACTATATCTATATTTTGTGATTTCCCTAGACCAGTACACTCGCCTAAACAATGCACATACAAACGCACACACACACTCTTTCTCTTTCTCTTTTCATTCCTTCTCCCTCATGCAATTCTAAAAAGTTTCAAGCACTTAAATGTTTACAACAACTGTATTTTTTTCCCTCCATTCCACTAAAAAAAAAAAATTATTCCCATCTTCAAATTCATCTGTGAGACCAAAAGAAGAGGCTAAAAAGAGACTATCAATAGAATGAAGAGCATGTAGATTGGCGAGATAGAAGTAGAAAGGAAGCATTCAGTTGAGAATTTGAGTTGTCAGTGTGTATGGTTAGGTAAGAAGAGCTTAAAATCTAACTAAAATCTCAAACTAGTATTTGATTAATAGCAACAACCATACAAATAGAGACGTATCTAAAACGCAGAAAACAAGAATAAAACATTACAAAGACAAAAAAAAACAAAAAGATATTAAATAGTCAGATAAGTGATATGCTGTCGTCTGTTCGTAGATCGAATCATCAAAAACATATAGTAGGAATCCACTACGTTTTGGGAAACAAGATAGGCGAGGGATCCTTTGGTGTAATCTTTGAAGGTGAAAACATCCTGAATGAAAACCATAAGGAGCCAGTTGCTATAAAATTCGAGCCACGTAACTCTGAGACACCGCAGCTGAGAGACGAATTCAGGGCGTACCGGATTCTGAATGGGTGTTTGGGGATCCCACACGCATACTACTACGGCCAGGAGGGGATGCACAATGTTCTGGTCATTGACTTGTTAGGACCCTCATTAGAAGATCTATTTGAATGGTGTGGACGCAAGTTCTCAGTGAAGACCACATGTTTGATTGCGAAGCAGATGATCCAGAGAATCAGAGAGATCCACAAACATGATTTGATCTATAGAGACATTAAGCCTGATAATTTCTTGATATCGCAGTACCAATTGGTCAGCAAGGAGAACAAGTGCATTACCAAGAATGCGCACGACGATCCCAACCTGATCTACATGGTTGATTTTGGTATGGCGAAACAGTATAGAGACCCGAGAACAAAACATCATATACCATATAGAGAGAAGAAATCGTTGAGTGGTACAGCCCGATACATGTCGATAAACACGCATTTTGGCAAAGAACAATCGCGTAGAGACGATTTAGAGTCGATTGGCCATGTACTTTTCTATTTCTTAAGAGGTTCGTTGCCCTGGCAAGGGTTGAAAGCGCCGAACAGCAAATTGAAGTACGAAAAGATCGGTCATACCAAACAGAAGATTCCACCGAATGAGTTGTTGATGAACGATTTGATACCAAGACAGTTTGCTATGTTTTTGTCGTATTCCAGAGGATTGAAATTCAATGAAGAGCCGGATTATGAGTATTTGATTGGTTTAATTGATGAGGTCATGGTTGAGAATAAAATAGTTGATGATGGCCATTATGATTGGATGGAGTTGAATGATGGAAAGGGGTGGGATATTAGAGTCAATAAAAGAACAAATCTACATGGATATGGAAACCCAACGCCCAGAAACACAAATACAAACAAGGCAAGATTCAATATGGATAGTAGGAAAGGATCGAACTCACCATATGACAGAACTGTGATAAATAAGAGCACAAACATGTATAAAAACAATAATTGTACTTCTACGCCCACACCAACGGATTCAAACATAATTAGTTCCAGCAATAACTATAATCATAGTCATAACCATAGTCATAATCTTAACCCTAATCCTAATATTGATAGCTTGTATAATAATAAATACAAATCAGCTTCATATATTCAAGATACACCAAGTAAGATGATAAGCAACAACAACAACAACAACAACAACAACAATAATAATAATAATAATAATAATAATAATAATAGTGGAACTAGTAGAAATAGTAAGAATAGTAAACAACAACAAAGAATAATAACCAATTCTTCTAATAGAAATTATAATTCGATTGAATCCCCAAATGATATTTTATTCAAGAAAGGCAACAACTACAGAAGTAATCATCCACTAAATAATCAAAGATATGATAGTGATAATTACTATGTAACAAATGATGATAGCGATAGTAATAATGATAATAATAATAATAACAATGACGACGACTTTACAAGGATAAATGAAAATAGAAGACATTGTTGTAATTTACTGTTATGTTGTTTTGGAAATTAGTATGATATACAAAAATACAAAATATGCATATCCAACTAGTAGAAACATTGTTAGAAATGCTATTAGATATGTATATATACAAAATATTGATAATATCCAATATATATATATATATATATATAAAAAGACTGGCGATAGAACCAAACTTTTAAACACAAACATTTTTTTTTCTTTCCCCTTTCCTTTTCCTTTTTGTTTTTTTCGTAGTCCTTTGACCTGTTACTTAGGGTTGCACGCGCACAATTTCCAAGTTTCCCCATAGAATTCCACATATCAGTTAGGGCACAACACCTGTTTGTAGCAGGAAAAAGAGGAGTTTTATTTTTTGTTTTAGGTCTTGCCACTTTTCCGTCGGACTTCTTTTTCCGCGGTTCTTTTCATTTTTCATTTTTCATTTTTTTTTTGGGAAGGAAAAAATGAAAATGAAAATGAAAAATTTCTCTCGGCAAGCGGGAAAAAAAAAGAAAAGGGGAGGAAAACAAAGTGAAATAAAAATTAAACAGGAGGTTAAAACAAACGTGAATTTCACACATTCGAGGTGAAAGTGAAAAATGAAAAATAAAATGAAATAAAAAAAAAAATTGAAGTGTGAAACGGAAGGAAAAGGGCTTTGTAGACTCTTTAGTTTTGGTTCTTAGATCCAAACATAGCAACTGACTAACTAACTATCTATAGCAAGAACAACAGCAACAGTAACAGCAATTTAATATTTACACCTACTGTCTGGAAAAGTATTTTTTTGTCTGGGTTCTGATTTAATCTTTAATACCAAGTCAAGTGGAACTAATCCTATAAACATTACAATCAGAACATACAAGAAAGAAACAAAAAAAAAGATATATATATATATATATATATATAAGTTAAGAGGAACGGTTTATCTCATCCATAAAGAAACATATCTGGATATTCAAACTTAATTCATCTGTTTTTGTCCCATCCATTTTTTGTTGTGAGCGTGAGTGCGTGTTTGTGTTTGTGTTTTATTTATATATAAATATTTCTTAATCTCTTTTTTTCCTCTTTCTATATATATATATATATCTCTCTCTCACTCCCTCGCTCCCTCCTCTTTAGCATATATACTGGTCTACTTCATATTTTACTATGCCTGCTTCTATATCAGTCAAATTAGTGGCTGCTGAATCTCTTTATAAAAGAGATGTCTTCAGATCTCCTGATCCCTTCGCTGTCTTGACTATCGACGGATACCAAACCAAATCAACCTCAGCTGCCAAGAAAACATTGAATCCATATTGGAATGAAACTTTCAAGTTCAACGACATAAATGAAAACTCAATCCTAACCATTCAAGTCTTCGACCAGAAAAAATTTAAGAAAAAGGATCAAGGGTTCCTTGGTGTAGTCAATATTCGCATTGGTGATGTGCTCGGTCATTTGGACGAAGATTCAATATCCAATAACAACAACAACAATAATAATAGAATAAGAGAAGAGACTATCACCAGAGATTTGAAAAGATCTAATGATGGTATGAATGTTAGCGGTAGATTAATTGTTGTCTTATCTAAACTGCCATCATCATCATCAACAACAACAATTGCAGCACAATCGAATTCACGTTCTTCTGCATCCGCAAATGTCACTGCTTCTAATGCTTCAAATTCTACTTCTTCTTCAACTCAAAGAAGAACTACTGCACAGGCTGTTGAATCTACATTACAAAGTGGTTCTACGGCAGCAGCAGCCACAACAGCGACAGCAGGAACCTCATCGACAACATCAACAACCACTAATAATAACAACAATAATAATAATAGTAATAATAATAACAATATGCATGATCACGCTAGTAGACAATATTCCTCCTTCGAAGATCAATATGGAAGATTGCCACCAGGTTGGGAAAGAAGAACCGACAATTTCGGTCGTACCTATTATGTGGATCATAATACAAGAACTACCACTTGGAAACGTCCAACCACAGATCAAAATGAACTTGAACGTAATAATCAGTTGAATGCAAACACTGAGTTAGAAAGAAGACAGCATAGAGGCAGAACACTTCCAGGTAATGCTAATGGTGCAAACTCGAGCGAAAATAGTTCCATCTCCGTACAAGTCACTGGTAACAATAATAACACGCCTGCAGTCAATGGCGCAGTAGCTGCTGCATTTGCAGCTACTGGTGCTACCACATCCGGGTTAGGTGAATTACCATCCGGGTGGGAACAAAGATTTACCCCTGAAGGTAGGGCCTATTTTGTAGATCACAATACAAGAACCACCACTTGGGTGGACCCAAGAAGACAGCAGTATATCCGTACCTATGGTCCAACAAACACAACCATTCAACAACAACCTGTATCCCAATTAGGTCCATTACCATCTGGTTGGGAAATGAGATTAACTAATACTGCACGTGTCTATTTCGTGGACCACAACACAAAGACCACAACATGGGATGATCCAAGATTGCCTTCCTCCCTTGATCAAAATGTGCCACAATACAAACGTGATTTTAGACGTAAAGTCATTTATTTCAGGTCACAACCAGCATTAAGAATCTTACCTGGCCAATGTCATATTAAAGTACGTAGAAAGAATATATTCGAAGATGCATACCAAGAAATTATGAGACAAACACCGGAAGATTTAAAGAAAAGATTAATGATCAAATTCGACGGTGAAGAAGGTTTGGATTATGGTGGTGTCTCTAGAGAATTCTTCTTCTTATTATCACACGAAATGTTTAACCCATTCTATTGTCTATTTGAATATAGTGCCCATGACAATTACACCATCCAGATAAATCCAAATAGTGGTATTAACCCTGAACATTTAAATTATTTCAAATTTATCGGTAGAGTTGTAGGTCTTGGTGTTTTCCACAGAAGATTCTTAGATGCATTCTTTGTCGGTGCCCTATATAAAATGATGCTTAGGAAAAAAGTTGTATTACAAGATATGGAGGGTGTTGATGCAGATGTTTACAATTCGTTAAAATGGACCTTAGACAACCAAATAGACGGCGTTTTAGATCTAACGTTTAGTGCAGATGATGAAAGGTTCGGTGAGGTAGTTACTGTGGATTTAATACCGGATGGTAGAGACATCGAGGTCACTGATGAAAACAAAAAGGAATATGTAGAAAAATACACTCAATGGAGAATCGTTGATAGAGTTCAGGAACAGTTTAAAGCCTTTATGGATGGTTTTAATGAATTGATTCCTGAAGATTTAGTGACAGTTTTCGATGAAAGAGAATTGGAATTACTAATTGGTGGTATTGCAGAAATCGATATCGAGGATTGGAAAAAACACACAGATTACCGTGGCTATCAAGAGTCTGATGAAGTTATTCAGTGGTTCTGGAAATGTGTCAGTGAATGGGATAACGAACAAAGAGCAAGATTGTTACAGTTCACCACCGGTACATCAAGAATACCGGTCAATGGATTTAAGGACTTGCAAGGTTCTGATGGTCCAAGGAGATTTACTATTGAAAAAGCAGGGGAATGCCAACAATTACCTAAATCACACACTTGCTTCAATAGAGTCGACTTACCTCCATATACTGATTATGATAGCTTAAAACAAAAATTGACATTAGCTGTTGAAGAAACTATTGGTTTTGGTCAAGAGTGAATAAAAAAAATATAAAATAATTTGTACATTTAAATGAAATGCCAATAATAATGTTAATGTTCTATTAAGATAACTAAGATCAATAAATATATTTTGTTTACGTATTTTTGAATGATTAATTTTTCTTCTTCTTCACCTTTACCTTTTAATGCCCTCATGTCTATTACCATACTTACCATCAATCTAATGGAGGTAAAAGAAAAAAAGAAAGATTTCAAAAGTGAAATAATAATGAATTCTCCATAAGCTTCTTTCCTTTTTGATTTCTATTTTTTTGCTAGTTCTTATATTTACCATTTTTTTTTATTATTATTGTTTTATTCCTTCACTACCACCATTATTCTCTATCTATTTATACCTTGTCCCACTTTCTACCGTTATTCTATATCCTGTTAATGTATTTATTATTAGTATTATTATATACATATGAAATTATATATTTCTATCATAAGTATTATGATTTATTACGACACAGATGTTCTGAATATCTTTTTTTCTATGATTTTGACGTATGATGTTTTATTGTACACAAAGAGTATGTATGAATTAGTATGTAAGTAGATATATTCTAATGTTCATTAATGATGTTTGTATTATCACTTTGATATAAAATATAATTAAATATACGTGTTTATCCACACGAGAAAATATATCAAAAGGAAAAGAGTAAGGATTTATTAAGGAAAATCTAATGAATCTGAATTAATATGAATAATAACAGAGATTGACGATAAAGGAAGGGAAATTTTAAGAAAGAAATAACCAAAACAAAAATAGGAAAATGATATAGATAATATTTAGATCATACCACAATCATTCATACAAGAAGAACTGCATTGACACAACCATCTCTGTCTGGCTCATTAGTAATTTGTGCATATTTACCCCAGACGACTTTACCACCAGATGTAACCATACCCAATTCAGACACATTGACTTCAATGATGGTACCTTTAGTTAAGACACCTAACTGTGTATACATTGGTGATTGTGGATTCTTCTTGACACTTAATATTGGCAAAAACACTGTGACACCCAATTCTGGATGTGTTACATTAGCCTTCTTTTGTCTCAAAGCAGTAGGCCTGATGATTCTTTCTGTTTTTACTGGTCTTCTAGTGAACCCCTCACCAACAAAAGTATGTTTTGTGATCATTCTTTTCCATGACTTAGATTTAGATTTACCTGTCTTAACCACTTTAAACATTTCTTCCTCACTGATACCTCTAACTTTTGGTAATGGCACAGAGAATTTGTCAGCTTTCTCCAATCTTTTCTGTTTGATAGAAGACGATATAGCCTTAGCAGTATTAGTTTGTTCTCTGTCCAATAAATATGTTGGCAAGGCATCCCCATTTTCATCCAATGGTTTGGATCCCCCTTTGACCTTACTTTGCTCATGCGCCCTAATACGTTTCTTCATAGCCACCTTTTCAGCATATCTCTTCTTAGCAAATTGTTTACCTCTCCAACCAGTTAATTTTTGTGCTTGATAAGCAATTTTATGCACCTCTCTTGCTTCTTTCTTTCTCTTTCTTTCTTCATAATCCAATCTTCTACCATGCTGTTTAACATGTTGTTCAATATATTCGTTTTGAGGCATGACGAAATTGATATTATTTGATGCTTGATATCTTGGTTATCTTTATCTTTCTATTTTAATGTATATGCAAGAATATTAAAATAAGAGGCACGATAAATCAACTCAAACTAACACTCACCAACTATACTAACTAAAAGAGACTGTTTCATCAAAACTACACACACACAACACTTGCGATGAGCTTCAAAACTTTTCAAGGCTTACTCAGTCTCTCTATTCTTTTATGGTTTTTTATTTCTTTTTTTTTTGTTGTTGTTGGAAGAAATGAAAATTTTGAAAAATAAAAAAAAATTTTTTACAGTATATTCAAATAAAATAAGATGAGATGAGATGAGATGAGATGAACTGAGAAATATGATATATTTGAGACTAAAGCGGGTTTGAAGAGGGATAGTACCAGTAGAAGAATATATAACACTCAAAAGTGTGACATTTTATTATTAGGATAATAATTAAGCCTGTCTGGGGTGAAAATAATCAGAAACAACCGCAAAAAGAAGCAAGAAATATGTCAAGTTTACAGGCTATTTTAGAATCCATCAATGGATCACTAAAGACAACATTAGAATCAGTATCAAAACTGGAGAACTTATATGGAGAAGGACAAGAGGATAAATCCAATGGATTTGAATCCTTCTTTGACTCCAAGGACAAGGCTTCATCATCTTCAAAAGAAAGGGTATCTTTACTATCGTTGAAGAATGGTGCCATATTATCTTATGTGCAGTCATTGTTAATGATTGCCCATGATAAGATGGATCCAGATTGTAGGGATCCAACTGGTGATAAGGGCCGTCAGTTAGCTATTGAGAACCGTGTTGTGTTAGAACGTGGTGTGAAGCCTTTGGAAAAGAAATTGTCTTATCAGTTAGATAAATTAATTAGAGCTTACAGAAGAATGGAAAAGGAATATATGGACGCAGAAAGACGTGCAACAGAGAAATTATCTAGAATAGACCATGATGATAGGTCTCATAGTGACGAGGAAAACAACAGCGATGATAGCAAGAGTAGCAGTAGTGACAGTGATAGTAGCGATGAAGAAGAAGAGGAAATGTCATACCGTCCCAATGTTATTAAAAGCAAATCAATCCGTAAAGATAAAGGTAGAGGACATGAAAGTGGAGAAGAAGAAGAAAATAATGAGAATAATAAACAACCTAAAAAAGATGGTATCTATAGACCACCAAAGATTAGTGCCATGTTACCACCAACAGCACACATATCCCAACATTTTGAAGATAAATTTAATGCTAAAGACCATAAGGATCATAGTAATAGATCGCGTATGCAAGCTATTGATGAATATTTAAGAGATCAGTCGGAACAACCAGATTGGGAATCATCTGTTGGTGCCAATATTGTAGATCACGGACGTGGTGGGATCAAGTCGTTAAGAGATACAGAGAGAGAACGTCGTGTAACGGAGTATGAAGAAGAAAATTTCACACGTATTAATTATCTAGGTATGAACAAAGCAGAAAGAAAGAGGATGAAGCAAAGAGAACATGCAGCAAGAGCCAACATTATAGGTGGTGAAGACTTTGGTATATTTAACTCAAAGAGAAAGTTGGAGGACAGTACATCAAGACGTGGGAATAAAAGATCTAAAACAGCTTGGGAAAGAGCTAAAAAAAGATTGTAATAAAAGAAAGACTCAGAATTACTCACATACACACACACACACATATATATATATATATATATATATATGAACACAATTGTATATGTTATATATATATATATATGACCAGATTCTGCAATTTAATACTCCACATCTCGAATATATCTAACTTGCAAATTTGTTTATTTCCAGTAAACATCTTTTAGTTTCCATACTATAGAATCAAGAAAATGCTTAGAGGAATAAAGAAAAATAAATCAATAAAATAAACACCATCATACAAAAACAACCTAGTTCCAGTTCCACCTAACCAGCCCCATCATATCCATCTGTTACTCATTTCTTTCTCAGTTGTCTATAGAAATGTATACGTATAACTACACGTACGTACATACGTATACATATATACATATATATATCCAATCTTTTGTTAACAAGCCACGGTCATAATTCTGGAAAATAAGTAAGAAACAACCATATTAATGAATAACGAATATATTAGAAGGAAAGTAGCAGATAAAGATATACAATTATGTTTGATATGTCATAAATTGACATCAACGGTGTTGTTCAATAAATCCGGACCTGATTGGATATATTCATGTGATATCCACTTGGACGATAATCCACAGTTTGTTGTCCCATTACATTCAGATGAATATTACAAAGCTGTTGAAGAATTGAGGTGTTGTCAAGAAAGATTGAGTCAGCTAAATAGTAAAGATGAACAGTCGAAGTCTTGGGATGGTTGGATAACCACTATTTTCAATAAAAAAAGGGAAGTAGAAAAGAATAAGAATAAAGACAAAGATACGATTGATGAAGAAATTAAAGATAATAACACTGGTAATAGTACTAGTAAAGCTGATGCTACTCCTGAATTAGTAAGAAAAGAATTGCAATTGAAATATGACACAGCATTAGAGACAATGACTATGTTACAAAAGCAAAATAAACGTTTTAAACTTAGTGATAAAATGTTTCAACATAGACTACAATTTCATAGAGATCAAAAACGTAGATTACATCAACTCAAGAAGCAAGAAGAATTGATGAAAAGGGAAGCTGCAAACTATAGCAATACAGATCCCTCTGAATTAATATCAAAATTCAATTTCCCAACAGCTCCTAAAAGTAGTCTTGAGTAAGTTATTTATTTACTACATTCACATTCATAATCATACATGAAGGTTACAGGCTTCACAGAAACATATAAAAAGGACAGAAATCAAAGAACAGTGTATATATGCATCTTATCTATTTTAAACAGAGTTCTATGTCACTTTTATCAGGACAACTTCTCGTCAGTTCTTTAAATAGAAGGGATTCTAATGTCAAGTAAGATTACAAATTATTAATCGTCTACTTAGCGCTCAAATAGAACCACTGTTGAGCTATCCACATCCACAACCCCCAATTAATCTTCATGATTCAACTCACTTGATGAGAACTCTTCTGTGTTCACTCTTCTTAAACTCACACAAGAAGAGAAACTTTCTACAACTAAAATTGATCTTTGTTTTTAAACTTTCTACAGGAAACAAAAACAAAAACAAAAACAAAAACAAAACAAAAAAGAAAAAAAATACCTTAAAGATAGAAAAAACTTATTATGTGTGATTTTTTTGATAGAATCAATTGATTGATTCACATAATTGAATATTAGAGAGACATAACGAGTGTATTTTGTGTGTATACTCACTACCCGTTGCCTATACCTGTATACACTTGTTATATTTATAATTATTTATTTGGTTTAAACAATTTTGACACGGTGGGGTTTTCTTAGAGAGAGGATCAAAAATAAATAAAGCTAGCTAACAAAAAGAGTGAGCGTGTATGTGTATTGTTAAACTTAAAGGTAACACAGGAGAATTATAATATTTACACGTATATGTATACTCACTATTTTTATTAAATAATCACAACCGAAGAAACAAAAAAAAGAGAGAATTCCTAATTACACCAGTACTGTTATTTATTTATATACATATATATACTTGTCTGCTTGTTCAAGAACTATTAATCGAGGGATTGGATAAATATGTATAGTCATAGCAACAGTAATGACACTTTTGAAGAGGTAGATGTCCCATTAGATTTACAACACAAGTTGAACATGGCAATATGTGGAACGGAATCACATAATTTACCGCCTGCCGTGCATGAAAATAGTAGTGATGAAAACAATAATGCATATTATAGGAATACTAATACTAATATTAATAGCATAATGGACCAAAACATGAATACAAAGAATACACATGAATCTTATCCATCTCTTATACCACAACACAATTTTATTTCTGATGGTACCGATATAAGTAAAATTAAATCTAGGGACAACCAACAAGGGAAAACTAACCAATATTTGGCTAAGACAAGGTCATCAGGGCGAGTATCATTACTTTCTACCAATTCATCTACAGATTCACTTAATCTATTATTGGATAGGCAAAGAATAAGTCAACTGAACCATCCAATGCACCAAGTGCTTATCTCTCACCATGGAAATGATTGGAAATCTAAAGTTAAAGAAACGAACAAAATATCTTTGACATATGATCCTGTATCCAAACGCAAGGTGCTAAATACATATGAAATTATAAGAGAACTGGGGCAAGGTCAACATGGGAAAGTTAAATTGGCAAAGGATTTAAACACAAATGAATTCGTAGCTATTAAGATAGTCAACAGGCATGAAAGAAACAAATTCCACAGAACTTTTTTTAAAAAAATTATTGAGAATGATAAAATTAAAAGAGAGATAGCTATAATGAAAAAGTTACATCATCCACATGTTGTGAAATTGATTGAAGTGTTGGACGATTTGAAATCAAGGAAAATATATTTGGTGCTGGAGTATTGTTCGAGAGGTGAAGTCAAATGGTATGATGATAGTAATTGTTTAGAGATGGATGCAAAGGGTCCCCCCATTTTAAGTTTCCAGAGAACGAGAGAGATTATTAGAGGAGTTGTACTAGGCCTAGAATATTTACATTATCAAGGAATTATCCATAGAGATATAAAACCTGCAAATCTTTTAATATCAGAAGATGGAACGGTAAAAATATCTGATTTTGGTGTCTCATTGGCCTCCACAAATATTATGAAACATTGTAGCAATAATAATAGTTTAGATACCCAATCCACCCTTCCTGATAATAATAATAGTGACACTATTACTATCACCAGCAGTGTTGATGAATTAGAACTGGCAAAAACAGCAGGAACACCGGCTTTTTTTGCTCCAGAGATATGTTTAGGCGAAGAAGTGTTTACAAGATATAATGTGAATAGAACTGAATTGTTTAATGGGTCATGTATCTCTCTAATGATTGATATTTGGGCACTAGGTGTAACGTTGTATTGCTTATTATTTGGGAAGTTACCGTTTGTGTCTAATTATGAACTAGAATTATTCGAAAAGATTGTCAATGATAAAGTAATGTATCCATCATTCAATGAATTAAATTCCAATAATGTATCAAATGTCTCGTGCGAACAGGAATATGATTCGTGCATTGACTTATTGAATCGTTTATTAGAGAAAAACCCTGCAAAAAGAATTCCAGTAGCAGATATAAAGACTCATAGCTTCATATGCTGGGATTTTAATCATATGCCCAAATATAATCCAAGTGAGATAAAACATATTTTACATGATAAGAAAGAATTTGAACAGAACCATAAGAAATCATGTAAACCTATTTCTATTACAAGACACGAATTAAAATATGCGGTGTCAGGTATTGGTAAAAAAATAAAGGATTCATTTTTAAATTCAAAGAATTATATCAAGAATAACAATAATAATAGCAATATAGCGTCAGTTAATGAGATTAATCCAGGTAAAAAATTTAGGAAAAATAATAGCGAATTGAGTTTATTGTTAAGTGAAGGTTCTATCATGAGTGATATTGGAGAGCATGATATTCTAACCACATTAACTCAACAACTATCATTAGAATCAATTCAATCTAGTGAAAGTGAGGGATTCAGCAAAAATGATAAACAAATGCTGACTCGCCCAATTTTAACTAAAAAAAATGTCTGTGGCAATAATAATTATATGACGAGCAATAATCTATATGCAGCACATAGTGATGGTAATGACAAATTGCAAAACAATCCGTTATTGAGTAATAACAATGATAATGACTTAGAGATTCAGGAATATAATAATGTTATCAATCTTCCTATTAACTCCTCTTTTGCATCTTTAGATTCATTTTACATTGATAATTATGCATTGAATAAAGTGGGTTTGCAATCTCCTTCTTTGGTCAATTTTGATGGTTCAAATCCATCTTCAAGTTATTTTAATACTAGAAATCCATCCTTCTCATCATCCAATGGTTTTGGATCATTTCTAGTATCGCATAACAAATTATATGGGACAAATACTAATAATAGTGGCGATGTAATCAGTAATAACAATAATAATATGAGTCAAACAAATTTTACTAAGCCAACAATCAGAACGCCAACTCCTCGATTAGAGACTAAGAACAGTAGAAGGAATGTGAAAAATATAAAATCTAGAGTAGCTACTAGTAAAGATAAAAATAGAAATAAAAAGAATGAAAATAAATCGAATAACAATATAATTTTTTCCAATTCCAAAGATAAAGATGCGGTCAAATGCACCATCACTAATAATAATAATGACAATGGCAATAATGTGAACAATCAATCTAATGGCAAAAATTTACCTAGGGATAATATGAAACAATCAAATAGCAATTTACATATGATTAATCAATATAATCCATTGATACCTCCTTTACGAAGAATTCAACGTGGTAATTTTATAGATGCATTGAATGGATCTGATTCTGATTCACATGAAAGTGGGAGTTTTCAATCCACATGTTCCTCTTCTTCATCCTCCTTGTCATCATCATCATACTCGTCATCATCGTCTTCCTCATTCTCTTCTTCTTCGTCCTCATTATCATCCAACATATATCACCCTATCGAGGGTACAAATTCTACAGATTCATTACCGTTTGAGTTTGCAGTTGATCCAGAAAGAGTGGGTAGTGTGGTCTCGTTTGATATGTCACGGTTCCAGGGAAATGGGTTTGCAACCAACTATCAAACATCTCAAGATATATAAAACTGCAAGAAAACAGCCAAATAGAAAAAGATACTTAGAGATATTCTTTAGGGATTCTATCACCACTAAACCAAAATAGGTTTGTGTTCTAGCCAATCTTTTATAAAGATTAATGACTTTTTCTTTTTTTTTTGATGCAAATATTAAAGTATATATATTTATATATTTATAGATTAATGAATAAACGAAGAATAATATAATGAAATGTCTATCTTATATCCTTTTACTTAGTAACGTCTATCTATGTATCAGTCATTTACACCCTTCATTGTTGCTGCATAGGATAATATTGAGGTATCACATAATTTGAAGGATAGACGTATTGTTGTTGAGCAGTAGTAGAAGTAGTATTTGGGACATAATTCACAGGTAGAGGTTGTGGTATATTTTGCTGATATACAGTAGGTTGTGTCATCATTGCGGGTACTTGATTAATTGCTGGTTGAATAATTCCTTGTTGATATATGTTAGGTTGAGTTAAGTCCACAGTCCCATCGAAGATTGCAGGCCTAGGAGCATTAATGGAGGTACTACTATTGTTATTGCTACTATTGTTGGTGTATTGACTCGATATGATGTTAGTGCCGTCAAATATAGCTGGTTTAATTTCATTATTTGGTCTTTTTGGAAGTTCTGGAGGCGTTATATTATCCCTTCTATTAGCTTGATTATTATTATGATTATAACTATCAAAATCTTGCAAAAGATCATATGCTGAAGCAACGTTGCCTCTAGATATCAGCAGAGCTTCCACGATGTTGTCTATTGTGAAAAAGGTTGACGACTGATTTTGAATTTGTCTGATTTGGGTAGCAAACTTACTTAATTCATAGTCTTGTGCTCTTCTTCGACCGGAGATTTTCATGGAACCAGCCCTATTATTTTTACCATTCGACAACATAGGTTGAATGTACTTCCTGTTTATTAAGTCTTGTAAATCGAAGACATTATTAGTTGTGCAATTCATTTGAGTCTTAACTATTGGATTTCTGTCGTTACAAAATGTTTCAAGTTCATCTGGAGGCCAATGATCTAATGTGATTGATTTAATTCGTGACACATAAGGGTCCTTATTTAATAGTTGTTTATGTAATGTTGCACATCTTGTACATAAGAAGACATGGTAGGTCATGGAACACCATGTAGGGTTTCTAGAATGACAATCTGAACATTGGTTATAGTGTGGACTTCCATGTAATCTGTCCTGTAGTATTGTCCGATAATCCATTTTTTTTTCTTTGTTATCTGTTTTTTTTTTTTCTTTTGGTTCTATATATTATGTAGTGTTATTTTCAGTGTTATTATTACTATTATTAAGAATACTTTGCAATTAAAAATCCCTAAAGTTGTTGGTTATGTATATGAAGTTGTTGGATTACGGAGAAAAGATATTTTAATCGATAAAGCACACGTCAAAGTAGAACTTGTATAACCCCAGCCACGATAACTCAACCGGGTTTATCAAAGCAATTTCAATCTATACTCAAGACTGCATAAAATGTATAAACCCACACATCAGCAAGAGGTGTTGAAAATTTTTCTTTACATTTATATATTTCCTATTTAATACAAACTTTTTTTTTTTTGTTTTTCACTATTTTTGACAACGCCCTGTCATGTTACGGAAGTAGGAGGTTTTTTTTCCCACCTTCTCCATCCCTTCTCCTTAGTGAGAAAAGGCCCTCTACTACTTACAGATTAGTTAAACCACAGCGAGAGACTACGTGATGCTCTCTCTTCACCTCACCACAGGGGAAACATAATACTTCTCTCTCACTGTGGGCTGGGGAAGTGTTTGCTCTTCTTTTCTCACCCTCCCCCTTTCCTTCCTCTAGTGTGATGAACGAAAGGAAATGTGAGGGATGATGCCATCTCCTCCACCGTTTGTTTAGGTGTTTGTCCCATAGCAAGAAGGCGCAACAACAGTGTCGAGACAACCAGATCTTGGGAAGGGGAAGAACAAACACTTCCTCAGTTCGTCGTTCTACTTTCTCACAGTTGTCCCCGCCCACCACCAACAGGGAAGCTCCCTAGGCCATTTCCTCAGTAATCAGCGGCACCAAGAACAGTATAGTGTCTTCCCCCACAGGCCCCGGCCTAGCTTCGTGGAAGAGAAGTCAGAAACTCGCTAAGGTGAAGGCAAAGGCCGTGTGCAGGAAGAGAGGCAGAGAGGGAGGAGGGGGAAAAGATGGAAGTAGTAGACACATGAGTAGAGGAAAACATAGTTTTCAATGTTTAGTATTGCACAACCTTAACATAGTACTATTTACTATTGTTAATCTATATTTTGTTGTCTAATATTTATTAATATCATCTCTTGTTTATTATTTTAAGACTTGTTCCCTCAAGAGCCAAAAAGAGACCGTAGAACTTTATTATAGCAAATAGTATGTGTTATCGTGATATGATAAAAGAAGATTTTAAGAAGGATCATGAGTTTATTAATGAATCAAAACTGTTGTAGAGTATAATCTATACCAATAGAATTGTTGGTTTTTTAACTTAATTTTTACAAGTTATTGGCTTTACAGTAGGTTATCACTATCAAACAGATAATCCATGGATTTGAGATGTTTTTTTTTTTTTGTGTTTAGTATAAGAAAGTATCAAGAAAAGGCTTGCGATGGGTTGTTTTCCAATGGAAATATATTATAAATATAGATATTATAACCATTTTTTTGTTTTACTTTTATAGCCCTTCTCTGTATCCTTTTCAAACCTTCTTAAATGTATGGTAAATACATCTTAATAGATTGTTTCATCATTTCTCTTTTACTAACAAACATGCAAAAATAAAATTGCATAACTGACATTAAATATCATCACGTTGTCATTTATTTGTTTATTTCATTCATTATTTATGCAGTCTAAAAATGCCAAAGAAGAGAGCTTCCAACGGTAGAAACAAGAAGGGTAGAGGTCACGTTAAGCCAGTTAGATGTGTTAACTGTTCCAAATCCGTTCCAAAGGATAAGGCTATCAAGAGAATGGCTATCAGAAACATTGTTGAATCTGCTGCCATCAGAGATCTTTCCGAAGCCTCTGTTTACGCTGAATACGCTTTACCAAAGACCTACAACAAATTACACTACTGTGTCTCTTGTGCTATCCATGCTAGAATTGTTAGAGTTAGATCTAGATCTGACAGAAGAATCAGAACTCCTCCACAAAGACCAAGATTTAACAGAGATAATAAAGTTTCTCCAGCTGATGCCGCTAAGAAGGCTTTATAAGTATATTCAATTTTAAATAGCATATTATAATAATATATCTTATTTTAGTTTATTTTTATATGTTTTATTTTTTCTTCTAATTTGAATATATTTTAAAAATTATAGATAACCAAGATGTTAAGCATGTGTATACACATAATAATAATGATGATAATAACTTCATAAATATTTAAGTTATTATGGAATATATAACTGCAGATTATTGCATTTCTATGGTTCTTGACCAGACTCCCCCCGCGCCGCCCATTTCTCGTTCTTTCTTTTTGGTTGAATAATAAGCTTAACTGAAAGATATACAATTGTACTTCAATTAAAATACATTACATATATATAGTTTATAAAACATCTATCTATTTATATGAAAGAATATACGTACACGCAGTTTATGATGTGATATTATTTCTTTAGGATCGTTTTTTGCCAAAAAATGGAAACGTTAGAGAACCAGTAAGAGACATTGATGGCAATGGTAATGATGTTTCCCTTTTATCTTCTGGAAAATCCTTCATACTACGATTATGATTGCTACTAGTGGTGGTGGTGGTGCTAGTAGTAGTATTAGTACCACTGATAATTGAAGTCGTAGTACCCTTTGAATCCTTCTCAGCATTATTTTCTTCAAAAAGTAAGTTCTGAGAAGTCACTTTCTGTGAGAGAGTAGTAGAAACTTCCTCTGTATTTAATAGATGAATACTAGATTGGCGTTCTACTCCTTTAGAAATAGAATAATTCATATTTAGAGGAGATACAACCGGTGATAAAGAACTTACCTTGATAGATGTGTTTTTCCTCACTGGACTCAATTTATTATAATCTTTTATCATATTGATTTTTATTTTTTTTAGAATATTGGAAAATTCAATGCAATCCATACAACGTATCATCAACCGTGTATCATTAACCATTACTGAAGTACGATAGATCAATTTTATGATGTAATCCACAATCGATATTATCGATTTTTCTGAAGTTGATACTAAATTCTCCAATGTTACATCCTGAACTTCTTCAAATTTATCCGCAATTGTATCAAATCCATGGACTTTAGAATTCTTACTCTTAGGATCGCCCTGGACAGGTCCATCAAAATTGTTCAATCTAAGAGGAGATGATGTAGATGTAATGGATCCATCACGATTTCCATGAAGATTACGTTGATTCAAAATAGAATTTTTTAATAGATTATTGCTAGTTTCAGTATTACCTAATTTCAATAAGGGATCAATGGATTCATCGAGTTCTTCTTCTAACTTTAATTCTCTTCTTATCTTTCTAGACGATATTGAACCAATTGAATACGCATCTTCACCCTCATTTTCTGAATCACTGGAGACTGATGACGATGAACAAGGAGAAGAAAGTGATGGTTTAAGTACTTGTTCATCAAGATTCTTCTCCTTAGAGACACTCTTCCCACGGATCTTAAAGTCCTTCAATTTTTCGCTAAGATCATTCAAATCATCTTGTGGCTCCGCTATATATTCTTCTTGTTTATTAATGATATTTGTATTATCATCACTGTTTAAAATATCAAAATTTAATTCTTTACTCAAACTAGATTTTTTCCGTCTTGGATTAATAATAGATTTGTGACGGAGATACAGCAAGGAACCTAGAGAGTCTTGACTATCTCTTGGCCCTCCAGAATAGACTATACCAATATTTGGCATTTCTTTATCAGTACTATCTCCTGTTGCAGTCTTTCTCCTTCTTTTACCCATAGACAAGATATCTGACTGATAAACACTACTATATCCATTTAATACATTATCAACAATACTAATTTTTCTACTCTCATGCTTATTTAAAATGTATTTTTCTAAGATATGCTTGTCTACAAACCCATTATTAATATTATCAAGTGATTCTTTCAATTGTAATAAGTTCTGATAATTTTCATTCGCCGCTAATGAAGATTCAACTCCCTCTATATCTTCATTATTATGGAATATTTGCATCATATCCATATATCCATTTATCATATTCTTTGTTGTTAATTTTAATGTTTCCTCTTTTTTACCAACCAACATATATAACACTTCAGTTATCATATCATATAATAAGGGGACTTCATATAAATATGACATGATTAATAGATCTAACACTGTGGGTGCTAAATCCCACTGACCATTAACTTTTCCCGTATAGAAGAATTCAGTGAATGCTTTTACTGTTTTAGTTGACCATGGCATATATAGTGATCTGGGGATTAATAAAGGATCTAAATCAAATTGATCCAATATTGGATTATGAGATGTAAACTCATCAGTATTCAATGATAGAAAAGATTTAGAGGATGATATTGAGCCATGTGACGATGCAGCAACAGAGAATGAAGAAGATGTAGATGGTGATGATGATACTGCAGGCGAAAAAGTGGAGGGTCTTGATGATGGAAACAAACCTTCTTCAATTATGCTTTGATCATTTATTGTTTCAGAGAAACTGGCACTGCTTGCCGATTTCATAGACTGTAATCTTGACTCATATGATGAACGTCTAGAAGATATCGAAACGTGTCTTGGAGAAGCATAAAATTCAAGAGAATTCTGTCTGGTTTTTGGAGGCCTTGTATGATCTATCGAGTTCAACAAATTAGAGACATTATTATTATTATTATTATGTCTTTGTAAATGAGAAGAGGAAACACTACTAACTGACCCTGTAGGTGTAGGAGGGAGAGAAATCATTGGTGGGATTGATCCAGACGGTATTGAAACATTGATTAATTCATAAGTTACTGAATTATAGGAGCTTTCAGAATTGTTTCCTATACTATCATGACGACTAGTTAAAGAATTAACATTGGCTCCTCTTCTGTCTGATGACGAACTTACTAAAGATAGTGTTGATGCACGACCAGAAGTATTTTGTGACATAGTCGATGGTCTTCTCGAACATTGCGGATTTGGAAGATTTCGAAGTGATGATCTTCTACTTGTATGACTTGTGCAAGACATGTTGATCTTATCAACTACATTGCTGGTAAGAGAAGAGTCAAAGTCTATTGGATGAGAAGCACGTCTTTCAAATTCAATTCCAGCAGTATTTCTTAAATGTGTTATTGAACCCAAAACAGAAGATGATCTCCTTTGGTGTGGTTTACTGGAATGAATTACATTCAAAGTGCTATTTTTCTTCAGAGATTTAGTATCTTTAATATGTGTGTTAGTTTGGTGGGAATCTTGGAATGGAACTCGAAATATAGGAATATCTGTCATATTATTCGATCTTGTAGCATGCTGATGGTTCAATAGATTAGAATTATTTTTATCAGTAGTTAAATATTTTGAATTCAATAAATTGGGGATTGACGATGAAGGTGATAATTTTCCATCACTATTGTGAGAAGATGGTGAGTCATTTTTCCTTGTATTTAAATTGAATGATGCCGGTGATTTTTTTTTTGTGATATTTGAATGGTTGATTGTATTTTTTTGGGAAGACGATTTTTTTTTATCTTGTGGGTTTTGCTTTTTATGTACTTGTGAATATGCTCTGGCTAACAACATATCAAAATATCTGCCCCATCTTTTCCTTAAAAGATACATTGGCACAGAAATAGATTCTCCATTAGACGATATAAATTCAAAATCAGAAATAGATTGCCCAAAGACTTCCATTGAATCCTTCCCAAGGACTAATGCATAAGGTGGAAACACAGAACTAGTAGACTCTAGTTCTAAAGGTGTGGTTATGTATTTAATGTAATTTTCAAATTGTGATATATTGTTTGATGGGCTGTTATTTGATAAAGTATTACTGGATTTGTTTCTTCTCAATATTGGTGATTCCCTATCCAATTCTGGAATTAAAGGAACCATTTCTCCCTTATCATGATCCAGTATATATCTGGGAACCTCTTTTAAGACGTTCATCATTGCTAATCTGAAAGATAATAAATAATCAAATCTTTGTACAGTTGGACCATAATGATCATCGATCTCTGTACCTAACACAATTGCTCTATGATGAGACTTCCAAACAAATAGTTCATTAAATCTATGATGGTTAATATCACTATCAGGACAATCAATAGCTACTTTTGTCCAGAATGCACACGATAGGTCATAAAGATAGCAATGAAAATCTGAGCTATTTGTTGTAGGATAAAACCCTGTTAAAATGAGTCCCTTTTTATATGATGATATTGATAAGTTTTTTAGATTCAACGGTATCATTAAGGTTTCTTTATCTTGAAATGAATTCATTCTTAAACCTTGAGAATTTGGTAATAATGATAATGCTACAATTGGAGACGGTATTTCTCCTTCATTTGGCATTTGATCACAGATTGAGTTGTTATTACTCTCATTTCTATTGTAGTAGACAATTATTGGGATATCAGACACTATATTCTGATCCGATGAACAATCATTTTGTGTAGAATTATCGTTATTCTTGAGTGTAGCTAAAGTAGAAGCGATAACGTTTTTATTATTCTGATCTATACCAGTGTTGTTACCACCATTACTATTACTCGTGTTAGGGTTGGTGTTGATGTGAGGGTTCCCATCCAGAGAAGTTTCATTTGGGTTATTTTGGCGAACGATATCTTTATCTATCAACACAGGGACATTATTTGATTTGGTTATCCCGTTAGGTACTCCATTAATGTTAGTCACGATTCTTTGACCTTTAGATTTATAGCAATCCAAGGACTCCCAAACACCGGTGCTTATGTTAAAAATATCAACAAGAACGATATTGTGATCTAAATTATCTTTCCCGCCGACAATAATGAGTCTTGGTGTATCTGTTGAGTCCACATGGACCATCATGGAATGGTTGTAACGTCTAGTGAGGTCTGGGTTGATGTCATGCAGTTTCCAATTTCTGGTAGTTAGGTCTAGTTCCCATAGTTCATTTGATGCGATCAGTTCGTAGCCATTAGTTGGAGACACGATAAGACCACCGAATAGGTATAGTTTATCATCATGAAGCACAATCGAATGGAACAATCTTTTCAGTGTATTCGAATCTTCTGGATAAAAAGTGTCGAAATGCGACCATTTCCTTGTGATTAGATCTAAAGTGAAAAGATTTGGACTAATCCAATCATAGAGAGTATCAAAATTTGTAGACAAAATTGGATCATCTAATGAGTAACTGAAAGTACTATTATTATTATTAATAGTATTGGTATTGGTAGTGGTAGAAGAAGAAGAAGAAGAATTGATTTGTTTAGCGAAATATAGCATTAGTTCCTCCTGAATAGATTTGGTAGTGATATCGGATAGATTTAATGGGATAATAATACCACCATGAACAAAAACATTTGATCTAGACAGATGAGTAGCAGCACCGGTTCTATAATTTAAAGTCAACAACTTTTTATCTACGTCATTTATTAAAGTATTAGATGTGATAGTATCTACTTGTGGTAGTTTCAACTTATAGCATACGCTGGAAGAAGGCCTTAATAATTGCATTTCTAGAATATTATTTCAGTAATCTGCAATGAAATAATAATAGACCGACTATTGTGGCTTCGTTATTAGAATCTGATAGAATAAAGTACTGGAAGTTTTTATCTTATTTTTTACTTTTATTTTTTTGTTTCTCTCTGGATCCATTTGAGATTATAAACACAATTACAGTATGCCTCCAGTAAGCATACGTATTTATTTATTTATCTATCTATTTATTTATTTATTTGATTATTTAGTTATTTTTATGTTATTGTCATAATAGACATATATAGTCAATAAAACAGCAAGCAGAATAAGAATGAGAAAAAAAAAAGGAAAAAGGAAAAAGGATCCATTATAGACAGATATATATAAAATAAATAAATGCAACAACTAGCTGCTACTCTGAGTTAAAAGAGAGATAATAATAATAATAATAATTATGAAGATTGGCAAAGCAAAAAGACCCTATCCAGTAGATCTCTCACACCTTCGATCTATAGATAGTAATACCTTCTCTATCATATATACTTCACACATTCGTTACATAGATCAGTACAGCTAAAACAAAAAAAACAAAAACAAAAAAAAGAAAAAACATAACAAACATTGCCCCCAACAACAGCGAAGAGATGTCATGTCAGAAGGAAGGCAACATGTTTTTAATCCTTATGACAACCCAACGGCAAAGTCGGGGAGCCTTCAGAGATTGTTCACACTAAAGTTTCGTTCATCATTTCACGTCGAAAAGCTTCTCTTCGCCGTTCGTTTGGTGTCGCAGAGTTTTTTCCCTCTCTTTCTCTTTCTCGCTGCGAAGGAGAGAAAATAAAAGAGGCGGCAACAACGGCGCAGACCGGGCTCGAACGCCTGGCACGCCCATCCACCTACCGGATGTCTCCCGTAAGAGGTTGCGGAAGAGAAGAAGGGACGTCACATACAAAAAGCCACTGCGCCACGAGTACTAGGAAATATAACACAGACCGTGGGTGCATCGGATGGCTTTATAGGAACAAATCGGTAGTGTTATTTTTTTGCGTAATTCAGTGAACATGTCTTAAAAAAGACAGCAAAAAGGAAAATGGCATATATATTAGAAATATACATCTTAAATTCTACCGCAATTAGTTTATCTGTAGCTTAGTGAACATATGTGTGCATTGTATATATTTTGGTCTAATGTGTAGAACACCCATACACCAACATCACGTGGTTTTGCGGAGTCTTGTGGTTTTAAATTATTTTTTATTTTTCTTTTTTTTTGTTTTTTTTTTCTTAGTTTTTTTTTTCCCTCTCAATTTAGTTATTTATCTATTTATTTATTTTCTTAGAATGGATTGAAAAAAAAAAAAAAAAAAAGAAAGTTCCCCCCAAGGAAAGGAAGATACAAACAAAAAAGAAAAATTTAACACACTTAAAGGTTTTCTTACTTTTACTTTGTTTATATCTATTTTTAAAGATAATTCTTAGTCTTAAGATCATCACTTTTCCTCTATACGTCCTAACGTCAATCTCATTAAACTATTACCTATATATTTGTTTTTATCTTCTGTCTCTTGTCGTTGTTGTTGTTGTTTTATTTCGTTTTGTTCTGTTTGTTTTTATTACTGTTCTACGTTATTTATTGACTGTTTAATAGAAAGAGAACAACAACCCTATCTAATAATACGATAAGAATAAAATTAAATCAAAGAAGAAGGGAAAAAAGAAAAACAGGTATCACCTTTTCCTATTTCTTTGATTCCATTAACTGAACATTTAATTAATTAATTAATTAATTAATAATATCTTCTATCTTTTTATCATCTTTTCCCCCATACATATACTCACATACACTCCCTTCCCCCTTTCTAAAATATTAACCATATAATAATAATAATAATAATAACATATAGAAAGAAGGAAAGAATAAAGGGGAAAAAAAAAAGAGTAAATAATAAAAACTTATACGAGATCTGCATTGTAATATATATATATATATATTGTTCACTTATCAATACAATTAACACAAATTCAAAATGGACACTCAAACTGTGGATGTAGATAATATTATTGACAGATTATTGGAAGTAAGAGGCTCCAAACCTGGCCAACAAGTGGATCTAGAAGAACATGAAATTAGGTATCTTTGTTCAAAGGCAAGATCTATATTTATTAAACAACCAATCCTACTAGAATTAGAGGCCCCCATTAAGATATGCGGTGATATCCATGGACAATACTATGATCTATTAAGACTATTTGAATACGGTGGTTTCCCACCTGAATCAAACTACTTATTCCTAGGTGACTACGTCGATCGTGGGAAGCAATCCTTGGAGACAATCTGTCTATTATTGGCCTATAAGATTAAATATCCGGAAAATTTCTTTATCTTAAGAGGTAACCATGAATGTGCGTCCATTAATAGAATATATGGGTTCTATGACGAATGTAAAAGACGTTATAATATTAAACTATGGAAGACTTTTACAGATTGTTTCAATTGTTTACCTATTGCCGCTATTATTGATGAAAAAATTTTTTGTATGCATGGTGGTTTATCACCGGATTTGAATAGTATGGAACAAATTAGAAGAGTTATGAGACCAACAGATATCCCTGACGTCGGTTTATTATGTGATTTGTTATGGTCAGATCCAGATAAAGATATCGTCGGTTGGTCGGAAAATGATAGAGGTGTTTCATTTACTTTCGGGCCTGATGTAGTAAATAGATTTTTACAAAAACAAGACATGGAACTAATTTGTAGAGCTCATCAAGTTGTTGAAGATGGTTATGAATTCTTTTCAAAGAGACAATTGGTAACATTATTTAGTGCACCAAACTACTGTGGTGAATTCGATAATGCTGGTGCTATGATGTCAGTTGATGAAAGTTTGTTATGTTCTTTCCAGATTCTAAAACCTGCACAAAAGAGTCTACCAAGACAAACAGGTGGTAGAAAGAAGAAATAAACCAAAGATCGAAAAAGAAACACAGAAATAATAATAAATGAAAACAAGCAATAACTACAAAATATCATGTTTTTTATTGATATTAAATATAATTTGTTGACGTCGTTGTCGATGTTGTTGTTGGCATTATTATTTATTTCTAGTTTTGTTTCTTGTTTATTTTGTGTTTGTTTCTCTTTATTCCTTTAACTATCATCATTGTTGATATATCCCCTTAATTGGTTTTTTTTTATTTTGTCTTACTTTAAAAGTTTGATGTATTTTTTTTGTCTTTTCTTTCGTTTTTTCTTTTTTTTCTTTTCCATCAGATCTACATTTGTAAGATATTAATATTTTTTTTTGTCTTTTTACCTTCTATGAATACACTTAACCTAACTATATTCCTTCCAATCTTTTTTTTACATTACTTTCTATTATATGACAAGTTAAAGGAATACAGTCTGCATGGGATGGAAAATATAGAACAAGAAAAAAAAATGAAAAAGAAAAATGAAAAAGGCAGAGTGGATCAGATCTTTAAAGGAAGAAAAGAAAAACCATTTGAAAAATCTATTTTATTTTGTTTTTTTTTTTAAAAAAAAAATCATTATTATGATTATTATTATTATTATTATTGATTATTATTGATATTATAATTTTTTTTTAACTATATCGATTACTACAATTTTTTTATTATCGTTAACCATTTTTCTTTTTTCCATTCGTTATTATGGTGTCCATAATAAAAATGAAGGAAGGAAGAATTGTGCTTATATATATATTTAATGTGTATATATGTATTTTATTATTAATCCTATGACCATTAGCTTTTTAGAAAATAAACTCTTTTATTTATGGAGTAACGCCAGTAACATTACACCCTCGTAACCATAGTACAAATCATGTCCAACGGAGTGTTATTAGTTGGTGTAAATGTGTATCAAAACATATATTCCCTTCTCACTTCTTCTAAAAAGAGTTTTATCGCTCTGGAGGATTTTTGGTTAGTTTCGGTTTCTTCCGATTCTTCCTTTCACTTTCCAAAAAAATAAAAATTAAAAATGAAAAATTAACAAAAATGCTCGAGGAATTTGCAAAGCTGCCGTTTTTCTCGAAGAAAAAGGAAATGATAAGGATGATGATGATGCGTGATGAATGATAATCAAAAAGTTCAACTCAATAGTTTCTTCTCTTAACGAAAATCACGAGTTCTTAGTTCGTTGTTATGTCGGTTGTCCTGGCATTTAGTCGTTATAGTAGTTCCTCTTTTTTTTCTTGTTCTTTTTCCTTTTTTTTTTTTGATCTCCATTCTGCACAGTGCTTTGCTATAGAGATAGAAGTCTAGTACATAATATTGTTATTTGTTTAAGGGTATACTCACTTGTTTTCATATAGTGTTCGGTATAAAAAGAAAACATTCTATTATATCTATTTGATACATTCTCGCCTTCATCTCTCCTCAACTCCTTTATCGTCTCACTATGATATAATGATTCAATTATGTAAAAGATGGTTCAGTATTACTACTATTATTAAAGCAAAGAACACTAAAGCTGCTGCTACTGCCGTTAGTGTGAAAGATATCACTGCCATAGTCAAAAATAATAAAGATTTGATTGGTAAGGGTTCCAATTTTACCAAAAAGATAATTAACCAACAATTGGTATTAATTAATTCAACTAAATTTAAAAGATTAAAGATCTTAAACTCACAATACGATTTTTTGAAAGCCACAAATTATCACAATTTGAAGACTGATATTTTGAAAGACAAACAGTTTGCGTTATTATTAGATCAGAATTTTATTAATCGAATAATTCCCTTTTTATTCAAATTAACACCGAATTATCGAAGTTTGCCAAACGATTCAATCTTGCCCTTAAACGATTCCTGGTTAAGGCAAGATAAGAATAGTGACCGTGCATCGTCCATTTCCTCCTCTTTTAAAACTTCACTATTATTAGAAGTGCCACAACTACCTAATTTCCAACTGAACCCAAATGAATTCCCGAGCTATATAAGGACATTAACACATCACACTATAATTAAAGACCAAAATTTACCACACCTTCTAAGAACTTTGGCGAATCCAATGAATAATATGACCACGCCATTGCATACGATAGACACGTATAACGACATATTGTTTTATTTTAAGAATCATTGGGATTTTGCATCGATGAGAGAGATCTTTAAGTTCATTAATTTGCATCCGTTTATAAGGCCCAATCTGACAACTTTTAATATTTTAATATCATCGTTATTGAAAAATAATCAAATTAGAATGAGTAAAGATATTATTATTGGATTGAAATTTTATCTTAAGTTGATGATAAGACAAGAGATTGAGATTGATTCCAAGACTTGGGAATTGATTATGAGATTTTTGACTACGTCGATTGGAAGGTTGCAATTTGTACAAATTATGAAACAAAATAATGTTCCTGTGACCGATTGGAGTTCAATTTACATCATGAAGGATTTCCCTAAAGAAATGATCAATCATTACATTACAAAATCTGCTATTTCCAAGACTATGAGAAGAAATGTTAGGATCACAAATATAATAATTAAATCGTGTTTACAGAATGGAGAATTCAACATGGCATTAGATTTCATTAGATCAAACAGATCCAATTGTTCAGTGAATGACCAAACTTTGAATCTGTTTCTTGTTCCACTATCCAATATGGGTAAATTAGACCACTGTTTGATGATCTACAAATGGTTCAACGAGAATTTGGGAGTATGTGGAGATTTGACGAGTTTCAATCTTTTGTTGAAGAGCCACGTAAGGAATGGGTACAGCAAGAATTTCCCGATAATTTATGAATGGATCAATCTTTTATTCAAGGATAGAGTAGGGTTAAAGTATTCACCCAACAGTTATTGGAAGTTGAAATGTCAAAGCATAATTAAGTTCAACTATGTGGATCCTTGTCATGATCATCATAACCATGGTGCTTCTTTAAAGATCAAATCGAAAAGACTAAATAAAATGGATAAACTATATGAAACGTTTAATTTAGATTCCATCTTATTTGAGGGATGTCAGTTCCATGAATTGCAATTGTGGAATGTGACTAAGACTCATCCAGATATAAGAAAAATGTTAAGATTCTTAAATGTAGTTAAAGGTTGTTCAAAGAGTGGCGATAACAATAAAAAAAGATCAAATTTTATAATTAGCAATTCAGAGACAAAGATACGTAAACAGAAATTTTTACAGCGAATTAAAAAGATTGCGATAACACATTCATCGTATAAGAAATTATCATACTCAAAAAATTGGTATAAAGCATTAAACGACGAATTCTCAAAACCAAGATAACAATATATATATATATATATATATATATATAACCTTGTACATACAGTTTATTACAGTAAGATATAATAATATTCATTTAAGAATTTAAAAGATAGTTTACGAACTTTTTTTTTTTGAAAGAATCACAAAATCTAGATAAATATTACGTAATGATTATACATGTAAATAAAATAAAATAGAAGAGGATAGAATAGAATAGAAAAGATTACAGGAAAAAAAAAAGATTATGGTTATATTATTAAAAATGGATTGAAGGGAATAGAATATAATATTTGTTTATTGTTCTGTTTATTATTATTTTCTTTTAGAATTGTGGATTAGTAGTATTATTTTCGTCATGATGATGTTCTTCCACATCATCCACGACATCTTGCTCGTGTTCTTCTGGATGTAGTTGTTCTACGTCATCTTCAATGATTTCTTCATCTTCTTCATCTAGTGGTGGTTCTTCTTCTAGTTCTTGTTCTTGTTCTGGTTCTGGTTCTGGTTCTTGTTCTTCTATTTCATCATCCAATTCTTCATATACATCATCAACAGTTTGATGGAAGGACAAGGTTGGTTTAACGGCAGCAATATCCAAAGTCCAAGCTTCCAAGGCGGCCTCACAGTCCATGATAATTTGTCTAGAAGCGTCATAACCATCGTAAGCGGGTCTAGCCTCCCCAGGAGTCACAGGGGAGTCATCTAAAAGCTCTAATAAGGCTTTTCCATACCCAGCAATCAAAGCGAATTTTTCAGCTAATTCCCTCATTGAGTCGAATTGATAGTTATAGGAGGTCTTCAATTTTTCTCTTGTGATATTAGACAACTGAGCTTCGGCGACCAAGGACTCTGCTTCAGCACGCACCAGTTCTTGTTCCAAAACAGGGATTTTTGTAGAGGTGGGGTCTTTGTATTTCAAATGGGCGATCTCGTCGGTGATTTTGTCCTTGCGATCACGGCTAGGCTGGACAGAGGCCTCGATGTTTCTGATAGATTTCATACTGATACGGTATTGGTCGTACTTGTCGATGAATTGGTCTTGTAGTTCACCCAACTCAAATAGTAGGACACCTAGTTTGTCGGTGACATCAGAGACATCTTCGTCGTTCTCTGCACCCCATAAAGAGAGTTGTCTGGCAGCAGCACGTCTTTCGTTGGCGACGACTTCCATGGCTCTCAAGACCCCCTTTTCTGTTTTGATCAATTGGGACAACTTACGAGCCAGTTCTGGTCCGAAGTTACCAGCAGCATTTTTTCTGAAAGTGGAGGCTAAGGAGGCTCTGCCGAAGAATCTGGACTTGGTTGTGGATGGTGGTGGCGGTGGAGCTTGTAGTTCAGAGGCCGTTGGGGCTCTTGAGTTTCTTAAAGAATAAGTCTTATGCATTGCTATGTGTTAAATGTGATGAGAGAGAGATAGAGAGAGAATGTATGTGTATGTTTCTTTTAAGTAAGATTATAATAAAATCTAAAAGAAAAAAACCCAAAAAAACAAACGAAAAAAAAAGGAAATAATATTACTTATCGTAATAGTAATAGTTATTGTAATACTTGCAGATGTAGTTGTAGTTGTAGTTACAGATATAACAGTTGTTGATGATATCTTTCTGTACTGGTAACAGTAACCATCATGGTTTTGTATATATATATATGACTAGATAGAAGTTGCAGACAACCGGCAACAACACAGAAAGAACTCAGAAAGAACCGATAGCAAAAGTCAAGATTGAAGGGGAAGGGGGGGACGGCGGCGAAGAAGAACAAGAAGAAAACAAAAAGAGGGGAAAAAAGGGAAACCCAAAAAATAAAAAAAATAAAAAAATAAATAAAACAGAAAAAAACAAAACAAAGAAAAAAGGGGAGGGGGATGGAGAGACAGAGGCGGACGGAAGAAAAGGATTAGGGATTCCTGAGCGGAAGTTCCGCGGGAAAGGCGGAATGCACTCGGAAACACCAACAAGAGAAAAAAAAAAGAAGAAAAAGAAAACGAATGCACACAATGCTTTTTTAGGGTTGGGTTTGCATGTGAAAACAGAGGGCGCGCCATAATCATCAAACAAGATTAAAGAAAAAAAGAACAGAACAGAAGGTTTCAGAATAACGATGAAAATAGTACTGTTATCTATGAGAGTATAGATGGGTAAGGATGTTCTTCTGTTGTTATCTACTTATTTTTCTCTAGTATACATTCGCCCTTAGAATGTATTAAACTAGGATGTTGTATTTACCTTAACAGCCTCTGATTAGCTTACTTCCCTTAATATCTGAGTTATATAGAAGGAGCTTGCTGTGAAGTTTTGATGAAAACTTAAAAAGGCTTCAAAAGAAAAATAATTTCTCTTTGTATAAGATCCTATTTTATGAAGATTTAACATATTGGTCCTGTTCTATGAGTTTATCTTTACTCTATCAAATGTTTTTTTTTTCCTGAAGTTTCCACAAAAATCTTTTCGGTAAAAAAAAAAATTATATTATTTATTCCTCTTAAACTCCCTAAAATAAACAAAAATGTTAAAAAAATACTAAAAATAGAAATTATATAACCAAAATAATATCTACAAATATTTTTTTCAAACACACATACACTTATATTTCTCTCTCTCTCTCTCCATCCATGTATATACATATATAATAACATCATTTTGATCTCTTAGCCGAATATTAGTGTCTTACCTTTAAATTTGAATCAAACAGACCATATGTATATATATTTACAAACAATCGTTTACTTTTTTGTACATTATTTCAATATTTTTCAAACCATGCATTCTGTTTCCCATTAAATTGTTCTTCGATTGTAACCTTTCTTCATATTGTTTTATTTCTGTTTCTGTTTCTGTTTTTATCTGTGAACTTTTTGTCTTTTCTTTTTTCCCGAATTTTGTTTTTCGGAAATCGCTGGGAATAAACAGAAGAAAAAAGAAATCACTGAAAAACTTTCCTTTTTAAACGTCTCGAGAGCGATGAGGTTGCTATCACTGTCATACTACCATTTGATATATACACACACACACATACCCACACACATACACATACAAGCATACTTATTCATTTATACAGATCCTTCTTTATTTTTTATTGTTTTTATTTTTTTTAATTCTAAGAACATTTACTTATAGACAGACCCCTTTAATCACTTTCTATCTGAAATAGTCAACTGTTCATTATATATATAAAAAAATATCGATTATATTCGTTCTCAATAACCAATGAGAAAAAGAACAGTCGAACCCACAAACCACATCGGTAACGATGTCAACAATCCAGACTCAATTCACAAAAAATTAAAAACATTCTCCAATACTCCCACCACCAACCGACCAGCAAACTTAACCATCAACAACAAAAACATTTCGTTTTATAACTTAGATTTCCCTAAGGAGGATAAAGATTTCACCGAAATATATAATAGAAATTCTAAGTGGTACTGCAAAGATAAAACTAGCCACATTTTTGTCCCTAAAGACCATTTACCGTATTCTATAGAAAATCATCTGGACCAAGCTAATTATATCTACCATGTTATAATAAATCTGTATATCTCAATTGCCTCTTTGGATATTCAAGGTCTTATCTCCATCTCACACAATGATCTTTCTGCAATAATAAATATTGGTACTAGTAATACTAGTAGTGATGGTACTAGTAACTGCAGTAGTAGCAGTAGTAATAATGGTATTGGTACTACTAATACAACTACTAATACAACCATCATTGCCAATCCCATTACTACTCCCACTACTACTATCACTACCACTACTACTATCACTACCACTACCACTACCACCACCACCAGTCATATTAATAGTAGCGGAAATACTAGTAGTGTTGACGATGTGGACGATACAGATGTAATAGATGATGACGACATGAATGCCGAATTAGAAGAATGTTTGGAATTGGAGGAAGGAGAGATATCTAACGAAGATGACTATTTAGACACTATGGGCCCCAACTTCAATGTCATGGGTAAAATCACTAATAGATCCTCGTTTATCATTAATGTCAACCATTGGACAAACGAATTGAAAAATTGCCTGGATTTCCCCTTGCCTCTGGAACTAAGAAAGGCTTTGATATCCACATACTACTATCTCTCCTTGACTAAGGGCCAAAAGATTTATAGACAGCTATATGTAGAAACATTGGAATTATTGATCGAATCAAAGGATAAAACCTACAATTTCACCCAAGTCTTAAAAGAAAAAGGCTTACAATTAGACCATACGCCTTTGTTCGATTTTATCTGTGAATTCTTACCGTATCCTGATCCAGAATATGTTCGTTTTGATATTCAATCAAAGGAAGATTTACAACTTTTCAGGTTATTATTAAAATTGGCTCACATCTCCAGACCGTTTTTCCCCATGGGGCAGGATATCGTATCGGATTCAATGAACAAATTGTTGTCTAGTCTTGCTCCATCCACAATGCCAATAGTACTACCAATGATCACTTCTTTTGTCCCTTTCCATTTCCAAACAGATTCCAACAAGAGCACAAATTCTTTCAATGCCAACATCAGTAACGGTAATAGTACAACAGATTATTTCCCATTTTGTTTCTCTATCTGGACTTCAGTAAGTCCCAACGTCGCAGTGGACACTCATATGTACGACTTTGTCGGTTCGACATCAGAGAATTTCCATTCAAGGTTTGTTGTCTCAGATAAGGAAATCGATCCAATTTTGTTGGCCAGCTTTAATCAGTATGGACTGTTCACTAAAGAACAGATGATCTTTTTGTTTAATAGATTACAAGGTCACCTAAGATCGGATGGCCAAATCCATTCCTTTTCAAGAACTGTCAAACCTTTTATATATTCCATAAATGGACAGCATACAGATTTTTTTTTCCAGTATTTGACTAATTTGATTAATTCAATAGAGACCTTCGTGCATCCTTCAAATAATGGGTTTTGGACTAGAATTATAGCTAAATTTGTTCATGGATTCATTAAAATGTATCATAAAAGATGGCAGACTGAACAACAGTTTATTAAAGATAAATCTATTCCAACACTAAATCACAAAATCTTTCTCACGAACGACAGTAATGAACAAATTGTTAAAATAATGTTGAAAATTCTAATGATCGGATCACAAAATAAAGATGCGGATATCGCCAACTATCACATTTCTAGTCTTGCCTATTTATTGAACTTAAACCCCAAAAATTCACATTTAATATTTGATAGGGTTCTTATCGATATCTACGACTCCTTTGCTGAAGAATTTATCAATTCTAGACACAGAATTATCGCATCTTTAAAGCAGTTCACAAGAATTGTTAGATACATGGTAGTAGATAAGCTTTATAGAATTCATGTGATTCATATCTTATCATTGTTGATTCAGAAAATAGACATGAATGATATGAATCTGACCAGTAATCTGATTAATGGAATCGTATCTATAGCTACTTTTATTCCATTAGAATGCCCTGTTAAAGAAAATGAAAACATTGATTTTGAATCCAATACCGCTCCTCTAATTGAACAACATTTTGCGTTCCTAAAAGATGATCATAACTCTTCTCAATTTAAATACGATCCAGATTTATTAATGAATGCATTTAGAGGCTCTACTACAATTTTAAAGAACTGTCTAGCAGCATACATTAACAAGTTGTTCCAAATGGTTGACGTTGAGATAGAAGATCCCTTGGCAACCAAAATTAACCAAACAACAATGATCATGATCGAATCTATGGATGATTCAATGTTTGAATACTTTGCTGACTATTTACAAAAGATATATTGGGATAATGATGCATTTAGAGAAAGAGAACCAAATTATGAAATTATCTCTACTCCACTGGCTGCATTAGTTAAAAGAAACAACAAATTAAGTAAAAGTATTATTTCCAATCTAATGCACCATATCAAGCAACAAATCGAAAGAGGTGCTGGTTCCGTGAGAAGCTCTTCTGAAATCCAATTAAGAGATGTTAAGTTGGTTCTGTATCTAAATTCTATTAACGATGTTTTAAGACAATCTCATGAGACTATTTTAGAAGTAAAGGATGAATTAATTGAATTTATGAAATATGTTTATGAGAAAATTACGAATCCACCACTAGATGTAATTACATCAATAATGGTACACACAACTCTTACTACCCTAACTATTACTGAAGTCGTTGAGTCTCGTTTGTTTGCACCTAACAGTAACATTCCATATGAGGAAAAATGGGGTGCTTTACAATTCGATAACAGAAAATACGATTCTGCCAACATGAATTTCCAATGGTTTATTCCTGATGACAAGGAAATTCAAGCTGGTATTGAAATATTTGATAATATCTCCTCTTGGTGCATGGAAAAGATTAACAATTTACTAGAATCATCTAAATCTGATACTCTACATTGTGATACAATCCAAAAGTTCATTTTAATTCTTTCCCATGCATTGTCTGGCATAAGTTTGTTGTTTGATCCTGATTTTACTGAAAATAAATTAAAAATTAGTGAATTTAGTAATGCTCTAGCTGATTCTCATAAGTATTCCATCTTGCAAAATTTTAATTCCATTCAATGGGAAGAAGATGATAATATTGATAATAGTGGGAAAGAGAACACACCTGGCTTTAAAATTGATAATATTAATATAACAAGAACTCCCACCAATAAAGAAAATTTATTAATATTTGGTGGTGATAATCTTGCTGGTGAAAATGTATCTGAGGTTCCTTCAGGACTTTGTACTCCAGCACATTTTGAAAGTACTGTTATAAGAGAAGGTAGTGATGATAACGGTGCGGAACTAGCACCAGAGTTTAGAGAGCTAGATATATTTACATGTAATTACTATTTTGGCAATACCTTCCAAGAAAAATTACAGCATAAACAATATTTTGAGATACATAAGATAAGGTCGAAAATAGGTGCCTTTTTGCACAAGTTATATGAATTCATTAGAACTTACCATGAAAGTAACACTATTATGAATCAGATTATTATTCATGGTGTTAAAGTTTTCTTCACTGACGTTGGCCAAGAAACAATTTTTAACGATGATTCGAATTTATTTATAGAGAGTGATTTCCTAGAAAACATTCAATCATTGGCTGATGTTAAAGAACCATATACTAGGATGTTTTTCGCAGTTAAAGTTAATGAGTTACACCAAAACCGTGTTTTGCTTCATTCTTCAAACAGATATCCTTCCAAAATTGAAACTAGTTTATTTAAGGATATGATAGTTTTATCTACATCTTCATATCCTGATATTCACAACTCAGCTCAAGGAACCATAACACAATGTATGAAACAAATAATCGGCTCTTACCCAATGATAATAAGATCACTTATCAGTCTCCTTAAGGAGAATTTGGAAGAGGGTAACACTAAGAGACTAGAAGTTACAATCAAAATGCTTCTTTTAAAAAAAATTCACAGAAAATTAATGTTTGATTTTAAGAATCTGCAAACATTGGTATTGCTTTTAATTGATTGTTTAAAAGTTAATGACTTGAACGTGTCTATAGTTGCCGAGAAAGTTTTGAATGATTACGTTACAGGATTAAAATTCCCATCTAGTGTATGCATCCATGACAAACAAATGTTTACTTCCATTGAACCACCGGATTTAGATATCACCTCATATGTTGGAACAGTAAAAACTTTAAAAAATAATAAAAGAAACTACTATATGTTTCTTATTCAATCATTAAAAGATTCATTACTTGATATTTTAAGTGAAGCTGGTGAAAAGTCATGGAGATTAATTTTAATAATAGTGAGATTCATTTCTAGAATTGAATCAAACTTAGAAATTACCACTGATGCTAAATCTATATCAACACTTTTCAGACAAACTAATGGTAAACATCCAGATATCATCTTCCTGGTTGCTAGATCACTCACCACTATTTTTAATAAGATCTTTTCTCTATCTGATTATGAATATGATATCAATAGGGCACATCAAAATAAATATGATCCCAAATATATTAAGATAATAGACACAAGTATTGATGCATTTAATGAATCATTTAAGAAAGAGATGAACAATGCAGAATCACCGAATTATTATATCGATGCCCCCCCATATGTTGGCTGGTTATGTTGGGGAAGTCAAATGAAAGTTTTGATTAATAAACCCTTAGATATTAAATTACAAGCAAATGAAATTGAAATTGTAAAAACATTAGGCAATATGATTACCAAAGAATGGTTACATGAATTTACAAATACTTTAATCCAAGACAATGAATCTCGTACAGTTTTCAGTACTGGGGATGTTTCTTTCTTTGTGCTAGTTGTTATTCTATTTTCTAAAAATTTTACTCAAAATATAAGTTTACAAGATCTATTTGATATATGTGATAAATGCTATGATAGATATGACAAATCTTCAATGATTATGTCTGTTGAAATTTTTGCTGCTTTAATATGTGGTAGCAAATATTTATCAAAAAAAGAACTAGACTTATTAAATGATTTTATTAATAAATATTTGGCAAAATATGTCAAGCATGACCTGAACCAAGATTCATTTGAGATCTGGAGCACTTTTTGTTGGTGGATACCAACCACTATTGATATTAGAAGATGTAAAACATTATTGGCTAATTTAGGTGATGTAAATGAATTATTCCTTGATGCTAATCAAGACACAGTGGCTCATCAGGCATCAAGAATCTTAATGTATAGAAATATTTTGTCTGGTATTGGACTACGGTCACCTGATCTTTCACAATTACTAGAACATATCAGATTTGATTATCAACATGATCAAATAAGATCTGCCACTGCCAAATTATTTGCTGCTATAATTGAGAATGAATGCACACCTTCATTAAACAACTCCAAAACCCTATTACACGTTGAAAATGAGACAGATAATCGTACAGGGCTAGGATTACCATTGAAACATGTATCCAAAAGGTTAGATAAAGTAATTAGAATGCTGTTTAACGAGATTGATATTGAATATGAAAAGTTGGAAGATTTATCATCACAAGAGATTTTAAAGACAAGATATTTCTATTTATCATCTTCTATATTTTATTGGATCGAAGAAATGACAAGTGGATCTAATAAAGTCATTATTATTCCATATATTGCAGAATATATTTTACCATTTTTAATGAGGTTTTTATTACAAAAAGATGTTTGTAAATTGGCTGGATTAGATGTTGCCACTTTATTCCTGGCAATAGCTTACATCCCATCAAGAAAAGACAACATCGATGACATACTAAATCTAATCTGTGATTTCGAGATTTTCAATTCTGCACCATCGTCATATCAATTGAAGTTACAAATTGCATTTGTTGAACATTATCTGTCATCTCAACTATTACAACTGACTGAGGCACAAAGAAACAAAATCACGGACTTCATTGTAATGAATATTTATAACGAACAATACGTGGAAGTACGCGATCGTGCAGCAGATGTATTATCCGATATTGTGCACAACATCGATAATGAGGCAGAATTACAAAAATTGATCCATAACTTCAGCTCTAAATTGGATGGATACACATGGGAAGAAAAGCAAAAACTTTCTAAAAGTAACACAATGATCCATGGTAGTATTATTGGATTAGGTTCAATCATATCTGCTTTCCCATATGTGTTTCCCTTACCAAGATGGATACCGAAAGAATTATCTCGATTATCCTCATGGGCCAGAACTAGTGGTATTGTTGGTAAATCAGCAAAAAACATTATCTCTGAATTTAAAAAAGTACGAACTGATACTTGGTATTTTGATAGGACACAATTTACAGATGAAGAATTAGAAGATTTAGAAGGTGTCTTATGGAGGAGTTATTATGCATAAGTGGAAAGATAAAAAAAGACAAAAAAGGACAACATTAATGAAATAATAAAAGATGTTAAAAATAATTACATAAAAAGATAAATTCAGCTTTATAGTCTCTAGTTGATCAAAGCTTAAATACATATAATACATCTGATACATACATACATACATACATACATACATACATACATATATCTAATAACAATGATTACGATCAATATATATTACTGTATATACAGCATGATAGGCTGTATATTTAGTATAATTTTATTCAAAAGAATGTGACACTCAGGAAAAGATTGCCAAATATTCTCATGCAAGCACGTGACTTGGTTTCTTTTGTAAGAGGTTCTTCAATTCCGTCAATATTCCGCATTAGGTGACCGACTTTTTCCCAAAACAGACAACCTCAAAAAAAAAAAAAGAAATACACGACAGAAAAAAAGAAAAATGAATGAGAACCAGAAATTCTGAATAAAACGAGCAACGATCAAAAAATCAAAAGAGTGAAAAACCCAGAGAGACACGATTGCAGATTGCTTGAAAGGAAGGAAATTTGGCTACAGCAGTTATTCCTGTATAAAGGCCTCTAACAATACATAAGGTATATCAAGGCACAGCAATCGACTCAATTGGAAGTAAGTACAACACTTTATTGTGAAGATCTAAAGTGAAACAACCAAAGGTCACAGATAAAAAAACGAGCTTAAATAAATAATTGTAAAAATAAAAAAGAAAATACAAAGTGTGTGTGAAGGTTAGAGGGGTATAATATAATTATTTTAAATAAAAACGCTATAATAATTTACTACCATTTCAAATATTTTTTGACGTTTGCTTATTTACCTGAACTATCCATCCTACCGTATAACATTTATTCATTTATTCAAACAACTAGATATTCCTTTGTCTTTGCAAGAAAAAAAGAAATAAGATGTCAAACAATAATAAAAACTATGATTCTATTATGAAAATCTTATTAATAGGTGACTCAGGTGTTGGGAAATCTTGTCTTTTAGTCAGATTTGTGGAAGATAAGTTCTCCCCATCGTTTATAACAACAATCGGTATCGATTTCAAGATTAAAACTGTAGACATCAACGGTAAGAAGGTTAAATTACAGTTATGGGATACTGCAGGACAAGAAAGATTTCGTACTATAACCACAGCATACTATCGTGGTGCCATGGGGATTATTTTAGTTTACGACGTTACTGATGAAAGAACTTTTGCTAATGTGAAACAATGGTTCAAAACAGTCAATGACCATGCCAATGATGATGCTCAATTACTATTAGTTGGAAATAAGAGCGACATGGATACAAGAGTGGTTTCATATGAACAAGGTGAAGCTTTGGCACAAGAGTTGGGGTTACCATTTATTGAATCCAGTGCTAAAGATGATTCTAATGTAAATGAAATCTTCTTTACTCTAGCTAAATTGATCCAAGATAAGATAGATAGAAATGCCATGTCTAACAATGCCGGTACCTCTAAAGATAGTAATGTCAAGATCAAGACTGGGTCAGAAAGTTCTGGATCAAGTTCAAATTGTTGTTAAAACTTCCTCTTCTCTTTTTTCTTTTTCCTACCTTTTTTTTTGTTTTTTTGCATATGTATCCATATTTTCTACATCTTTATTTCTATATCTAAATCTATATATAATAAATATCTATTATTCATCTTTCCTTAATTATTACACTAACTTTTTTTGGGTTTACTGTATGCATAAATTATTAAGCTTATTAGTAGACATATGTCTTATAATTATTTCAAAATTGCCTAACTCTGGATTATCTATCTCTCTATCTCTTTTTATATATACAGATTTATTGTTCTTTATCCATTTTATTAGACAAAAATTAAACATCATTGAAGAAGTGAAAAAAAGCAAAAACTTTTCAATTAAAGAGACTTTGCAATAAGATATAGAACAGAGATAGAACAATAAAAGTCTTAGAGTCTTTCAACCGTGTACATTAACATAAATATCACGAAAAAAGTCTGTAAACATAAACATATGTGTGTTTTTTTGAATCCAAATGTCTGTTGCGAATTATAAGAAACCAAAACTATCAAATCCATACAGTCCAATATACTCACCAATATCAATCCATAGTGTAAAAAAATTTGATATTGATAAAAACGCACGTAGTGTATCCTTTTATAACCCAAAGAGACGTATAAATAATTCCTATGTTATGAACAGGTCGTTGACTGTCTCTGACTTAGAACATTCACTTCCGCCTAACGAAAATGTCTCCTCCAGTCAATCATCTCCTGATACTTCCAGTTCAACAAGCGTATTTAATATTGTCCAATCTGCAGGCAAAACATTGTTTAATAGTAGACCACATACTAGCAGCAATAAGTTGAAAAGATATAGTGAAAAAGGGTATCTATTCATTACAAACAAACAAAGAAAACTAGATTTAGAGAATAGAAAGGAATCTCATGCTAATCCCGCTCCTAATGTAACTTCAAAAAAGGTTGAATCATTAACCTTTTCGAAAGATCCCTTTGGTTGGGATAAATGGAAGACTACCGAGTTTGGTAAAGGTTCAAATGCTGCTTCTCAATCTAATAATTATGGAACTACTTTTATTAGAAGAGATAAATTATTTAATAGATCCACTAATAACCTGGGCAACGATATAGAATTAATCAAAAGAGGTTATTCAAGAGAAGTTTCATATTTAAGACAGATATTTAATGGTGAGTATCAAATTCCTAAGATTATTGCAGACGAAAGAGAAAATCAATTGAGGCTAATTGATGAAGACAAGAAACTATCACAAGAATGGCTAGAAAATGAACTGAAAAAACGAAAGAGCTTTGATACAAAAAATGAACATTCTTTCAAAAAATCTATTATTGATTTAACTGAAAGGATTAAACATGTCCTTTTAAATCATCAACCATCGAACAAAATAGACAAAGTTAAAGTAAATAATGAAGATAATTCTGATGATTTAATATTCATAAAAGAAAGAAAATATAAACAAGCATCCTTACAAAGAAAACGTGAAAAATACTTAGAAGAAAGTGAACGTTTCAGGAAAGAGTTACTACGTCTACAAAATGAATTTAAAAATTATAAACAATTACTCGAAGAAAGAAAACAAATCCAAAATAAAATTAAAAAGCAACGAGAAGAAGAAGCAAAGAAACAAAGAGAACAACAAGTTTTAATACCAAATATATCTGACAAAGATTTGTCTTCCGTTAAATCAACTCTACAGAGGCATGACAACGCTATCTTATTTAGTAAAGATAACATAGAAGTGACCATCCGTGATTTTAAGACGTTAGCTCCGAGAAGATGGTTAAATGATACAATTATTGAATTTTTCATGAAATATATAGAACGGAATGTTCCACAGACGGTTGCTTTTAATTCATTTTTTTATAGTAATCTATCACAAAGAGGATATCAAGGTGTTAGAAGGTGGATGAAGAGGAAGAAAGTTGAAATAAAAAATTTGAAGAAGATTTTTGTTCCAATAAATTTAAATGAATCGCATTGGGCGTTAGGTTTCATTGATATTCAAAGGAAGAGAATTATCTACGTAGATTCTTTGAGTCAAGGACCTAGTTCGATAAGTTTGACAATTTTAAATAAGTTGAAAAGTTATGTTATTGAAGAGAGCAAAAATACTATAGGCGAAAACTTCGAACTAATACATGGTGACTGTCCACAACAACCAAACGGATTCGATTGTGGTATATATGTTTGTATGAATGCGTTGTATTTGAGCAAAGACTCAGAATTAACATTTACTAGTAAAGATGCTGTTAATATGAGAAATTATATTGGCCATTTAATATTAAAAGGGTAGGATTCAATAATCCTTCATCAAATCCTAAATATAAATACATAACTATATATATATATATATATAGTTATAGGATATTATTTTTATGAAGCATTCTAGGTTTTCTCTTTCTTCTCTTCTTGCTTGTTATCTAAGATATTAGTTTTATCAAAATCAATCTCACATAATTGCAAATTCTTCATTTCTGATACAATCTTAGACATTTCTGTATTTAAAGTAATTGTTTCTATTTCGAAATTTTCATAAATTTTCTTTAAATCTTCTTCCCAACCTAACTTTGATACAATTAATTGGGATGCTTTATCACATGTACCTTGAAACACTAAATCTTTGTCTCGTGGATTATCTTTGAAATCTCCAACAATATCTAAATTAATCAAACATCGTGAGACAGTACCAGGGACTTCTATTGGAAGACTGGCAAATGGATAAACTTCAAGAGATGTTCCTGCCACAACAATCATATAATCGTCACTTTTACTACTATCAGATTGACTTTCTAATTTTTCCAAATCTTGATCCCAAGTATTAAAAAATCTTTTAGGTAAATTTTCTCCAAAGAACACGATATTTGGTTTAACCAACCCTTGACATTCATCACATTTAGCGTAATCAAATTCTACACCACCATCCGTTATTTTCTTAGTTGACAATTTTGACTTGAAATATTCCATCTTGAAGTGTTTGTTACATTTGGTACAGTGATTCGCAGCAAAACTCCCATGAGCTTCAATAATATATTTTGGATTGATACCTGCTTGCCTTTCTAAAGTATCGATATTTTGAGTATAAATTCTTTGTAAATGTCCTTTTTCTTCAAACAACTTCATTAAGAAATGAAACTTTGATGGCTTAAATTTACCTGGGTACAATTCTTGTGCTAGCGTGTAGAAAGGCTTGGGATTTTCTTTAAAAAAATCAATATCAAATACAGCTTCTGCGTATGGTAAATTCAATTTAGATAAGTTATGATAAAGACCTGTCTTAGGGGATCTGAAATCAGGGATCCCACAGGAGGTAGATATTCCAGCACCTACCATAAAAATGATTTTACTCTTTGGATTATTATTAATAAATTTGACAATCCTATAGATGACATCTAGATTTGTCTTCTTTATATCGCCTGATTCCACCATTATGTTCACTTATATAGCATAAAGTTAGCACCTGTTTCTAATATATGTAAGATTCAAATATAGTCAATCAGCAAATTGATGTAAGATATTCTTCAGCTTTTTAACTGTACTTCAATTTTTTTTTTCTTTTATATTGAGTTTTATATTTTCTTAGACATATATATATTTCTTTTACGTCATTATTTAATGAACTATATATAGTCTATTTTTCCTTAGCCTAATACTACTTCGTAATACGAACAGTTGATAAAAGAGAAAAAGTAGTCACTCTATGTTCTCAAGACTAGTTCCAGCTTACTGATAATTGATCCAAGGAAAGAAAAAATAAGAAAAAAAAAGATTCTTCACAAGATGCACACAAATTTTTATTAAATAATGAGAAATATTCAATATTTCTATTAAATCAAAATCATTTGAGACTTTGATGCTACAAAAATTGCAAAGAATAATTATATCATTCTTATTATGGTTTATATATAGAAAAGACGAACAGTATTGATATTCCAAAAATATTTTGCTAATCATAATGTATGGTCTGTCAAGACACCTAATATAGCATATAATTTTCTGTTGTTAACTTACAAAATATTACAAAGTCTTTAATCGACAACAGTCCCCTATTTTAAAAATATTTACAAACTTTAAATATAGTAATACCCCTCAAGCATAGTGTAGTGTATATATTATTTGTGGATAGCATAATCAAGAACCATATATCTTATATTATTACTGTAGATTTTTTACAGTAAAACTTTCCTTATTATGGATTTATTATGAACAATACTACTGTGACGAATCTTCTATTAAGAGCTTCTAATAATACTGCAATTAGAAATCACAATAATAATGACAATAATAACTCATTTGGATAGATATAAACTGAGCTTATCGTCTCCAAATATAAAATTAAAAAAAAAAACCACACTACTGTAACTGTATAATACTTGCTAAATACCTGGTTGTTTATCCTCAGTTGTTGTTCTTCATTCTTAGCCATTCCTACTTCCGTATGTCTCTATGTTCCTCTTACAAATTCTTTATATTTCAAGTTTCAAGGTCTATTTCTTCTAAAGTTAACCAAAAAGGGAAAATTTAGAAAAATATTAGTAATCCTCACCTTTTCAAAAATTCACTGCTCCAAATCCTAAAAAAAATATTCCAAAAGATAAAAAATTCGACCCCAGTGAGGATTGAACTCACGATCTTGCGATTAACAGTCGCACGCCTTAACCAGCTTGGCCATGGAGTCTTAAAACGAGACACCCCCTGTTGTAATATGGTATGGTGAAATTCTTTGTGTATTCCAGGGAAGCGCAAATAATATTAATAGTCATTCAAGTAATCGAGACAGTAATCAATTATAGGCGATAATATAATTACTAAAACGGTCTTATATATTGAGCGGCTTATATCGAGCTAATATATTTATTCAAAGTTACTTAACTTGTTACTTGCTTGTTTTTCTCTTTTTGTTCATATATAATATATAAATTATTTACAAGAAACGGTTATGGAAGATGATCTTTTATTTCCAGGAAACGTTGTCCTTTTATATGTTTTCTGGAGCTCGATCGATTATTCAGATTAGTACATTAATGACTTGACTGATTCACCCCAAAATTTATTACATTAATTTAGGTGCACTAGTGGATTAGAACTGCACCCCAATTCTCTAATCATGGTGATTAGTAATACACGTGGGACTTATTAAAACAATAGGTAAATTCTAGATTTGCCAAAATCTTATGCAATCTAATCTTTTTATTATGCAGCATCTAATGTTGTAGCACGTGTATGGCTTATTAATACAATAATTAGTTCTAGATTCATTCAGAATCTTATGTAATCTTGATGGTTATAACTATTCTATTTCACAACACTCTCTCGAATTTTAATATGAAACATATACATCATTAAATATTATTTAAATACTCTTAAGTATTAACTGTAAATCTATAATAATTTTATTGAGTTTTACTTTGATTGAACTTGTTGTACATATACAAGTATATATTTAACATGTATATTATCGTTCGAATTTGAAACTTCTAAATCTATGATAATGACAAACATCAGTCATATATACCTGATCTTTTTACACCTTCAATATATGTATTTACTTATTGTCTACTTTATGTGGTGTAAACTATTTTATTTCTTTCAACAGTTACTTTAAAAATTCTTATTTTTCTTCAAGTCTTTAGAAAACCTATTTAGTGAAAAATAAAAAGATACCCTCATATTATATTTGTTGGAATTTGGAGCTCTTGGCGTCCATGGTAACGGTAGACATCATTAAGTTATAGATGCTTGTTGTATTATGTGCTAAATACATGTATATACTTATTATATAGCGTATACAGTATAAGTTCTTTTATTTACGTCAAGTTTTCTTTTAAGTTTTTCATTTTTCACCAACAGTATTTTGTTAGAGATTTGAAGAAAAATGAAAAACTTAAAAGAAAACTTGACGTAAATAAAAGAACTTATACTGTATACGCTATATAATAAGTATATACATGTATTTAGTACATAATACAACAAGCATCTATAACTTAATGATGTCTACCGTTACCATGGATGCCAAGAGCTCCAAATTCCAACAATATATATATATTGTGTTGAGAATGAGCGCCTTTATTCATTGGATATATAGTAAACATTCTCAATATTATATTAAACAGATTTAGTACACAAAATTATAATAAAGTTCTTCACTTTCTTTCTCTATATACAACATAGAAGTAATAATACACAAAGATTGTAAATAAGATAAAAATAATGTATGATGAAATCCTTGGCTTTATATATGTTAACATTAAGCCATTTTCCTCTACGAACAGTAAGATATTTAATAAACAAACTCAACAACTTTTGGTGACCTCTTAACGATTATTACTCAACAATTTATGGTTTAGTGTCTGCTAAAATCTTATTGTTCCATCTATTTCATTATAGAACATTTTATTTCAACATATTGTTCTTTAATACTGTATTTTTTTTTTTTTAAAAAATATTTTTTGTAGAGAGAAGACATCAGTAATACACTTTTAGAAAAAGACTTATTGCTGAAATTGAATGTTCTAAAATAAATAGATAGACAGATTGAATTCTAGCAAATATAAAATAACATCAGAATATGGAGAATAAATTGTTGGCTTATAAGTAAATGTAAATAAAACGTATTAATAAATTGGTGCCGTTTATGGAAATTATATACCAGATATGAAAATATATAAAACCAACAATTTTTTTATATTATGTTTCTTTCCTTGTGTATATTTTATACATTATTATATATATTTCATACATATAGAAAAACTTGAATAACTTTAACATAAATTTGTATACAACCAATATATAATATAGTATTGAAAATATTTGTGATTTACTCACTTATTATAGGGGGGAGGTAATTCTTAACAGTATTATGGAACTCTGTCTTGATACTTGTGAAGTTAAATATATACTTGTATTTATTGAAATGTGCCAACAAAAATTTGGGAACTAAATCAACCAGTTAGATTGAAATCTTTATAACAGTTAATTCACAGTTAATAGAACATTTTCCATAATTACAATATCAGGCCAAATTAAATTGCACATAATTATACAATTTGTCTTAAGAATATATAAATATATATATAGATAACACTACTCACAGATTTTTTTTTCAAATATTTGACAGAAAGTTGAGGAAAAGATGATTTTTTTCTGATTAATATTTATTGTATTTAAATATCTTGAATATTATCTCCAAAATACTCCGTAATATTATAATGTAAATACTAAAAATATAAATTTTTTTTTACAAACTAATCTACTACCCTTTCCTTAAAATAGCTGTCAACTATGGGCCAACCAATGCACATCTACTTTATATATATATATCTATAGTCAAACAAACTTGACATATCATATCTGCAACAAACAATATATTACTCACCTAAATATAATTTATACTACTATTGTGCTTCACATTCTATACCATACTAGTTACACCCTATCCACTAATTTATCGACTATCTATTGTGATTCACCAACACACAACCATACTAATAAATCTCCCCCATTTTCTATCAAAACACTTGTTTCCAACATCACATCAAATAATATTACTGATATTTCAAAATTCTTTCAGTAATTTTTACACATATCTTAACACTATAATAATACAAGGCCAAAGTATCTAATATCATTATAAAGTCGACAATGCTTTAAGATTTCTACTTAAACCTTGCAAATTCATGTTTTTTCTCTGAAAAATACAAGCAAACAGAGAAATAAATAAACTCTGGCACAAAGGAGTTAATAACACTAACCTTCATTATCCCAAGAATATATTTTTACACTAAACAAATTCTGCTAATTTTAATAGTTATCTTGCTTCTGACACCAATGTTAAAATATTGAATAGAAGATAGAGAAGCAACTCATCACAAACACTTCATTGGCTTACATGTCAAACCTTAGAAGATTCATTATTGTATTAAATTCAAACGCGTCGATACTTTTTAAAATTAAGACTAAACTATATTCAATGAGAGAAACAATCACTAAACATATATAAAATACAAGAAGAACACGGTCCTACAGATCTGTTAACTAAAATAAAGAATGCCCTATTTTCAATATTTCTCGTTTTTTTTCTTTCTCGAAGAAAATCCATAAACCCTAAGTCTTGCAATAACTCTAAAAGAGGGTTTCAATATTTCGAAAAATTTCTCGTCATTTTTTTTTCTTGTTGGGTTTCGACGGCTTAAAAAGAGAGGACCTTTAAACGTTGAGTGAGTGATTGAGTGAACCAGCATTGAGTAGAATAAAGGATGCCAACTTACATAAAGGGATCTCTCATACATTATACCTCTTCAACTACATGAATCGTTGAATACATTTCAAAAAAAGAAAAAAAAGAAAAAAAAAGAAAAGCAAAATAGTTTTAAACAGTATGATCTTACAGGCTATATCTTATGCTGGGACTATCCTAGGATTTATCTTTTTGACCCTATCAATTGCTGCAGGTCTATATTATATCAGTGAATTAGTCGAGGAATATTCAGAACCAACAAGAAGATTCTTGACTAAATCAATATATGGGGTTATCGGTGTTCTTATACTCCTACTCCTATTTGATAGATTTCCAGTTAAATTGACTCTTTTTGCAATATTCTCACATATCGTATATTTACAGAACTTAAAGAAATTTCCATTCATTAATCTTACTAGTCCAATCTTTATTTTGAGTTGTATCTTTGTTGTGACAAATCATTACTTATGGTTCCAATACTTTAATAAAGTTGAAATCCCCCCTCAATTTAGATACAACCCAAATTATATCCCTGAAAGAAGAGCCACCTTCACTGAAGTGGCATCCTTTTTTGGAATTTGTATCTGGTTTATCCCATTTACCTTATTTGTATCTCTATCTGCAGGTGATTATGTGTTACCTACTACTACAGAAATGAAGAATTTAAAAGATTCTGATATTGCATTTAACAATAAAGAGACTCCTAGGTTCCGTAAGAAGACTGTCGGTTTAGCTAGAATGGTCATTAATAAGATTAGATATTATATTACTTTTGGGCTTAAAATAATGGGATTTAAAGTCAAGGATCGTTATTCAAATTATAATGAATTAGCTATCTGAATATATATATGTAAGAAAAAGCACAAAAAGGGAAAATATGACGATCTTCCTCTCATGAACATAGCTCATACATAAATATGCATATTTCTATATTTATTATATAACCGTAAAGTTTATTTAATATTTCATAATATTATTTATTCTTAATTAAAGCACTATGCAATCAATATCCTTGGAAATCTCTAAGACCGAAAAAAAAAAATAATATTTAACATCGTCAGAATGTTTCATTAAAAATTATACTTTTGAGAGATACTTGTATATACTTCAAGTCATATATTTGTTCAATACAATTTAAATCTACTGAGATGAATGAATGAACTAAACAGTTAACAAGATAATATGTCAAAATATCATATATTAAGTTGAATCCATTCGGTTATTGTTTTTATTTTTTATTTTTTTTTTTTTTGATACCTTACATAAGAATTATGGATCAAATCAAAGATAGTGAACTTAATTTAAGAAATTCATTTTGGTCACCAGATTATATCACAGGGATCGAAACATTTTTGCAAGTAGTCAAGATCGATAACAAATGCCTTTCAGAAGAATTAGATTTCTACAGATCTGTAACTTTGAATTGTTTCACACCACTTATTGACAGTTTGGAAACTGTATGCAACAAAGAATACAAATCAAATGATTCTCAATCATTAAGTAGAACTGTACTTAATCAATTTTGGCTAAGAATAAAGAATAGTGGAATATCGAATATAACTGAAACTTGTACTGTTCCATTATCTACACGTCTGAGCCAAAATAAATTATATTATAATGAGATAGAAAATGAATTAAATGAACATTATTTAGCCTATCAAAAGACTTTTAAATCGACTAAGGAATCATATGTTGAATGTGAAATCTTAGCAGGTAGTATTTTAAAGAGTTTAACACACTTACAAAAAAATAAAAAATCAGAACAATCAGATAGTATCAACAACTCTTTTGAAACTACTACAACTGCTATCACTGCACAAAATACAAGATCCGCCACAAATAAGACTTTACAGTTTCAGAATATAATATACCCATTCAAATTAGATGATGTTTTGACTTTCAATAATGAACATGAATTAAATCAGTTCCTATCTTTAATAAAAAGTCAACTTATTTATCAAAAGACTTTTACCTCAATGCTAGGTTCATTAAATGAATATTTCAAAGGTAATTCTTTAGTAGCAGTATTGAAAAAAATTAATCCAAAACTAGACACGTCTTTGTATAACCTAATAAGAGTTAGTCAACTTCTATTAAGTAAACAATTTTTTCAAGAGTATTATCCAATTATTAGTAGATCATATTTTAATAATATTAAACTGAACTTTAATATGCACAAAAATACCACAGAATCGTCACCAACTTTTGAACTTGAATCTTATTATATATGGAATCCATATGTGTTTGAAAATGAAACCTCTACGGAAATTATACCCTCTAAAATACACAAATCCTATAGTGATTTAAACAAAAATACCAATATTAAATTTGACACTTTTGCGCATAGAAACATATCTACTTCTATGGCTCTATGGTTTAGAAAGATAAACAAAACAGTCACTGGATCCAACATCAACAATCCATTATTAACCCTGGAAGAAATAAATAAAAAACTTGTTCAATTACAAGAGTACCAAAGTAAGTATTTTGAACAATATAAAAGATTACTATACACAAGACTCCAGTTAGAGAAAACTTTCTTCACCCATTGCACAAAATATGCTGAATATAGATTCAAAACAAATCAACTAATTCAATCAGTTAACCAAAATTTCCAAACATATATAAACAATATTTCTGTTCCGGTAAATAATTTGTCTGAGAATAAAATTCCCACTATAGTTCAATTTAATAAACAGTCATATTCACCTATTGGTTTTTTTAATCGTGATAATTCATTACCCTATACAAAATGGTCAATAAATATCGATGATATATCTTCGTATGTTATATTGGAATCAATGTTTTCTTGTACTACAATCACAGATGATGTCATCAATAGTATTAGTCTAATTATCAAACATATAGAAAAGCAAATAGATAGTTCAAATTTTGATGGGGAACAAATATTTGATTATTGGAGAAGTGATCTTGATATTGTTAGAGCAACTAATTTAGAGAGAGAGTTCTTTACAGAATTTCAGAACATGACTTTCAATCATGATATTAATACAAACACTACAAGATTAATCATTGAACACTATAGAAATGGTTCCAAATTTGTTTTAAAGGACTGGATTGATTTAATAAAATTATTCCTGCTTGAATTACCGGATAGCCTAATACCTATGACATTAATAGATGAAGTGTTAAAGAACGAGAATATTAAATGGTTAAATATGATTTCCACTCCTAAGCTCAGATTGATTGAGCTTATTACCATTCATTTAATGAAATTTGGTGATATAGATTCATTATTTTCTCTTCAAAATGATATCCCTTTTATACAATATTTCTTACGTATACGTGGTATAAACAATGATTTTAATGATAGAGTGATTAGACTTTCTAGTATTGTTTTAGATTTATTCAAAAATCATTTATCAGGATTATCAAGTCTTATCAAGACAAAACTAACTGAGTACCAAAAACGTGAAAATGTAGTACCAACTATTAAAGTAAAAGATGATCAAGGTAATCTAAGCGAGAATGAACCAGTGAATGAATCATTATTATCTCCTCAAAAAATCATTCCTAAGAAAGAACTTTTGTATAAACATAAAAGAAGTATTAGTATGACGCTTTTATCTTCAAGTTTCAAAACTCTAAATTTTGAAAATAAAAATAATTTTGAAGAAGAAGATTTTATACCTATACCATTTAAAACCAGTTCAACGAAAAGCTCCCCCTCAGAATCACTAAACAAGGAAAAAAGAAAAAGTGGAGTCAGTTTATTATATGCATCTCAGGGTGAACAACATTAATACATATATTATTAGTTTTAATAGTTCTAACATTATTTTGACCAATACAACCAAAATTATAAAGAATAAGTTTTACTAAAAGAATATCGTCTTGTCAAACTATATCCATTTAAATAACCATTTGCAGAATTTATATGATCTTTATAATCCCCCTCTGTCCTTATTAACCCTTAGATTAAATTTATAGGGTTCAAAAAATTAAAATGACACAAATTTTTTTTTTAAAAAAATAAAAAAAAATAAAAAATAGCAATAATGAAGACTATGAAATATAAAGGTAATATTCAAATAATTAGTGTAGTAATAAAGAATCAAGCCTCAGTAAATTCTCATAATATTGCACCAACAAAACTATATACTTTATAAAATTGCTCACTTCAAGTAGGGAAACTTTTCATTTATTCGGAAAGCTGGTATAAAACTTATTCAATATAAAAAGAATGAACAATCTGCAATATCACCAATATGACAATTTTAATTCGCCATTTCCTGATAATCAAGAACAATACAGAATGAGTAGATACAGGCCACAAAGTGGAAGTAAAAGAACAAAAATTAAGAATTGGTTTACAAAAAGCAATGAAAAAGATTTTGTAGAAGAAGATTCTGAAGTATATGAATATTATCATGAAAGACCAAACATGGAAATTAATCGTCAAAACCAAAGTATTCATGATAACTGTACTAGAAGTTATGTCAATGGTTCTCCAAATCTTAAAGGAAACCAACAGAAAATATTAAGGAATAATATGGAACAGTATAACAGAAAACTAGAGCGTGATTCATCAATTAGTAACAAGACGTTTTTAACAAGTAATAGACCTAACTTTGAAAATAATGAAGTAATGATACCTCCTCGAAATCCATTAGATAATGGTAAAGCATTCATTGGGTACCGTAGTAAGAAAGAAAATGTTAATATCCCTGTCAGACGTAATTTTCTAGATAACATTCAATCTGTGATGTCTGATTCACATATAGGATTCAAATCTACACATGTTAAATTATCAGATGTTGCAAGAAGATTGACCGCTTATATTACCAAGAAAAATCAAAATAGCCTTCTTTTGAGAAAAACTATAAAGGATCTTAGAAATTGGACTCCTCAGGGCGACATCTGTAACAAAGAGGATATTACGTTAATGACACAAAATCTGATAAACTTATTTGAAAACGAGCTGTCTTATGAAACTGGAGTAATGCAATCATTAAATTCAACCTTATCTATATTACAGGGTGTATCAGTAAAGGAAGATAACTACTTAATTTCACAGAATAAAATGATTTTCTCTATAAAAAAATATGAATCCTCACTTTTAAAGAAACACGAGAAACCAGTAAATAACAGTATATTGCTTAAAACTATGATGGAAGACAGTAAGAAACGTTTTGGGATGGAACAAGAGCTATTACAGGGTTCTATATCTATTGGTCTTAGAGAGACTTACATATTACATACTTTTGAAAATTTTACACATGCGTTAGAAATAATAGAAAAATCTAAAAGAATGATGTGCAGTGGATTAAAAGAGATGCTAATGGTGAATCCAGAAGTATTTGAAGAAATACTCTCATCGATAAGACATGAAAGGACAAAATATAATAAACATGAGTTACCATATGAAGATCAGGAAAATTCTAGAAAACAAGATCATTTCCACAACAGTTTGCACGACAAAAATGATATCCTACTTAGGTACATATATAAAGAGTTTCCAGGAATAGAATTACCACAAACGACTATCTCACTTGAAGGACAACCAAATTTAGTCTTTAAAACTGCAATAGGTGAAAGTACTACTGAAGTTTTGGATAATATTTCGGATAGAGCTCAAAATAGTAACGTAAATCGACCTAATTATCATAATAGGAATGACATTGATTCTTATGAATTATCAAGTTATGAAACTGATTATCGTAATATGAAAGAAGATGATGACCTTGAAGATGAAAATAAAGAAAATAGAACTTTCATGAACATTCCATCTGATTATACTAAGATTTCTACTCATCGTACACAGGGAAATATTAATAAAGGTTCAGGACGACAGTTTGTTATAACCACTGCAGATAGATATGAAAGCCACACAGACAATTTAGAAGCCAATCATTGGAGCAATGAATTCATGTAAACTTTAAGTTTATATAATGATTTTATCCCTACAATCTAATGTTTAATAATATATATTTTTAAACAGATATGTATAATTACATTAAAAGTTTATTAAATATCTTAATCACTAAAGTTATGCAAATTACTGCCATTGCACTTACAAACGTATGCTTATTTAGCTGAATACACAAAACACTTGGTTATCTTTTACTTCACGTGCTCTATGAACTAAAATATTCTATTTCTTCCCTAACAGCAATGGTTGCCAATCGTGATCCATAATATCATACCTTTACTTTTTGAACTCACTAGTTTAATAGTTATTTTATACCAACTTTCCAGGTTTTTATTCCTTCCAATATACTGAAAAATAATCTTTATAACACAAAAAACATGATAATTATTTTTTAACAACGGAACTAGGATCATTTAAATCCATAAAATTACCTTTTCTTTAAGTGTAATGCAGAATACAACTCTAAGATCAAATGCTAACGAACTTCCAGATATTAACCTTTCTTTAAAGTGACTAGAAAACCTAAGACCAATCTTTACCATTTTTAACAATACATGTACTTTTCCATGCTATAGTAGCAAATTTTGATTATTAAGATTGAAAAAAGAAACTCTTTACCCTCACTAAGCGCAATACCTCTTATTATTGAACTTCTTGAAATACCTTTCAATTTAATTAATAAATATTTTGTACTATAGTACTTATAGCTCAATAATACCTTTTTCCTGATCAAATGCTTGAAAATATAATTTTGTAATTCCATGTGCCATTCACGTATTTATCTAAATAATTTAATAAAAAATTTTTATTCGTTCCTTGAACTCTTCTTCAAACCAAAGGAACAGCTTAATCTAACTGTTCTTTTAAATTTACGACTCTACGTCTCTTTGAACCAAACTACCCTCAAATTTTGTCACATCTTCTATTTCATGTTCTAACTTGATAACATATTGCTTAAGTTTTATTTATAATCTTATCTATTTTATGACACTAATAAAATTACAAAACACTTGAAAAATAATAATTATCAACAGAACTATATGAATGCTTTTCATATTTATTATTGACATAATAAATGTTATCCTTCAGTATACTAATGACCTTTCTGTACATTTATAAACATTAATACGTGTATCATGAGAGTTAATAGCACCTAACATCATTCTATGTGGATGTAACGCCATCCCTGATAAAAATGAACTAGATGAATATGATCTAATACCAGTAGCTGCTAATGTGCTTGCCACGTTATTAGTTATTGAATTCTGATTATTTTTAAAAACACTTAACAAGTCACCAGATGTGGTCCATATTTTCACTTGCCTCGAACCAGTTGCAATAACAGGTGCATGCTCATGAACTTGTATAGAAGTTAATGTGTTGCCTATTCTCTTTTGATCTCCATTTTGTGCAGTATTTTCATCAACAAAACTTAAAACAGGTTTTTGTGAACGAAGATCCCATAATTCTACTACCCCACCAACTGTACCACTAACTAATTCTCTGTATCCACCTCTTTGTAAATGCACGTTATTTATCCATGAGTTCTGACTACCACTGCTAGCAGATCTCCAGCGACGAATCATGGAATCCCTTGGATCAATACGACGATCATATACTCTTAATGTACCATCAGCAAAGCCCGCAATAAAAATATTTCCAGCAACTTGATCAGAAGTAAGTGAAGTCACCAATGAGGACGTTTTTGCAGGAATATCTACCTCCACTGTCTCTGTATGTGCATCCCAGATTCTTATTATCTTAACATCACCTGTAGCCAATAGAGAGCCTCTACTTTGTTGCCATTCCATCAATAACCCATTAGATCTTGGTGTTAACAACATTTCTGTTAAACCTCTCCAGGCAGCTACAGTAGTAACAGTTTCTATTGAATGAATATTTCTAAAAATCTTTATAATACCATCTGAAGAACCAGTCATCAACAATGTCTCATCATCCTCGTTCATAAATTTAATATCAGTGATTTTTGTACCAAATGGGTTCCCATTCGAAAATTTAGACAAACATTTCCCACGTTCCCAATCAAAAACCGTAATATTGTCCCTATCATCACTAGAGATCAGTTGATTCTCAAACTGAACAAACCTAATTATTTTGGGCTGTGTTTTATTATCCAGAGTGACTAGTTTACAAGACCAATCACCATAAAGTGCAAGTTTTTTATCTCTTTGTGTACTTTCAATGATATCTTCATTCCTATTCCGACGCCATAGTCTAGCATTATACTCAACACTACCGACTTCTTCGGTCTCTAATTTATGCATTTGAGGTTCTTGAAAATATTCCTTACAATAATCTAAAAAAGAACTTTTAAATGGTAATTCAATCTTACCAACATGCTCTTTATAGTAAGGTGTTTTTGGTATATATGATAATCCATGTGACAATCCTAATAATGATGTACCAGTATCTTTATTTTTTGTTTTGATGTTATCAGAATTTTGTTGTTCAGTGTTTTCACCAGTTTCACCAAATACCATGTTCTTAAAGAGATTACCTAAAGAGATTACCGACTTCAGGTCATTATTATTACTATTCGACTCATCAGCATTACGGTTTGATGAATCTAATACTCTAGGTGATTTTCCCTTCAAAGCTGGTTTTGCATTAAAAAAATATTCATTTCTTTTGTTTGCTACTAAACCATCATTCTTTTTCCAAAAATAACTTTCCATTTTCATAAATTCTGAACCCAAATCCTTATGTGTACTCAATTCTAATAAAATATAATCAATAGTCTGTTCTGCAAGTTTTTTATTCTCTAAATATGGATCATTACACATAATTAATAAAGCCCTCCAAACAGTAGTAAAAACTGAACTGTGACTAATAGAATGCTTCTCTCTCGATTTGATTATGTCTGAATCTATCCCTTGCATTTGTGCAATGTCATCTGCTAATTCTTGGAAGGCAACAACAAGAAAGAAATTAATATAACGGCTGATCAATTTTGAAAAATATATTAATAGTTCTTTTTTTACTAACGATGACCCATCCCCAACTAAAGAAAGTACTGCAACTAAATTACTAATCTCTTGGGATTTTAATTTCTTCAAATCAATATTCTCCAGCTGGTATAACATGGTTTGATTGATATTTAACTGTTGTTCGACCTTAGTATGTTGTTGCTCCAAATATTGTTGATGTTGTTGATTTTGTTTTTGGTGTAACGTGTTATTTATCTGCTGTAGCTGAGTCTGTAATTGCTGAGTTTGCTTTTCATAATCTTGTTGAATCCTCAAAATCAAATCTGGTTCATCTGATTCAGATACAGAATAGTTCAGTGCTAATAAAGTTGCTGCCCTTACTTCAGGAACTGGATCCTTCAAAGATCTTAACAAAACTTCAAACACACTAGCATTCATACAAATCCATTTATGCAAAGGGTTGGATTCAAATAAAAGACCCAGTAGTATAATACACCATTGCCTCAACAAAGGAACATCAGAATGTGAAATATAAAAACATAATCTATTAATTAATTCAAAACTGAAACAGTGTCTCTGGCCTAACGGAAAATTTCTTACGAATGATACTAATACAAATACTGTCATTGCCTTTTGTTCATCAGTAGTATCATTATTTAAATACCCTATCGTAGCTCCATTTGCGTTCTCATATATTGACCGTTTTCTTTGAGAATAAAAATTATGTGGCGACTTCATAGTCAATGGAGAATTATTGCCTAAAGATGAACCGCTTAAAGGTAAGGGTCCACTCATATTGAATTCAGGGACTAGGATATTAACAAAATACATATATCCTTTCTCTTTTATTAATTCACTTTGTGTGTTGGTATAATCAATTGACATAATTCTTGCCCATATAAACACAAGGATAGGTTTTAATTCTGGTGCTGGGCTTTGTAGAAGTTTTAAAACATATGGGAAAATACCAATGGATAAAGAGAGATATACAGCCCATGGTCCTAAATCCAAAAATCTTGATAGTAATACTAGTGCTCTAATTCTATGTACTTGTGATAATAATACTTGTAAAACAATTGGTAATTGTTCTGGTGGATTTCTCACATTAGACATGTACCTTAACCATAATTCGAAAGCAGTTAGGTTTTGTTCAAAAAAAACCTGTGAATTGTTGCTGTGGTTGTAAAATGAAAATATTCTTGTTATTGTTATTATTATTACTTGTCTGTTTCTTTGTATTAAGCATATTTGGTAAAGTTGCTAATGACATTGTGCTTAAATTCCCAACTGCAAATTTTGATTGATTCTGTATACTTCCAGGCTTAATATACTGTTGTTGTTGATTTAAATTCTGATTGTTAGGACCTGTTTTTTGATTTTGAATCATTTCCTGTTGTTGTAGAACTAACTGTGATTCCAAATCTGAAGTTGGAGGAGAATTTTTCAACGTTCTTACTAGTTTACTTAATACTTCATCTATTGCCAAATCCCATGAATCCCATAATGGATGATTAGCTATATCTGAAGGTAATTCTGGGTCTGATAATGGATGGCAATTATACCAAGGCATGACTCTTTTGGCCAATAGAAAATTACGAAACAGGGCAGCCACCATTAAATCATGCCTAAATAACTTATTGAAGAGGGGACGAGGTAATGAAGTCCATGCGATTGTGTCTGTAACAGCTGTAAATATCCAGTTTAATTCACCGAGTGGGGTTCTTCTATCAGATAACATTCCAGGAATATGAACATTAGGTATATTGGTTTTGTATGCATTCTTTGGGTCATTATTTACACTAGGATTAGAGTTTTCAAAAAAAATCTTATATTTAGTATATTTCAAAGGTGATTGCATTAAGAAGATTTGTATACTAATTTCGATTGGACAAGTTAGACAACATGTAAACAAATCAGCAGGCAGTTCAGGAGGCAATAATAATAGTTCATCAGAACGACATGATGCTAATTGGAAACAATCCTTATATGCAGATGTAGGGGATGGAGCTGCTACATCATGATTCCCATCTTCATCGTCCTTAATTCTCTTTTGAACAAATTTTTGGAAGTTGTGAACAATGTTACCAGCACTGTTACAATCCCAAACAAAGATGCATGGAGCACCCAACCATGTCTGTAAATCGTATAGTGATACTGGGATATACTGTGTATAAGTTCTATTAAAGACCCAAATTTCACCAGATGGGGTAGGTTGAGGAACACCGTGGCCGTTATAGTGAAACAAAATTTGATCATCCTTTGAAGTGCGTCTTAAAGAGTTACAGAACCGTTTAACATCTTCTACACATGGATCTAAACTTTGTTTATACCTTGTCCGTAACGATAAAGTTTCATATTGGGACTGCAAATTTTTACCAATTTGTTCAATGGCCTTCTTTGAATCCTGAAAATTCAAAGGATCGACCCATGCTTCAATTCTAGAGGCCGGATAAGTCTTAATCACATCTGGGGGATCAACTCCAAGATTTAGACATAATAATAAAGCTGCACTTACTGTTTTTTGACGATCTTTAGTGACTTTCCAATCGGGTATAGGCTGGTAATATTTCTCTTTATCCTCTATTCGGACTTTATCAGGTATTGGATTACCATTCGTTCTATGTCTTTTATCGTCATAGTAGAAATAAAACTCATTGGCTAATGACTGTAGAAACTGTTCACTATTATACTGCTCTTCAAATCCATGTCGCATCTCTGTATTGAGATGCTTTAAAGGTTGTGGACCATATATGACAGACATTTAATTTGGAAACAAAATGACGAAATGAACAAAATAACTCACAACTTATCAATTTATCCGGTGGTACCTATAATCTTGTAATTATATAATTACCTGTTTGTATATAAATCTGCATATTCAATGTTTGTATAAAATATCATATGTGTGTTTATATACAAATTTTTAGTATATTCTAATATTCATCAATAATTATATATTTTTTTTAACGGTAAACATTTTTTCACTTAATACTTATACCAGTGTAAAAATGATAACTTATATAAAACAAATTTACACACATACACAAACATCTTCCTTTGATATATCTAACCGTATATATATGTATACTGAAGCTTAATAAGCGGAATACTAGTCTATTCAATAGTACCACATACAAAGGGATGTATGAGCTCTTCCTATAGATCAAGGAATCACATGACACAGAATGACTCTTCCTCTGTATATTCATGATTGTGTTAGTCCAGTATACACTAAGTGTTAACATAAACCCACATTTATACGAATTTGAAAGTGACTACTGATATAGGGAAAACATTTAACATCTTGTGAATAATCATATACTACATTGTCTTATGAACATACACTTATTAACATTATATATGATTAATCAAAGCCAGAACAAGAATAAAAGAAGTTCTTCATTTAGCAAATCACCCAGCTAGTATACACAATTATGCCAAACGACGAGGGACTATCATTACACAATTGTCACATCTGTTTAAACCAAACCAACCACAACCATTACCATTACTGTTGCTATTAATATTAGTACTACTACTACTTTCAATATTTTGGTAGTTCTCTGTTGCTATGGTAACACAATGGCTCGTTGTTAGTGACACCAATTTTCTTTAATTTTATTTTTTATTCTTTTTTTTTTCCATGTGATGAGGTAAATTTAAATTGGAGTAAAAAGTGGTGAATGTGGATAATAAAATACATTGTTATTGTTATAAAAATATAGGTGCAGGAAAGTTCAGTTGTTTCTCTAGCAGCATGTTTTGGATTTTCAGGAAATAAGAAGAACATCTTTGATAAACACCACAAGATTAATTCTCCGATATACCTTTTTTCATTCTTGTCGTCTTATTTTTGCCCTCTCTACAGACACAATTCAACTACCAAAACTATGTCCAGCTCTATTCATAATCCTTCTATCCTTTTAAAAAGAATATTCAATTTAACTGAATCATCATCTTTTATATTATGCATCGATTCTATGGCACAAACATCCCATGGTGTTATCAACGAATTTATTCATCATCGAAATTTGCAATCCAACAGTAATAATAGCAATAGTAACTGCAATAATAATAGTGAAGTGATTTATATTGCATTTAATTCTATTAATAGACCTGAACATGCTACATATTTCATAAATATTCAAGATGGAAATATCAATAAGGTTTCTCAATTAATTCAATCTTCTTTACCTCCTACAAAACATCTTTCATCTACCACCACTACTAGTAAGTCTCTAGTTATAATAGATTCTTTGAATTATTTAAATAACACCGATTTAAGCCAGTTTATTGGTTCCATCGCCTCTCCATCAGTCACAATCATAGCTATTTATCATAGAGATGTACCTGAATCTTTAATATTTAATCAATCTGACAATGATCTTCTAGACAATTATCCATCTTCTTTAGAACTTTTACAATTTATGGCAACTACAATCCTTGAAATATCTCCTATCTTACCCAACTCAGTACATGATCACCATGAATTAAGTGATATGCTTGAAGTTTTCAATATACCTCGCGGTTTAAACAACTCTGTATTCAGCCTGCTGTTAGTTAATCGTAGAAAATCTGGTAGATCGTTAAAATACAATTTTCAAATAGATTCAAAGAAACATGAATACATTTTAATGAATAAAAAAGACAATAATACTGACACTAATAATGATAATAATAGCAGTGGACTAGAGACACCTGAAATGTTACAAGGTTTAACCACTTTCAACTTAACTACCTCTGAAAAACAAAAGAGAGCTAAGGAACAAGTCAATTTGCCATTCTTAGAGGCTCAACAGTATGGATCTTCTGGTGGTGCCATTGTTTACGAATATGAAAAGGATGACGATTATGATGAAGAGGATCCATACGAAGATCCATTTTAAATAATACAAATTCAAATATCTACTATATTATCTCTCCATGCATGTATGTATCTATATACACATATGTATATACCTCTCAATTACATACTCTTTATTCATTTCTACGAAGTTAATCCAATTTTTCTCAATACATGCTGCTTTAATACTAACAGCTTATATTTTATACTACGTTCAACCAAAATCTTATCTGCCTCTTCTAAAGTAACCACACGTTTCACTAACAAATTGAACATAACCCCAAATATTAATCCCATAACTGTTGATGTAATTATGATAACATTGTATGGCATACTAAAATCTGGTGTGGATAATAATAACAATAATGTGGAAGTTCTTAATTGATACAGCTTTGGTGAAACGATAGTGATTATTGCGGCCTCAATTTCAAACCCATGGTTGGCATCTGGTGGATATTCTGCAAATTGCAAAAGTGTCTTATCAAATTGGTAAGAGAATGTCACTGTAGTCAATGGTGGAATCTCAAGTAAAAATTCTATATGTGCAGGCTTTTCTCTATCTTTAGCGGGAGAATAATACATTGATTCCATTATTGTATCCCTGTTAATACTTGGATCAGTACTCTCCACTGTTAATGTAGATAAATAAAGTCTCATAAACCATGGTAGAGATTCATAGAAGATAATTTTAACTGGTGTTTCACTTGGATTTCTCAAAAGCGTACGCAAACCACCATGATCTTGACCATACCCAGTCAAGGATCTACTAACATAAATAGGGACCTCATCGATGAGTGTAACATTTTGAGAATTATGGGTATCAATTATTAAATCATATTCTTTCGAAGAGACCAATTCAAAACAATTGTCTGGTGTACCAAAAAATGAATCCTTTTGACCATCTTCAATCACTTTTAAAGTTATATCCCATTCATTGGTAGTTTGAACACATATAGTAGTCGGTTCCTTAATGAAATTGTTGCAACCTTTAATTGTTTTATTAAATAACTGCGATAATGAAAAATTTGTATCTGTTGATTCAGATAAAGGAAAACATTCATATATATCATATGGTTTACTTAAATCACATTTCAATTTATCACCGGCTACAGGTTTTGGAATAGGATTCTCAAATCTTTCAAGGGTATTTGGGACATGAATTACCATGTCAACATTAGCTTCCATCTTGTATTGACACTGTCCATCTTCTCGTTCACAAAATGTATCAACATCGATTGAAACACTATGCCAAATGGAGTCAAAAACCTTATGGCCATCCAAATACGAAGAAATGCCCGTTTTACCCCTTGCCGGTAAAAACTTAATTAATGGAGTCAAATTTTCTGTGCATACAGGCTCATTAGCTAAAGAAGCATGTAAAACATATAAATCAGTGTTCTCTCTTTTTTGATCAAATAAAGGTATTCTTTCTTCTTTACCATTAAAGAAACTACCGAAAGTATATTGAGGGAAACTTGTTTTAGAATTATCAATAAAGTTAATTGATGCACAAAAATGGCCACTTAAATAATTGGCTAAAGTCTTCCATTTCTCATATGCAGTTTCTTTTGAAGTAGCCTCGATTGTGGCCCACAATTCTACTCCAGAACCGCCTGATTTAAACCCATTATAAGGCAATGCCCCCCATGTCTCCGAATCCCAATAACCTCTCGTAAATCTAAGTTGGAATTGACGTGTAGAAGTCAATTCTAATAATGGTTTTATAATTTTAGGAAATACTGTATAATGTGAATATTGGCCAGAATCTAGAGCATTTTTATTTGGATAAAAGGGTTCAGAACTCATATCAAAGATGAAAGAGATCAATAAATGATTATTGGGTAAAGGTCTTAAATTCATCTTTTCGGTGTATGGATAAGTAACTGGGTAGTTTGTTAAAATCCCAGGTATATTTTCATGATTATCTGTTTTGTGTAAAACCTCTTCAAAGTCAACATACTTTTGTTCAGCTGCCTTTGTTGAAGATAAACTATCAGTAGTTGTTGCACAGTTTAAAGCACCAAATATACTAGAGTTAGTAACATCCTCTTCTGTTTGAGTAGTCACATATTCATAACTATTTATCTCAGTATCTAAACTTTCTAAACTATGCACCTTTTGGAATACTAGAATCGACAAAGTCAATCCTGTAAACACTTTGGAATATATCATTTTCTAGACTTTCTCTTTAAAAGTAGAACTGATCCTTAATAAAAAAAGAGAGCTTGCTACTTTTAATGAATACACTAAGCCTTGCAACCCTAACTTTCTTTAATATGACAAATATTAACACTAACTATTACTATTTTTTTAAAGATCTTACATTTTTAACTATCTTCTAAACTCGCTAATACTTAAAAAAATAATTGCGACAAAAAAAAGTTAAGAGATCAAATAAGTATATAAAAATTGAGAGGAAAGAGCAATTCACACAAACAGCTGTAGTTTTTACTTCTTATAAGACACTTAATATAAGAAACCACAAGACTAAGGTGGCTAGAATATTAAGAAGGACATGTCATTGGAAAAAATAGAAATTGAAAATTCAAAAGACTCAAAATATCAACTTGGATCCAATTATTCTATTTCTAAAGACTTAAAGCAGGATGTCATCGATGAAACTACTACAGGGTCCCAGCCTGAACATTTAGATGTATTACAGAAAAGGATCCAGGAAAGATCGATATATAATAGGGAAGATAATTATCATAAACAAAGGTTGAGGAAATTGGATGATGAAAAGGGAGATAAACAACTTCGTTTGGCCTCCTTTAAAACAAAAGATGTTAGTGGTGTAGCCACTGTTAAAAGATTAAAAGGTGAATCACGATGGGATGTCCAAACATATGAGCTGCCAGTCAACAATGGTGAGCCAAATGATGCTAATAGCGAGAACCAACAGCAACTATTACAAGGTGTTGCAATAAATGTGCCATATGAGAATGATCTAAAATATTTCAAACCTTCAGATAAATTACATTTTGCCAAATTAATAGAGGATGAAAATGCCAATAGTGATTCTTCTAGCCCAGAAACAAAAAATGAAAGAAATTTATTACTTCTTCTTTTAAAGATCAAGAATGGTAATTCTGTAGTTAGAAAAGTGGCTATGAAAAAGTTGACTTCAAAATGTATAGAATTTGGTCCTAAATTAATATTTGATAGCATATTACCCATTCTTTTGGACAGATCGTTAGAAGATCGAGAAAGACAACTTATGATAAAGGTAGTCGATAGAATACTGTATCGTTTGGGTGACTCTGTGAAATCATATACACGTAATATTTTAACTGTAGTTTCCCCGCTATTAATTGATGAAGACCCAGTGGCAAGAATTATTGGACGTGAAGTTATAAGTAACTTAGCCTCAATAACAGGTGTTGGACATATGCTAACCACAATGAAAGCAGATCTTGACAGCGAAGATGAATACATAAGAAACATAACCTCTAAAGCATTGGCAGTGGTTGCAAAAGCTTTAAGTTTACCCAAAGTTTTACCATATATACATGCAATGTGCCATTCCCAAAAGTCATGGAGAGCTCGTCATACTGGTGTTAAAATTATCCAACAAATTGCTATTTTAATGGGGATGGATATCTTAAGGCATTTGATTCCATTAATTCGCTGTCTTAAAGATAGTCTTTATGATGAACACATATCAATAAGAATTCTTACTGCTAATACTATATCAATACTAGCAGAAAAGTGTAATCCATATGGTATTGAAGTGTTTAATATTATTTTAGAAGATATTTGGAAAGGTGTCTTATCACATAGAGGCAAATTACTTACTGCTTTTATGAAATGTATTGGGTCTCTTATACCATTGATGGATCCAGAATATTCAGGCTACTATTCTTCTGAATTAATAAAAATAATATCTAGAGAAATGTCAAGTCCAGATGATGAAATGAAAAAAACAGTCTTATTGGTATTACAAAAATGTATTAAATTAGAAAATATTACTGGTGAATTACTTTTAAATGATATTGGTCCTTCTTTCTATAAGAATTTCTGGATAAGACGTATTTCATTAGATAAACAACTGAATAAGATGACAGTTTACACAACAGTAATATTATCAGAGAAATTAGGATGCAAATATACTGTAGAAAATTTGCTAGACCCATTAAGAGATGAAGCTGTTTCTTTTAGATCTATGGCAATCCATGCAATCAATCGAACAGTAAAGCTCTTAGGTACCGCCGAATTAGATGACAGATTAGAAACAAGGCTTATTGATGCACTTTTGATTGCATTTCAGGATCAAGATACGGAAGACTCTCTTATTTTCAATGGGTTTGGTACGGTGGCGAGATCTTTAGATACAAGGATGAAACCATTCTTGGCACCTATAGTATCCACTATCCTTAATCAATTAAAACACAAGAACCAAATAATTCGTCAAAATGCTGCAGACTTATGTAATATTATAATACCTGTAATAAAAAATTGTGAAGAAACTGACATGTTAAATAAATTAAGCATTATTCTTTATGAATCTCTGGGTGAAGTGTACCCTGAGGTATTAGGATCAATTATTAAATGTATATCCACTGTCATAGAGGTTTCGACGTTATCCAACTTACAACCACCTGTAAACCAAATTATGCCAACTTTAACCCCCATTTTAAGAAATAAACACATAAAGGTTCAAACATATCTAATTAAATTGATCAGTACTGTGGCTATTAGAGGTGCTAGCTATGTTGCACCTAAGGAATGGGTAAGAATCTGTTTTGAATTATTGGAATCATTGAAAAGTCCTAATAAAAATATATTGAGAGCTACCAACGACACATTTGGATATATTGCTAAAGCCATTGGCCCTCAAGATGTTTTAGTTGTCTTGTTGAACAATCTAAAAGTACAAGAACGTCAGTCTCGTGTCTCTACTGCAGTAGCTATTGGTAAAGTAGCTGAAACATGTGGTCCATACACTGTTTTGCCAGCATTAATGAATGAATATAAAACACCTGAAACAAATATTCAGAATGGTATTTTAAAAGCGATGACATTTATGTTTGAATATATTGGTCCTATGTCACAAGATTACATATATATGATTACTCCCATGATTGAGGATGCATTGATAGATAGAGATTTGGTTCATAGACAAACAGCATCCACTATAATAAAGCATTTAGCGTTACATTGTTGCGGATCTGGAAATGAGGATGCATTTATTCATATGCTAAATTTGTTGATTCCCAACATTTTAGAGACATCTCCCCATGTTATTGCTAGAATCATTGAAGGTTTAGAGTGCTTGTGTTATGCAGTAGGTCCTGGTATATTCTTGAACTATATTTGGGCAGGTCTGTTCCATCCATCCAAGAATGTCCGTAGTGCGTACTGGAAAGTTTACAACAAGGTCTATATCCAGTACGTGGATGCAATAGTACCTTACTATCCAGTGTCTACAAATGAATATCAAGTTATTGAAGAGTTAGACTATGTGCTATAACAAGTTGGATCTATTTATTTTACATACAATTATATAGTGGGAGATGTAATTGATTGCCTTTTATTTTATCTTTTTATTTTTTTTCATGTTTACTTTGTAAGACAAGCATAATGGAACAAAAAAGGACACACACACAACAAAGTATTATAAACTACAAAAGTTTCAAGTTAAAATGTCGTACTAGGGAATAAGGTGAATTCGTTAGCTATTGTTGAGATATGATTGGAGAATATCAAATTTTAAGTACATTAAGGTATGATTCTAATCTCGCCAAATTAGAGGGAATCACGTTAAATACAGATAATGATTTAGTTGTGCAGTATTCTACTGTTAATGATGATTTCTTGTTAGATACCAAATGCAATGGTTATGAATGGAAAGCAGAAATGATTCAGGATGGAACAAAAGACTTTCATATATTCCAGAAGGAGTTTTCACAAGTAAATAACATATCACTTACCAAATTATCATTACCCCTAGATTCTATAAAAAATTTTGATGATAGAATAATAGTAGATGCAACTTACATGGATTTCATTCAATCAAGATGTTTATTTGTTCCACAACATTTGGCTAGAATTAATTTAGCATTAAAATATTTTGATTGTCCCAGGGAACCACTTACATTAAACGAACTTCTTACTTTGTTGATCGACACATTTATTGATAAAAGTAAAACATTAATGGATAATTTAAAAGAGATGGGCAATGTAAGTAACTCTCAAATATACAAGATTAGAATACTAATTGATAAAAATGGGCATGTTATCACTGAGGCTCATCCATTGAATCTTTCTTCAGAACACACTACATCCAAAACATGTACTCAATATTTTTACAAAACGTTATTAAATGGTCTTTGTGAGACATCAAATAACATATGGAGTATATTTAAGGATATTGAACCAATTACATCAACTACTCCTTACACCACATTCAAGACAACAAACCGTCTTCATTATACATTAGCTAGAGAGAGAATGATGAGAATGATTACTAAAAGTAATAATACTTACTTAAATAAAACTAAATGTGAGATATTGCTATTTAATCAGAGCAGCTTTGTAATGGAAGGTAGTATCACTAACATTGCCGTTTCCCGTAAAAATAAACAAAATCGTATTCAATGGATAACACCTCCGTTACGGAGTGGCTGTCTTTGTGGTATATTTAGATATTATTTATTACGAATGGGTTATATTGAAGAAGATGATATTAAACTGAACGAAATTAATATTGGCGATACAATTTTAATTTTTAATGGCGTCATGGGTTGTGTTAAGGCAATTGTAACAAAGTAATAATTAAAAAAAAAATAATATAAGCAGTATGATTAATACAATGCCATTAATTCTATGATATTTTCATATATATAATTGTTTACAGAAACATTTTTTAAACATAATATATTCTATTTATTGTAACTATAATGTAAATATGTTATTAACAGTATTACATCAAACCTTTTTTTTTCAGTTCATCTATTCTTGTTTTCCACCATACTTGGCTCTCCATGCATCGACATCCTTTTGTTCAATACGTTTGAATAAGTATTCAGCTTGATTAATGTTGTGGCCACCTTGTAAAACTAAGTGGAATGTGTCATCAATCTTCAATTGTGGAGCATTCAACATCTTAAAAATCTTTTCAGCAGTTTCTGGCATGAATGGGAATATAACTGAGGCCACGGTGTAAATAATGTTCAAACCAACACCAACAACAGCATCGGCTTTAGCTGGTTGTTGAGCGAACAAGGTGTTGTCCAATTTATTTTCTTGCAAGAACAAGTTACCACGAGCACTTAAGTTCATAGCAATTTCCAAACCACGTCTTTCATGAGCCACTTCCATTTCCTTAATATAGCTGGCTAAGATTGAATCAATATTTTTGACAACAGTATCATAGTTCTCGATATTTCTTGGATCATATTCTGGGATAACACCGTTATATTTAGCATTGGTGAATTTGATTAATCTGTTAACAAAGTTACCTAAATTAGCCAACAACTCACTGTTATTTCTAATGGCAAAATCATCCCATGAAAAATGAGAATCACTTGATTCAGGTCTAACAGATGCTAAATAGTATCTCCACACACTTGGAGAGATACCAGATTCTTGAGCATTGTTACCAAAGACACCGATACCTCTACTCTTGGAGAATTTGCCACCTTCGTATTGTAAGTATTCAGTGGTATTCAAATGATGTAACATGGTCCACTTTTCGCCAGTACCTAATTGAGAAGCTGGAAAGACAACTGTATGGAATGGAACGTTATCTTTACCCATGAATTGATATAATCTGACGTTTTCTGGGTTTTTCCACCATTGAGCCCAATTCTTTGTATAGTTAGCGGTAATCGATACATAACCAATAGTGGCGTCAAACCAAACATAAAGAACCTTATCTTTGAACTTCCCTAGTGGGACAGGAGTACCCCAGACAAGATCTCTTGTAATACAACGTGGCTTCAACCCATCCTTTAACCAAGAATTTGTGATAGTCTTAGAGTTCTTGGACCATTGACCCTTTTCTGAGGAGATGTTGACCCAATTAACTACTTGTGATTCTAGTTTATCAAGAGATAAAAATATGTGATCCGAAACTTTTGGAATTGGAGTGGCATTATCCAACTTACAATGTGGGTTGATTAATTCGAATGGATCCAACAAACCACCACAACCATCACATTGATCACCTCTAGCATCGTCATAGTGGCATTTTGGACATTCACCTTCCACATATCTGTCTGCTAAGAAAGAGTTATGGACTGGACAATACAATTGTTTCATAGATTGTTCTTCTAAGAAACCGTTTTTGTTTAATTTCAAAAAGATATCCTGTGATATCTCTGTTTGTAAATCAGTTGTAGTTCTACCGAAGTAATCAAACCCGATTTGGAACCACTTGTAAACATCGGAATGAATCTTGTAATATTTATCACATAATTCACGTGGTGTCACCTTTTCTTCTAAAGCTTTAGTCTCTGTGGCAGTACCATACTCATCTGTACCACCAATGAACAAAGCGTTATAATTTCTTGATTTACAGTAACGAGCAAAAATATCAGCAGAAAGTACAGATCCAACAATATTCCCCAAATGAGGAACATTATTGACATAGGGCAAAGCAGAAGTAATAAGAATATTTCTTTCCCCATCCTTTGGCAAGATTTCTAAACCTAAATCTCTGACTTGGAAACCTGGTTTAATGTTGGTAGCACCAGTGTGTTTAAATTGGGTTGAGGAACGTGGCGTATTTTTAACAGCTTCTTCGATAGCCACTTGGATCTGAGCGGGGAGTTGTTCTAAAAGACCAGTAGCTTTGAATTCATCTGGAATTAAGGAGTATACAGTGGCAATAGTGATCAATCTAGTAGCTGTAATTGGTTCCTTGATGTTATTAAGAATGAAGGTGTTTAAAGCATGGGTAGCTTTGGAATGATCTATCTCCGTTGGAAGACATAATCTAGTTAAAATGTATTGATATTCTTCCGAATCTTGGCCTTCAAAATCGTTCATTGCATATCTCAAAATAGCATTAGTGTCAAAAAGAGTCACTTTATCACTAACTAACTGTGGCTCACTATTAGGATCATCACGGTTGATCTTGATTTTTAAATCTTTGGTGCAGTATTCAATGGCCAAGGCCAACTTTAAATTGTTAGCTAATGCAAGGTTATAGGAATGACTTTTTACTTTATCGAAGGTTAATTCAGCAGACATTAGATATTTGAGGAGGTTTGGTGTGTTTGCGAGAGGAAAGAACAAAAAAAAAGAGAAACAAGAGAAGACTTGCCACCAAAGGAGGGGGAAAGGTTCTTTATAAGACAACACAGACACAGCTCAGCTATAAACCTCGAGAGATATGACTCTCTTGTATGTTTAAGGAATCTGACTCTAAAAATAAATAAAAATTTTCCACTTTGTTCCCTCGAAGAAAAAAAAAATAAAAAAGAAAAAAAAGAAACTAATAAGAAGAAAACAGAAATTGACTCCGGTTTGTCGTGCAAAGAGAGGGGAAGAGCTTGTGGAATGATACCGTGACACGTAATCAGGATCAGATCAGTATGGAGAAAGCCAATATCTAGCGCATGCCTGTGTCTGGAAGTCACATTGTATATTATTAAATTTATGGTACAGTAAATAATATAAATATAAATATATATATATATAGAGGTCGATATAAAGCAATCTAAAGAGAAAAGAAGTCAGAGGGAAAACTGAATCATTTATGGGTCTTTCTTTTCTTGTTTGGTGCCTTACCAGAAGATCCAATGGTAATATTTACCTTTGGAGGTACAGAGAACCCGTATGATTTAGCCACTTTCACTAAATCTAATTTATCGATTTGATAAACTGTTTTCAGACCATGAGATGCATAAGCCTGTAAATACGACCTATAACCATCCTTAGCGATTTGGTGCAGGAAATAATTTGACTTAATTAGTTTCTCTAATTGTGATTGAACGTTAGCTATTTTATTTTCTGGAAATTCGTATTCATTTAGAGGCACTTTTGCAGCTTTTAGATAACGTAAAAAGCCTAGTTCGTTTGGTGTCAAAAACATTAAGGATTTACCTTTCCCCTTTGTACCTCTTGCAGTTCTACCAACTCTATGGATATAATCTCTTGGATCATCAGGTGGATCGAATTGGATGATCCAGTCCACAGCAGGAATGTCTAACCCTCTAGCAGCCACATCTGTACAGATTAAGATCCCACGTTCCGCGTTACAGAATTCGAAGAAGGTGTTTGTACGTTTCTGTTGTTTTTGTTTACCATGCAATTCCAATACAGGTAAATCGATATAGTTTAATAATTCAGCATAATATTTAACTGAATTACAAGATGATAAAAAGACGATGATTTTCTTTTTCTGGTTTCTTTTCAAAAACGAGAATAGTAAAAGAAACCGTTTATCACTTTCACATACCACATAACCTTGTTCCAGCCCATCAGCAGTGGAATGATCGTTCTCTGGCACGACATTAATGAAAAGTGGGCCCTTTTTCAAAGAGACCCTGGCTAAATCATCGACTTTGGTGGTTTGAGTGGCAGAAAACAACATGGTTTGTCTATTTTCACTTGGTAAGATCTTAACAATTTGTCTCATTTCGTCTTCGAACCCGATTTCCAGGATACGATCAGCCTCATCGATGATCAAAGCCTTCAAATTTTTGAAGACAAACCCCTTTGTGTTCTGTAAATGATCCAAAAGTCTACCAGGGGTAGCAATCAATAAGTTAACACCTTTACTCAACTTCTCAGCCTCCTGTCTACGGTTAGCACCACCCATGACGATTCCAAGGGTTTGAGAATGGAATTCCATCAATTCACGGGCGACACCGAAGATTTGAAGGGCTAGTTCACGAGTAGGAGTGATAATAATGATACCGGTACCGTTTCTTGGTTTAAATTTTAAAGAATGTAGGATCTCAATGGCAGGTAGAAGAAAAGCTAGAGTTTTACCGGAACCTGTCTTTGCTGCACCAAGAACATCTCTACCGGCCAACAGAGGAGGAACAGTGCGCGCTTGGACAGGAGTTAACTTCGTGAATCCCATCTTTTCTATAGCTTTCAATGTTTGCGAAGATAAATTCAAATCTTGGAAGGTAACTGGTGAAGAGGACGACGAAGAGTCCTCTTCGATTTTTTCAGGAGCCTGATCAGCTTCCAATTCGGTTCTATCACGTTTCATAGTATATTGAGAATCAGTGAGCCGCAACAATCCAAAGGACAAAGAAATGGAGAAAAATAGATTGAAATTTTAACAACTGTTTATTTACAAGTGTAGAGATAAATATGTATATGTATATATTACATGTTATATGTTATATGTTATACGTTAATGTGTATGAATGTTTCAATCTACTAGAGAAGTGAAATATTAAAAAAAATCGAACTTTTCATTTTTCAAAGTCATCGCAAAATGAAAAAAGAAAAGAAAAAAAAAAAACAGAAAAACTTTTTCTTGTGGAGGTATGGGTGCACCATAAACCCTAACTTCAAATCCTAGGGCTGGCGTACACCCACACCTCCACCCCTACAGCCAATTTTCTATTGTTCTTTTTTCCTTTTTTTTTAATCTCTGCAACAAAAACAAAGATACATAATAAATAAAACGTGAGCAGGTAGAACGGATAATTGTTTCTTGTGTAAAGAACATAGATACAACATTTAGAAGGATCAGGCACATACTAGAAACAAACAGTGATATTTTTCATTCCAAAACAATCTATATGTGGTTGTGGTTAGTTCATTTGTTCTATCTTTAAACTTGGTGAATGTTGTGAAAAAATATCTTTTTTTTTCTTGTTTTTTATGCATAAAGTATATCTATATATTCATATTTCCCTATATATATATATATATATATATATTACTTGAATAACCTCATATAACCGAAACTAAAGAGAAGAGAGTGTGTACAAGTGTTTATTAATGGAGAAAACAAAATACCATGGACTGGCCACTTAAATTTACACAATCTCCTTTAACTGACAAAATTCAGGATAATGAAGATTTTAAATGCAAATATATAACCAAGGGGAATCCTTTAGGCGATGGCCATTTTTCCACAGTGAAACAGTGTATGAATATTCATACAAAGGAGTTTTATGCAATGAAATTGATTAGGAAGGATATTATTAAAGATAAACTACAACTAATTAGAAGAGAATTCTCTCTTCTCAAATATTTATCTCATCAAATTAGATTCTTAGAGCATCCAGAACTTCAAAATAATACTAACGACAACAACAACAATAATAATAATAATAATAATAATAATGTTTATATTGTTGATACTTTCCAAGGTCATCATCATATTTTACAACTCTTTGATTATTTCGAGACTACTGCTAATATTGTTTTAATCACGCAGTTATGTAAAAAAGATGACCTTTATGAAAAGATAATCACCAGTGGCCATTTGGATCTTTCAAAACAGGTGATGCCGTACACCGCATGTCTTATATCTGTGTTGGATTTTTTACATTCTCAAGGTGTTATTCATAGAGATATCAAAGCAGAAAATGTCTTATTTCGATTACATAAATCAGCTCTACATTCCAACCGTGATTTTTCATCATCATCTTCTTCTTCCCTTTCTACTAATTCTATGAACGATAATAAAAATGACTATGATTTATCTGCACATGACCTGATACTAGGTGATTTTGGTTTGGCATTAGATATGCAGAATAATAATTTGTCCGATATGGATCTAAAAGAATATGTTGGTACTATATCTTATATTTCCCCCGAGGTCGTACGATGCAAAGGGATCAGTTTACTAACATTACAAGAGATTCAAGCCATTGAGCCATACGATTCTAAAATAGATATATGGGCTCTAGGTGTTCTGGTGTATTTCATGGCCACAGGGTACACTCCCTTTGATTGTGAAACAGATGAAGAGACTTTACAATGTATTTCTAATTGTGATTACTATATAGACGACACTCTAGCTAGTGATCCAGAGTATAAAGACTTCTGGAATTTCATCCAATGTTGTTTCATAAAAGATAGTAAACGGCGAAGATCAGCAAGGACTCTGAAATCACATCCTTTTATCAAGGATTTCTTTGCGCAAGCACCAATTTCTGTTTCATCTTCTGGAATTCTTCAACAGGATGTTAATCAGTTGACTAATTCTGCCTCAGTTGCTAGATTACCGTTTCTAAAGAAAAATAAATCTCTGACTTCTTTATCTAATTTGAAAAGGCCACCTGAGAGAATACAAGGTTTGTCCTTATTTAATCACATAAATCGTACTTCTAATAATAACAGTACCACCACTGGATCTTCTCTTTTAATGTCAAAACCTGGTCAATGGACAATAGGTTCCGACTCAAGTTCAAATTTAAATTTAAATTCAAATGTAACTTCGGAATCAACTGTGTCTACTAATTTAGAATCCTCTCAACCTCAACATATACATAACCACTATTATCCAACTGGATTGACCCCATTGACACCCTTTACCCCATTAATCCATCATAATAGCAACAATACTAATCATGAAACCGCAGATCCAAACTCTGATTCCAAATCAAATAGCATATTGAGAAGAACACTGTCCACCACATCTCTAGGATTAAAGCCTGGATCAAGTGTGCCAAGTAATTTAGCGATAAGTTCGTCTTCATCTGGTGACCATTTGACAAGAGGTAACGCCACAAACTCTACTTTCTTCTTGGACCCACAACCACCGAAGGGATCGTTGATGAATGGAATGTTTTGTGAGTCGCCTGAGTCACTATCTAGTTTCACTACTACTCCTAGATCATCTGTATCGCTTTCTAGACAGAACTCACATACCAACGATATTTCAAATCTAGATACTCCTTTTGCAACATCATCAACAAAAAATAATAGCAATAATAATAATAATATCAAGAGTAATAATAATAATCAATACAGCTTGTCTAGATCGGCATCTTATACAAATGTGAAAAAATCATGTTTTCAATTGGAATATGAAAATGATTGATGATTATGTTATATTATTTTGATGATTATATAGATTTCTGAATGATGAACACCTTTTCTACCTACCTACATATATATATATGTGTGTGTGTATGTATAAATTAATGACCGGCTTTAATGTTTAAAATCTTGCATCTTTGTTAATATGTATTTATTTATATCTATATGTGTATGTATATAGAGAGTGAAATATAAAAGGAAAAGATTGAAAACACAAGAGAAAGAAGAAAAAGAGATGTGTGGGATGAAACAATATAAGTTCCAGTCAGAAGTATCTACATATCTAGAGCAGGAGTTCTAAAAAGATGGATACTTATAATTTGAAGAAGGATAATAGAAAAAAGTTTTATGATAAACAGAAATTGAAACATCGGCATGCTACTAAAAGTGATGTCAAGTATCGTCAATTAAATAAAGAACAAAATACAACAGATACTGAGGTTGAAAATGAACCTTTACCATCAAATGAGGATCGTTATAGTGGTGATATTCTATATGTGCCACCTGATCAAGATGAACAATTACAAGTGATCTCAAAGTATGCAAATAAAATAATTAAGCGGAAACTGCTCTCGGAAAAGAAGATTATAGAAGGGACGGATAAAGATAGTCTGGAAGAGACCATGGCATCTTTGAGTCTTTATTCTGAATCTAGAACCGTCAAAAGGAAAGATATTATGCAGATGGATGTAGACTCCTTGAATAAGATAATCAAGGGAAATAAGAATGAGGATTTACAGGTTAATTCAACAATTAAAGAAAGCACTACTAATATTAAGAACACTCTTAAAGATGTGAATCCGTGTAACAACAAAGATAATAATGGAAACCCTGCCTCATTTCAGTTGGGTATCTCAGAATCATTTGTACCAGACGATTTAAAGGAGGATGAAGCCTTTTTAGATCAATTTCTGTGATTCTGTAAAAATTGTCACGATAACAGGTGTATGTCTTGGATTAATATTTATGATTAAAGGAAATGGATATTGTGTGGAACTTTTCAAAATATTTCAGTTTTTCTATCTATCTATCTATATATATATAATATATATAAATGAGATCAAAAAAGAACGTTGTTTTTGATGAAATATAGATGCAAAAATATTAGTTTTCCATGGATAAATATGTATGTACGTATGAATAAATGAATATATATTATTGAAATGCAAATAATTTCAAGATACCTAATATGATTAGAATTTCTCTAGCACATTGTTGGTCAGATGAGCAATCAATGATACAGTCTTTGAAATACTGGATGATTGATTGTGGGGAATATTGATCATTTTTTACAATATTGTTTGATGCTTTACTATTTACATTTGAGGTAGTCTCTATCAAATCATCCCCTTCAATATCATTATTAGTTATTGAAGTATCACTTTCAATTGGATACATCTTGGAACCATGTATAAACAAAATAAAATATAATAAATCTTTAAAATTGTGGGAATCATATAATATGTCGAATTGGTTGATTAAAAGTTTTGGATCACTTTTAAAAAGATCATCAATAAAATATTTTTTCAATATTGGTAATAATTGTGTCAATCGATATAATAAATAATATCTGTTGCTATTTGATCGAATATATTTCCAATATAATTGAATTAGTTTGTCGATAGACCCATATTTTTTGATAAAAATATTTAAAATGGAAGTACACCAAAAGATATTACATTGTACACTGTTATAAATAGTCTTATCCAATATCAAATATAGCCACCATTTGAAAATATTATCATTGACTATCTTATTCGTATCATTCATATGATTTATTAAATTAGAAAATTCTTGTAAGATGTAGCCGGGTTCGAAGATAATACAATATGGATCTAATTCATTGAATAAACTATCATCAATATAGAAATCTCCAGATAACATGTCTTTATCGACACCAATACACAAAAGAAAGTTTTCCAAGTCGCTTGTAACTAATTGATCTTGACTATTATTTGTAATAAAATACCAGTCTTTATATTTGCCAGTTTTATCATAACAAATCATATCAATAGTATCAGGGTCCAAATTAATATTGTTTTTGGATAATTTCAATTTGTATTGTTTCTTCAATTGACTTATTGATTCTTTTGAACCATGGACATCAAAGACCGGTTTATGATCATTCTTATATTTATTATTATTGTTATTAGTATTGATCATATCACTAAGTTTGTTCAACTGATCCAACTTTTCAGTGACCTTAAAATCAAAGGAGTCACCTAAATTAAACTGACTAAGAGTAATATGATCTTTATCTTTCATTCCGTAGTTCATGTTTCCATGATTCTTTCTGGAGTATTTATTGTTTCTTCTCAATGCTATTTTATTACTAGATTTTCTAACACGTTTTAATATTTGGTCAACAGCAGGTTTCAAAGAAGTATTGTCATTTTCATCTTTATCAGTACCATTGTCACCAATAGTAGCATTATCACTATCACTAATACTACTGCTGCTAGTAAAACTTAGATCATTTTGGTAATCATAAGTACTGTTTTTCAATTGGAAGACATCTAGATCAGCCAATTCTTCTTCACTGCTCTGAGAATCACCCACAATATCCATTTCTAAAAACCTTCAACGATACGTTCACTACTCTAATTCTGTTAATCCAGATAGAGTGCCATATAGGAGACGTAAACAACTCACCAGCCCATCCATCACTCACGATCACTTACCTTTTAATATATATTTCAATGAATATATGTCAAAATGATAGCAGATTGGGTCATCGCTGAAGAGTGAGTTTGTAAATGCCGATGTCAAAACTTTCCAGTAAAAAAAAAAATGTTGGTAAAGAAAAAATAAAAAATAAGAAACAGAAGGAAGAGTCAATCGGTGAATTGAAGGAATGACTAACTACTGTTCTTTTCGATGTTTGAAGGATTGTTTTAGGATGTTTGCAGATGCTTTGGTTCTGTTTATTATATCTTTATAGTACATTACTTCTACTTTATGCCTGAATAGACTGGAAAAAGAATAAACAAGTAATCAAGCAGGTTGTAAGGAATAAAATAATAATAATAATAATAATAATAATAATAATAATAATTCAATAACTATTAATTTCATTCGTTGACTGACTGATTGACTGTTTAAAGATTGTAAGGATAATAAGGTTTTGTCTTTTATCTAGGAAAATTGAACTGTACTTGCTATTTATAACAGTACACAATTTTGATACGTTTTTTTAATGCCATGGAAGATCTCAGTAAGCAAGAACACTCATATGATTTGTTTCAAATACAGAACAACGATAACAATAATAATAATAGCAATGGTAATTGCGAGACAAATACTAATAACTCTAACACATTTGATATGTTTTCACAGATTGAAAATGGAAATATGAATATCAAGCCAACAGTGGAAGAAATAGGCAATAAAAATGGTAATCCAGGGTATGGTGGTTTTGACTCGATGTTAGAAGCTTTGCCAGATGATATAACATTTGATACATTCTTCCATGATGGACTCTATACTAATAGTTCTAATTCTTCGCAGAACAATTTAAATGGTAATATTCGTACATCAGAAGGTGTTAACAATGTTATTACACAGTCTAAATCAACCACTGAGTTTGGTGTATTTAATAACATTACTACTACCCAACCTATAGATATTACTTCTAATTCTAATAATTTACAAAATGGTGAGATTCCACAACTCTGGGATTTTACAACTGAGAATTTCCAAATGACTCCAAGTAATTCAAGCGATTCTGCCACAATTAGTGCACCAAACAGTTTTAGTTCTGAACCTAATCGTTCAATTCCATTTGCATCTCGTTTTCATAGTAACAATAATTATAATAGTACCATTACTAATAAAGTTTTACACGGTTCTTCTTATTCTAATCAAAATCTCATGAACTTTTTGTATCAAAATTCTCCAAGTCAACATAATAATAATATTCTACATATTGTTTCAAATTATTCTCCTGCATTTAATAATAATAATAATAGCACTTTTAACTCTTTCAGTGATAATAAAGATAAAGATAAAAGTGATACAATTACTAATAAACCAATATCCATACCGTTGACTGTCAATAATACGACAAATTCAATACGAAAATCTCAATCTTTTGCAAGACAATTATCTTCTACATCCTTGTCAAGTTTGAATGTAAAGAGAAATTCTTCTATATCAGAATTATCAACAAGTTCAAATGTTGGATCTGTAGGTGTTAAAAAACCACCTATTCAATGTTATAATTGCAAGACTTTTAAAACTCCATTATGGAGAAGAGATACAAATGGAAACACTCTTTGTAATGCATGTGGTCTTTTCCAAAAATTACATGGGACAATGAGACCATTATCTTTGAAAACTGATGTCATTAAAAAAAGAAATAGCAAAAAAAGAATGAAAAAGAATCAAGAATTGGTCTTAGATAATAATAATAGTAATAGTAATAGTAACAATAAGCATAATGGTAATGGTAAGGTTAAGCTAAATAATGGCAATAGAAGAAATAATGAAACATTATTAACAAATTTGAGTAATAGTTCTATATCTAAAAATATCGTACCAAAATCAATTGTTCAACCAACAGCAACCACAGCAATGACAGCAACTACCACAACAAATTCAACCATAAGGAACAAGACTTTTTCCATATCAGATCATTCCTTATTGACAACTACAGCTACCACAGCTATGACTCCTACAACCACAACAACAAAAATGGCAAATTCTATAAAAGATAGTATCAATAGTAATAAAGGTAATTCTATAGAAATATCTCACATAAATACAATGAATTCAAATGGAATTGCAGGTAATAGAAGAAGCAGCACCTCTTCAAATACATCAAGCAGATCATCCTCTTCAAGATCTATGGTACCTATATTGCCTAAACCACCAGTTTTCTCGACAAATAATGTTCCTTTTAATATCATGCCTCATTCATATGGTTCTTTAAGCGCAAGTACAAGTTCCTCTTCATCTCCAAGATACGTAGCTCATTACCCAGGTAACAACAATAATACTTTAATTAATGGTTTTCCTATCAACAGTAATAGTAGTATGAATCAGGGAGCTTCACCTTTACAAGCAAGTACATTTTCTACGTCAGCAGGTAGATATACATCATCATCTGTTGTTACAATTAATGGAAATACAACCAATAATGGAATTAATATATTGCGTGGAAGAAATTCAAGAAATGCATCACATTCCTCCTCCTTTGTAGCCAATTCTTTACATAATCTACAGAATATACAGCAACAGCAATCAAGTGCTAATGGAAATCACCGTGTAACATCACCTAATATTTCAACTAGTTGGAATTCATATTCGAATAAAATAACAAGAGTTGTAAGTAGTAATAAATTAGATTCGCCAAGTAATAACCAGCAAAAAAGCTTTGAAACAATTGATACCAACAAAGAGCCACAACAAAATTCCAACTCATTATCACATACTTCCTTATTATCGCAACAATTACAGCAGAATAGAATATCTATCTCTACTCAACCTATTCCTCAATCATCTGATTTGCAGCATATAGATAAATCAGTATCAATGACACTATCAAATCTAAATCCTTCTGCTATTAGAAATAAATCTGGTATTAGTCAGATGACATCGACATTAAATCATAATCTCAGCACTAATAGTAATGGTATGACAAATAGTTACTCTGAATCAGTACAGTTCCAACGACATGGATCACTACAGCAACAACAATTAATTTCGAATTATCAATCAACGGTATATTCAACGTTGTACCAGGACTCGTCTCAATTGAGACAGGAAGAACAAGAATTGGAAACTTCCAAAGTAACTAAAACCATGCAGGAGAAAGTAGAAGATGAACTAGAATGGTTGAAGTTTGGTATTTAAAATATGTATATATTTGTTTATGTTAATATATATATTTATATAATATTATATATTTATAGAAATGGTATGTGCATATGTTGATATTAATGCTCTGTTTTTATAAGATTTATTCTCATTGAAGTTTTAGCATTTGAAAAGAATTCATGCTGAAAATTATTTTCAATTATAAGAGAAGCAAAGGAATAATGCTGTTAACATAGGGAAATACAAAGAATACTATTCATAAAGGATGTCATGGGTGTCTCTCAAATATGGGATATAATACGTAGTAATAGAGACTGTCATAGTGGCCAAGTGTCAGATAGTGTATCTTATCAAAGGGTTCCGTTGAAATCATTTTTACTTAAAAGAAAACCTGTTATTGCCATTGATGCCTACCATATTCTGTTTGAGTGTGGATTTTTTCAATTTGAATACCCAGGTAAACCAATACTAAATTTATTAAAACGGTTGAAGGAATTAATTCAATTAAATGTATCCTTTATTATGGTTTTTGATGGGTTAGAGAAACCGAAAGAAAAGAATGGGAAAACACATTATAAAAATAAACCATATCAATGCTATCCTAGATTCATGACACTTCTCCATAAGTTATTTAGCTTTCTAAAAATATCGATGATTCAAGCTAGAGGGGAAGGCGAGGTTCAATGTTGTATATTAGAGACCCAAGGAAAAGTTGATTTGATTTGGAGTAATGATTCTGACTGTCTCCTTTTTGGTGGTAATAATATTATGAAAAATTATTCTAAATATTTATTGGATATCGGTGTTGCTCCTGCAGCTTCATCACCAAGACGGAGCACCAATGATACTTTGTCTCGATTTAGTGGAAATACTAAAGAGAATTTTGTTACAGTATTGAATTATGATAGTTTGTTAGAAGATAATTCCATAAAATTGTTGAATAGAGAAGGTTTATTGTTGTTTAGTATTTTGTTAGGTGCAGATTACCATATCAAAGGAGTTAAAGGTTTAGGTAAAGAGAAAAGTTACCAATTGGCTTCATTAAAGAATCCTAATTTTGCAAGTAAATTTTATAATATATTCAATGCCAACCATGATAACAATACATGGGATATTCAGTATAAATATGATAATTTTCAAAAAGAATTATTTAGATACTGCAAACAGCATTCTAGTGAGTTGTTCGGTAAGAATTATTCGGTTTTGTTCGGTAATGAAAAGGAGAATTTTGAGAATTGGCCACCCATTTCAATAGTCAAGCATTATCTTAACCCTTTAAGGGAGGAAGACATTGATATTGATAAGTATTTGGATAAAAATGCATATTTGAATGTAGAAGGTTCAACCTGCTATAAACAATTACCATTCGATAAACTTTATTCGTTTTTACAAGAACTTAGACTCCCACAAGTTAGCAATTTTGATAAATGGTTTCATGATACAATGCATGAAATGTTTTTAATAAAATATGTTTTATACGAACCTGATTGTAATAAGATGTGTAAAATTACCGAAGCAAAAACGGTTAACATAAACGATGGTAATAATATTGGTGTTAATGAGAGTCATGATATTAAATATTGGAAAGTTAGATATAATTCATTTTTACCAAAAGTTAAATATGATGAACCAGATTCATCTCGACCTTTGAGTGGGAATGTGAGGAGAAGCCCGACAAGAAGACAAGTTGATATTCAAAAATATAAGCATGGAGTTTGGATACCTCAAGACAGTATACCTCAAACACATATTTTGGTTAAAGAATATAGAAAGAGAGAATTTGAAAGACTTAAACAGGAGGAAAGGGAAAAGAGGTTGAAAAGTGTTCAAAGGTCCTCCAAAAAAAGGTTTGCAAATTATAAGCAAAAAAATACTTTAGATTTGTTTTTCAATAAGCATGCATATCCTATAGACAAAAATACACCAAGTTTGAAACAGATACGGTCTGAGTCTTATGGATCTCCAAGAAATAATATGGCAGATAATACTGTATTAAATAGTATGAAAAAGAGGTTGTTTATACATTCTTCAGAAGATGAAGATAACTCAATTCCTGGGGGCTCTGGCGAGGAAGATGAGCAAGACAGTTCATTGATAATATTGGAAGAAAAACCAGCAGCAACATGTCAACTACGATTAAACACAAGAACTACTTTATTACCGCCAGAAAGCGGGATTAGTTATAACAATAATAACACAGATTTTTTAAATCAGCATTCTCCTAAAAAGAAACACCGTACTGAATTAACAAAATTAAAACCGCCGTTTTCATTGAAAGATACGACTGTTAAACAAACATCATTTAGTGAAAAGGATCAATATAGAACTAGAAGTAGAATAGGATCAGACTCTTCCAATGGGGATCCGATGCATGTAGCTATAAATGTGTCACCGTTGGCTACAGAAAATGTATGTACATATGTTCACTTAGATAAGCCAGCACCAATGTTATCGTTGTCACACCCTTTTGGGAATCAACCTATCAATCGTTCTAATTCATTGTTAGACCGAATAACTGATGAGGCGAATGAGTTTCTCCAAGAGTTGGAAGATCCTGGTAATTCCTCAGACACGTCAACCATATCAACGGTATCACTATAATTTAATCCATAACTGTCACCCTAATTCGTGGATATATAAATATTAACCATTAGAGTTGGCTGTAGGTATCTTATCTGTTTCTCTATTTTTTCTGTCATTCGGCTCATCGTCTCTGGAGTCAGGCAATTGTTCAAAAAGAGTCATCACAAGAAAAAAGGAAAAAAAAAAAAGAAAAGAAAAAAAATATTAAGAACTAGGAATCGAATAATATTATGCAGAAATTACCATAATACACAATGTTGATAGAGGAGAGTGGCTAAAGAGAAAGTCATAATTTCTGTGAACTTTACAACTCTGTTGTGTAAATTCAAATCTCATTCATTATTTACATTGTTATTGAAGTATTCCTCTATTTAACAAACACACAGTTTTAATAGAGGTAAAACAGTTTATTTATTTGTTTGTTTGATTTTTTAAGCTAAAATGAGCAGGGTTTCGAAGACTATTAAATTCAATCCAGAGACTGACAAGTTAATTACTCTGGCCGCAGGGTGCTTCTGGGGTACTGAACATATGTACAGGAAGTACCTTGGTGATAAAATAGTGGACTGTAAGGTAGGTTTTGCAAATGGTGATGAGACTACAAAGGATAAACAAGATGCAGTTTCGTATAAGAGGGTCTGTAAAGGTGATACCAATTTTGCAGAAGTGTTGCAAATATCGTATAATCCAACCATTTTAAGTTTGAAGGAGATAATTGACTTGTTTTTCAGAATCCATGATCCAACAACATTAAATGCACAAGGTCCGGATGTAGGGACCCAATATCGTTCTGGGATATATACACATTCACCAGAAGATCGTGATCAAGTCTTGAAATTAAAGGAAGAGTGGCAATTTAAGTGGGATAACAAAATATTGACTGAAGTACAAAATATTATGAATTATTATGATGCTGAAGAGTATCATCAATTATATTTAAATAGAAATCCAGAGGGTTATGCTTGTCCAACACATTACCTTAGAGAGATATAGAATATTATATGTATGTATGTATGTATGTATACGTACATATTGTTATATGCACATAAATTTGTTATTTAAAATATTTTTTTTTTTCCTTTTTATACTGTTGAAGATATATATTAAAAATGTTTGCGGGATAGATGACTAAGTCTGTATATATGTATATAAAAATATGTATAAGTACAGTTATCTTTAAAAGATTTGAAATATGGAACACGCATGAATATGATTTAGAGAAATTACAGTTGAGTGGAATTCTCATTAAAAAATATTAATAACAAAAATATGATAATGTTTTTGTTCTTTTTTTGTTACTTTTGATAAAAAAAAAAAAAGATACTTTATTCATATAATTGAATATTAAACACTATTCATACATTTGACTTTTTTATTTAGTATCTGTAGTGGTCAGCTTTGTATGGACCTTGTTTTGGAATACCTAAGTATTCAGATTGAACGTCAGTTAATTCGGTTAAGTGGACACCTAAGTTACCTAAGTGGAATTTAGCGACGGCTTCGTCTAAAATCTTTGGTAAGACATGAACACCAACTTCGAAAGGACCAGTCTTTTGGAATTCGACGTGTTTGTTTCTGAAAGCCTCATCCTTAGCCTTGAAAAGAGCGATCTGAGCCAACACTTGGTTAGAGAAAGAACAAGACATGACAAAGGAGGCATGACCGGTAGCACAGCCTAAGTTGACTAATCTACCGTTGGCTAATAGGATGACATGTCTGCCAGACTCTAATAGGTAACGATCGACTTGTGGCTTAATGTTGACACATTCCTTAGCGTTAGCCTTTAACCAGGCGACATCGATTTCGATGTCAAAGTGACCAATGTTACAAACAATAGCATCTTCTGGCATTTGTAAGAAATGTTCGCCTTTGATGATATCTCTGCAACCAGTAGTAGTAACGTAGACTTGACCAATTTTACAAGCTTCTTCCATGGTAACGACTTGGTAACCTTCCATAGCAGCTTGTAAAGCGTTGATTGGATCGATTTCTGTGATAAGGACACGAGAACCCATACCTCTTAAAGCAGCCGCACAACCTTTACCGACATCACCGTAACCAGCAACAACAGAGACTTTACCAGCCAACATGACATCAGTGGCTCTTTTGATACCATCGATTAAAGATTCCCTACAACCATATAGATTGTCAAACTTGGACTTGGTGACAGAATCATTGACGTTGATGGCTGGGACCTTCAAAGTGGCTTCTCTGACCATCTTGTATAAGTGGTGAACACCAGTGGTAGTTTCTTCAGAAAGACCGTAACAGCCTTCTAACATTTCTGGATGTTTTTCGTGTACCAAAGAGGTCAAATCACCACCATCATCCAAGATTAGATTCAATTTAGCACCATCTTTGAAGGCATATAGTTGTTGTTCAATACACCATAGGTATTCTTCTTCTGTTTCACCCTTCCAAGCGAAGACTGGGATACCAGCAGCAGCAATAGCAGCAGCAGCATGGTCTTGAGTGGAGTAAATGTTACAAGAGGACCAGGTAACTTCGGCACCTAAAGCGACTAAAGTTTCGATTAAGACAGCAGTTTGGATAGTCATGTGTAAACAACCGGCGATACGGGCACCCTTTAAAGGTTGTTCAGCAGCGTAAGCCTTTCTAATAGCCATTAAACCTGGCATTTCATGTTCAGCCAATTCGATTTCCTTTCTACCAAAGGCAGCAAGGGAAATATCAGCAACCTTGTAGTTTTGAGCTGGAGCAGACATATTAAAAAAAAAAAAGTGGATGTTATTTAATTCAATCAGAAGAGGGCAAAGAAGTAGAAAGACAGTTAAATAATTTTATTTTTTTTTTGTTTCCTTCCAACTTTTAGTCTTCGTTACTTGGATGTTACCTAGAACAAGGAAAAAAAATAGAATAAAAAAATAATGATGAATAGGGGAAAACTTCTATATAGTTGATTAATGGCAAATGGCCTGTACTTAGAAGAAAATGTCAAAATAGGCATTTGTATATATGACACATATGTATATTTATATACCTTTACGTATCTAATCTCTGACTACTTTGAATTTTTTTTTCCACTCTCCAACATCTCTGGAAAATTTCTTCGTTCTCGAGAATTGAAAATTTCGTAATCCGAAAAAAAGCAAAAAAAAGAAACTTTAGTTCCGAAATTCTAGCGCCAGCAGTTTCAACGCCATAAAAAGGTCCAAGGGATATTCTGGAAAATTGTGGTGGTTGAATGTATGGGTGTCTGTTTCCAACAAAAAAAAATAATAAAACAAAGCAGATCAAAAAAGGATAGATGGGGTTTAAAAATAGTTTTCTTTTTGTTTTTTTTTAAAATTTTAGTTTTTTTCTTAGGGTTCAGAGAAAAAAAACTAAAATTTTAATAATTATATCCATGGCATGGAAAATGAATTTAAATGAAGTATACAGGTTATGATAACTTCAAGAATTATCAAGATTTGATGATATAAGCAAATAGTCAAAAGTTGTTGAAATAGAATGTTCTATAATGAAATAGATGGAACAATAAGATTTTAGCAGACACTAAACGATAAATTGTTGAGTAATAATTGTTGAGAGGTCACCAAAAGTTGTTGAGTTTGTTTATTAAATATCTTACTGTTCGTAGAGGAAAATGGTTGAATGTTAGCGTATATAAAGCCACGGATTTCATCGTACATGATTTTTATCTTATTTACAATCTTTGTATATTATTATTTCTATGTTGTATATAGAGAAAGAAAATGAAGAACTTTATTATAATTTTGTATACTAAATCTGTTTAATATAATATTGAGAATGTTTACTATATATCCAATGAATACAGGCACTCATTCTCAACAAAAGTCTTTTATAGTATATATATATGATACTTAATAAATATCTTTCCTTTCCCTCTATCTTTATAAAATGTTATTGGTAGCGAATCCCTCTTTTTGTTTATTTACTTATTAGAAGGTATTGCTTCTGTGCAAATCTAAAGTTTAAGTTTAATGTTTGTGAAGTAATACTAATTCATAAGGAAAAAAAAAAAGGTGAATATACAAGAGACTTTTGCAAGCGAAAGACCTTGAAAACTAGTAGGGTTCAAAAATACACATAAAAGAAATAACAGAAACTTTTTAAAAATCCGATAGGGTAAGGCCCCAGAACGACCACCGAAAAGCATCGCTTGCCACGGCACCTTTTGCTAAGATAAAAGAGGAAAAAGCAATAAAAAAAATTGAAAAAGAAACAAAAGAATTAAACGACGGCTTTAACAAACAAACAAAACAAAACATAAAAACATGAAAAAAGTGATAAATATGGAAGGTGTATGGGTGTTTATCCCTAAAATAGTAGTATGGACCAAAAAAGATAGTACGTCCTAATCAAGAAACAGCATCATCTCTTATCGAGATCAATTAAATAAACCACTAAAAGGGCAATGTATACTAAATAAATGAATCCTAGTACGAAAATACAAAGTATGCTAATGAATCATTACCCATGCTGCTATCATTATTAATCTATTAATACACACAAAATTGTAAAATTATATGTATATATTCCTTGCTTGTCCAAATATAATAAAAAGATGTAGGGAATGACAACTGATCATGGTTTTTCAATTGAATCTCTTATTTCGAATTCTTTGGCGGCGAAATCCATTAGTTTATTTAAATTTTGATTATATTTGTCAAAAGTGACATTTAATTGAGTTTGGCAGTTATCCAAAAATCGATGCCATTCACTTGATATTGGTTGAAATTTTTTTAATTCGTTATATTTATTTATTGTATTTTTTTTGATAGTTAAATATTTTTCCCAAATTGAAATTGGAATAGTCTTTTCGTCCCATAAAAAATCATTATTTGCCATTCTTTGTGACCATTCTGTAAACACACTTTCCCCCCATTCCTCAAACATTGACACATGCAAATTAATTGATTGATTTATTGTGGCTTCATATTCTGTTATAAAAACTTCGTTAAGTGTTGAACTTAATCTATTATAAAACTCAGTTAAATTGTTTAATGATTTACTTATCATTGAATTAATTAATGGTCTCGTTACATATTGTGAGATTCGCTTACCAGTATCCTTATTATAGTATATCATCATTTCACTGTGTGGATTCCATTCACCATCACATTGAATGTCGTCAATATAGCTTTTGACTGATACTTCTTCTATATTTTGTTTAATTTCCCATTCTTTTAATAATGGCAACCAGACTGTATCATTTTGTAAATGGATCAATTTCGAAATTTCTTTATTTATATCGTTTGTTAAACTTGGTATTACAGAGTTTAATTTATTTTCAATAATTTTGATCCACATATTTAGCTCATAATTTAATGCATCTGTTAACGTATCCAGATTGATGTTTTGATTTTTTTGACCATCTATTTCTTTTATTTCATCGAAAGTTCCACAGCCATTACATTCATTATCGTTTGTATCAATCCATGATTCAATATTTTGCATAACTGATACAGATAGTTCATCATATGAATTTGTCTTTTTTGAAATTGAATCACCAGACAATATACTATTGATAGTGTATTGAAATCCAGATATATTTGGTACTAAAATTACCAGAAATATTAATAGGCCACTCAGTATTGAAATTATTCTAATCCAAGTGCGTGCCATGATCAAACCTTTACTGAATGTTTTCCTATCAATTTTGATAAATATTTCTTTTTCTCACATACACACACACAATTTTTCTCTTTCTCTCTTTTTTTTTTCGTTCTTCTCTTTTGCAATAAGTACAATCCATTTACTTCATGGATTGGTATGGTTTGGCTTGGTATTTTTATATGTAGTCTTGTGATTGAGATCTCAATCTGGATCTTCTCGAGGTTAAAAAGTAAATTGCAACTCTTCTTTTTTAGAAATAGTAGACAAAGTTGAGGAACCGCATTTTTTTTGTTTCTTTTTTATGTTTTTTTTAACAAACCCTAATCTTTTAACAAAAAATTTCCCAAATAAGACATGCAGCCCTAGTATCCCCTTTAAGCATTGAGAAATGTCTGTTACATTTAATGCAAGTAGTTGTGCTGTAATGTCTTTATACATTTTCTTTCTCGATATATATATATTGATATATGGAACTGTTGAAATAGAATGTTTTATGATAAAATAGATAGAACAATAAGATTTTAGCAGACACTAAACGATAAATTGTTGAGTAATAATTGTTGAGAGGTCACCAAAAGTTGTTGAGTTTATTTATTAAATATCTTACTGTTCGTAGAGGAAAATGGCTGAATGTTAACATATATAAAGCCAAGAATTTCATCATACATTATTTTTATCTTATTTACAATCTTTCTATATTATTATTTCTATGTTGTATATAAAGAAAGAAAGTGAAGAACTTTATTATAATTTTGTATACTAAATCTGTTTAATATAATATTGAGAATGTTTACTATATATCCAATGAATAAAGGCGCTCATTCCCAACAGGAACAGTTATGAAAATATTTACGTATACATAGAGTTGTATATATATATATATATGTGTGTGTGTGTGTGTTTGTGTGTGTGTTTAAATTGTTTTTTGTCGAAAGATTAGTATTAAATGGATTTAATGATACCATAAATAGGATTGGAAATTATCATAAGGGGCAGAAGAAGGGAGAGAGGGGAGAAAGCACCTTTTTGTTCATCTAGTATTATTTATGTTTAAAGATATACTTTAGTGATATATTCACACTATTGGTTTGAAGAATTTTATCACATATTTTTTTTTGGTTTATTATCTCTTCATGATGTTATTTTTTTTTTTTTTGAGAAAATTCATGTTTTGCGTAGAGAAATATCTTTTTTTTTTAATATGTTCTCAGAGACCAAAAACCAAGATTATAAGTTAATGGCATATATTTTTTGAGTTATCATGTTAATTTTACTCTCTCTGGTTTCTTTCTTTCACCTTTTTTGCTATTTAAATAACCTTTTCAATATACACTACATTCTTAACTTTTTTATTTTATTTTATTTTTGCTATTATTAATAATCTTAGTAACATAGAATACAAATTTGTTAACTCTCATCAATATTAGAGCAATAATATATTGGAAAAAGTATAAAAGTAAGTTAGTATTGTCATGTAAATATACATTTATTTTCACATGTATTTTTCTTGTTTGCTTCCTTCGTTCTCTCTTCAATGCAAGGGGAAAGTTGATATTAAAATAACTATACACATAATATATCAAACATAATATATATATATATGTATGTATATATTATGTTTGATAACTTTCCAAAAAGATAAAAAAAATAAGAAAGGGAATAAATGAATGAAATTTCCAAAAAAAAGAAAAGATTGATCAATCTACTGTATTATATAAAAGAATATGGTAGATTTCTTCGTAAAGTTTAAACAAAAAATATCCTCACACCCAATCTTTAATATTACTAGTAAAAGGAAGAAGAAAAAGAATAAAGAAGAAGAAAATATTATTTTTTCAAGTTCAACTTTTCCTAAGAAAACTCCAGTTATTACCATTAAAGATATCCAAGAATGTAATAGAAGACAATTTGGTTATTCAACTAATAATGGCATAGTGGAAATAATATCGTATTCAAACAGATCACAAGCGGATTTTTGTATAAATAATAATAAAAATAATCAGGATTCGAATAGGTTTTCATTTCAAACGTCCTCTATTTATTTGAATAAGGATAAACCACAACAAGAAAAAGAAAATCTGATTAAGACAGAACCAAATAAATTTTGGCACACTGTTAATAATTTATTGAGAGAAACAGAAAACATATATAATGAAATATGTTTGACTTCAAAATTGGCAACTGATCCATTTGATAATTTTTCAATTCAGTTAGAAAATACTATATGGGAGGACGACAAAACTACTATTTCTCCATATTCTTATTTTAATCATACTATCTTTCAAGAAACAAATACCAAAACAATAGGTGGTAATAACCAGAGTTATAACTACGCATATGGATATTTAAATGAAATATTAGATTTATATATTCAGGAAGAAGCAGTAGAAAGAAATAAAAAGTTATTGAATGTTGAATTACCATCCTGCCAAATATCGAGTGGTAGTACACTGGTACTTAACAAATAAACAAATAAACAAATCAATATATATACATATGTATCAATATATTTATTATTCTACTCTTTTTTATGTCACACCAAAGATCGTTGTTCCTTGACGTCGTTGTTTTTTTTCTTTTCATTATATGACACAAAAATTTTTGAAAATGTTACCCTCACGTCACTATTTCGTATAGAATGATGCCATACAAAGGGAAAGAAAAAACAAAACAAAAAAAACAAACTAAACAAAATAAATTTAGAGATGTTAGATCTCTAAATTTAGTAATGTAGTAAATTCTCCTATTGCATAATATTACTTGACAGAGTATTATTTTTGGTACTTCAAAGAAACATTTCATTAAACTTCGTCAATTGCAACTGATTATTAATATCATTCCCGTTTTTCTAGGCAGTGTATTCACAAAAAGCTTTCCTTACACAATATTCTCTCTTTGCTTTGTTTTCTTTTTGTCAGAAATACAGACTGATTCAGTTGATTGGAACAGAATACACATCATCTATTTATTTGCTTATTAAGATCCAGATTGATTTACAAGATATATTCTGAGGAGTTTTGAGAATTTCTTTTCTATTGATTCTGTGTATTTTTGTTAATTCCAATAAGGAATTAGTAAAACGTTAAGTGAATCGTATTTTTTTTTCTTTCTATTATTCCATATCACAAGCACATATCCTCTGTTCCTCATATCCCATAATGTCTGCTTGGCCCTTTGGACAAACCTCTACCTATTCTTCTGATTCCGATATAAATTCGATATTGACTAATTATTTCGATATATTAAATAAACTGAAAAATAATGATAATGACAGTAACAATAATAATAATGATAAAATTACCAAGAATAATGATACTGAGGCCAACTACGAATACCAGAACAGTCCTGACCTAATTAATAATCTAGATAGTTCCTTTATCGAACGAATTTTAAACCAACCCGACCTTCTACACGAATTAAATAGACAAAATAATACTTTATTAGATTTTATTTGTTTTGGGTATTTTTTTGATAATAAAAAAGTCAAAATACCTCATTTGCAATACTTAATAGATGAGCTTATATCTTTAATATCAACTCCGACAAACCAAGATAATAATGACGATAACAATAACACTAATGACACAGATAATGATCATTTAAAACCTAATAATTTAATTAATGAAAAAATAAATAAAGCTAATATTATTGCAGATATCCTATCTCTTGACATATGGATCATCATGGATGAATTAGTCAAAAATGAAACATATTTGAATCAGTTGTGGTCTCTAATACACGATCCATCTTTCTTGAATGAAAATTCCCCAATTGTGTCAATTTTTTTAAAAGTAATTGAAAATTTATTATTCACCAAACAGAAACCATTTTTAAATTTTATCTTAAAACAAGATAATATCGTGGATCTAATATTATCTCATATTAATATAACCCCATTAATCGATCTTTTCTTAAAAATTATTGGGACAGATAAAGCAGATAATTCAAATGGTATTATCAAGTTTATATCAAGCCAAGATCTAATTAACAAATGTTTGAATTTTCTAGATAACGATAAGTATCCAAATGATATTCAAAATTGTGTAGGGGACTTTTTAAAAGCACTTATATCAATCTCCGCCAATGCTCCAGTTGATGATATCTCAGTTGGTCCAAACGAACTGACTAGAAAATTAGCTTCTCATGACTGTATAGACAAAATGATTGACATTATTTTAACTCAAGGTGGATTTGCACTAAATATAACAGTATCTGTCGTTATTGAATTGATACGAAAAAATAATTCAGACTATGATCCAATTAATCTTCTAACCATGAATCTAAAGGATAATTATCCAAATGATAGAGATCCGATTTATTTGGGTTATCTTTTGTTTAAATTTACTCAAAATTTAGACAGATTGGTTGAAATAATAGTTAAGTTCGATAAACCAAGTGATATCGAAAGATTAAATCAATTAAATGAATCGTTCATCCCCTTAGGGTTTGAAAGATTTAAAATCGTGGAATTGATTGCTGAATTATTACATTGTTCAAATATGGGATTGATGAATTCAAAGAGGGCACCACGGATAGCTCGTAAGCGTGATGACATTAGAATTAAAGACTCTATATCAATATCAGAATCTATGAGCAGTTTGAAATTGTACGACGAGGTTGGGACTGATAGTGATACCAAGAATAAATCTTACCAAATTAATGAAAATAATGACAGCACTTCTAATGATAAAAAAAATTATAATATTATAAATAATAATACTAATGAAAATACTAATGAAAATTATAACAATACTAACACTAATAATAAAATAATGACTAATGATATTACTAATGGAAATGTTATAGACATTAATAATACAAATCACAATAATGATGATGATAGAGAGAGAAATAATATGAAAAACAATATCAAATTTCTTGAAACATCAACTGGCAATAAAAGTTTGAATAGTTTTAATGATGAGAAAACTTTAATGAACTATTCTTTCTTTTCAGATGATGAGGAAGATGATGAAGTAGACGAATCATTTGAGATTCCATATGTGAATGAAAATCAAAATTTAAAACTAAGAACACGACCTACTATTGGTGATGTGTTTAAAATTACCTTAGTTGATAACCAAATATTACCAATTCTTTTAAATCTATTTTTAGAATACCCTTGGAATAATTTTTGGCATAACGTTGTTTTTGATATTATTCAACAGATTTTTAATGGTAGAATGGACTTTTCATACAATTCATTTCTTGTGTATTCACTATTTGACACATTAAAATCATATCAATATATACTGGAGCCAAACAATATGAAATTTTTTAATAGCACCAAGGGCAAGGAACCAGTTTCATTCCAAATAACAAATGATTTTATTTTGAAAGGATATCGAAATTCATACAGATTCTATGAAAATAATAAAATGAATCTGGGTTATATGGGTCATGTTGTTTTAATTGCTGAAGAGATTGTAAAATTTTCCAAACTGTATAAAGTCGAATTGATCTCACCTGATATCTTCAATATTTTACAAGAAGAAGATTGGAAATTCTATTCAGAACAGGTATTGAATGATACAAGATTAATGTATGCAAAAATCCTTGGTGGTGGCACTTATGTGGATGATGGGAATGGGAATATTATCCCACAATTTCCAGATACCACAACTTCAGCGTCACAAACGTTTATTGATGGGACTGTGTCAAATGGAACATATTATCAAAATTCTTCTATGGATTTAGATTCAAATCCTGATGATTATACAACTAATGAAAACGGGACGACAATAAACGGTTCTGGTTTAGTTAATGTGGAACTTTTGGAAGAGCAGTTGACTACTGAATCTGATTTGCATGAGAAGTTAAGAGAAATGATCGCATCCAGAGCACAAGAGGAGATAGATAAACGAAATAAAGAGAATGGGGTGATAATTTTGGGACCACCTGAAAATTCCTCTGCATAAGATGGAGCAAGCAAGTGCACATTATTATAGCTATGTGATATATCACATGCAATGACATGTTCTAGATAGCAGTAACTCTAAACCACATTTATTCAACTGTCCTTTATTAATATACATTTATGATTTTCCGGAATTTTGTTTTTATATTCATCTTACTCTGTTCTTTTCATTCTGCAATACCCCTCATTCCATCTATGCATTAATATATGACTATATGTAGACATTCATTAAAGAATTATTATAATAAATATAATGTCATATTCACATATATACATATAAATAAGGTATATACGTATATACATATATCTACTAATGATATAAGAATAACTCATGTAATTATTATGATATATAAATGTCTCAATTTTTTCTTTATTTTTTTTTTCAATTCTCTGTATTATCATTGGTTCTTACCTTTATTCTTAGTCTTACTACGTTGCGATCCATTGTTTTTTTTATTCATAGATTTGTCTTTAATCTGATCATGATTCTTTCTTGTCAATTTACTGAAAAACCACAGAGGTAGCGTGAAAAAAAAACAATCCATTACAGTAGGTTCTTCTAAAGTATCAGGAGATATGATTGTCCTAATTGGATTCGAATCATCTCTTGGGTTTGGCTCTAACAAATAAACGTCCCCAAATTTAATTAATAACTCTTTGGGTTTATCTTCTGGATGCTGTTGAAATGTCAATCTTTTTTCACCTAGCGAATCTGTGTCATCCAGTTCCTTACACTGACTAATAAAATCTTCTATTCTTTTTCTACTTGATGTATATTGTAATCTTAATACCCCATAGTGAATCACACTAACAGCCAAGTAAACAAATAACAAAATCACATACGTCTTTGGTTGTACTCTGTTAAAAAAATACCCACCTTTATTAAAATCATAATCTGGAAAACCATTCTTCAAGTAATAATCATACATTTTTTTTCTTTCATCGTTACTTAAGATATTGGTAGCTAGATTTAACCTTTCATATAACTTTTTATATTTTTTATTCTTATCAGGATGATATTTTTTGGCCAATTTCCTTAGATGCTTGATAATTTCCTTAGATGTTGAATCTTTACCCTTCTTTAATTTCAAAAATTTGTAAAAGTTCATATTGGGTCCATATTTCTCAACCAGATCATGTTGTAATTGGAAGACTTCAACCTCCTGAGGACTGAAACACCAAACAAAGGTCACTAAAAGGAACGACACAACCAAATAGAATAAAGAATTCATATCAAATTATTATCCTTGATAAATTCACAATTTATCTTGTTATTTAGCGTATATGTTAAGGATAACAATTTACACACCTCTAATGACAACTAATTTTTATTGTTATACCATCAGAATCTACTATGTAATCTTCTTGATAAATAAAATTGGAATACATTTTTAATGCAGTTTTATTCTTTAATTTTTTTTTTTTACATTTTGCAGATGAGTGGATTTTTCCATCTTCAAGTGAAACTTCATTCACATACTTTTACATTCATACGAAGCCAGCACAGGTATTATATACATATCAAACGTATCCGTTATGTGTTTAGATATACCTTTGTATCAGGAAGAGGAGTTCAATTCGAAACAAAGAGAGGGGAAAAAAGTTACAGTTGTAATTTTTATATTCCATTAAGACTTATCACAATCTCACAGCAATGCTACCTGTAAAGTTTGTACATAAATTGTACCAATATTATAGAATCACCAATGCATTTTTGTATGGTGCTTTATTTACACGTTGGTTAATCCTTTACCCATTAATAGGTGGAAAATTTCTTCCTGGAGGGATACACATGTTTTTAATAAAGCTAATGATCTATTCCACAGTAGGGGAACTGATTTGGTTATTTAAGTTTAGATCTTGGAGAAAAGCTATCTTTTCTAGGACAATGTTAAAGGACCTGAATTTCATTAATATTATTGTAACATTACATTATAAAGACAATTATGAATATGCATTAGTGTTAAGAAATGTAAGTTATTCCTTATTTATCATGTCTTTGGCTTTGTCACAATGCTATGTACATTGTTCAAACCTATTTAAAAAAGAACGTCCCAGGAATATTAATAGAGATAATACCAGTAATAATTATAATCCTGACGTAGTGATGACTGTCTCAAATAGAAAAAGCATCATATCTCAAATATATTCTCACCTATTATTACCTATTATGTACACAAGTGAATTTAACATGTTGCTATTGAATGTTCAATATTCAGATTTCAACGATTTACTATGGCTACAATTGATTAATAAAGTAATTTTAGTTCTATTTATTCCCATCGTTTTAACTTGTTGGAAAAGACAATGGTAGAAAGTTAGATTTTGTTATGATTGGTTATTCTTGATAAAATGTATTCTTTTATCAAAAATTTTTATCTCTTTACCTCTCTTTCTCTCTTTACATATATTTATGTATGTATGTACATGTTATATTGCATCTGATATTAATTTAGACATCTCTTCAGAGATTTCCAATGCCATCGACTCATCTTTATTTTTTGAATATTCCAATTTAGCTAATTTTAATTTTGATATAATGCCTTGCATATCAATAGTATCTTTTAAATCTAAATGTTGTGATGTTTCACTAATCAATGCTTGTTGTCTTGATTGTGAATGACTCCATGGATATACATCAATAATCTCTTCTATCCTTTTAATTCCTTCATATTCACCGTCATTATTTCTTTCTTGTGAAACGGTTAGTGTAGTAACTTCAAGTTTTGTAAAATCATTCCAGTATGGTACCTTTTCATTGGATATTGGATCACAACATACCATAAAGAAACCTTCGTCTTCCTTATCATCAAAATTATTGTCATCACAATTAGTGTTCTTATTCAATTCTGAATCTATAAATTCTAATGTATCCTTATCATCGAATGGTAAGATAAATATGATTCCTGCCAATACATCTCGTAATATATCATACTCCTCATTGTTAAATTCCTTGATCCAATCCTCCAATGATGTAGTTAATTCATCGATATAAAGGTCGAATTCCACATCGTAGTATTTATTTTTCCATTTAATGGATTTAATTATGTTTTGGTCAACAGGTAAACTTTGTTTAAATAATGTTTCCAATTTTTCATTTACAGAAGATCGATTATCACAAAGAATAAGGATTTTGTCTCTTACCATGGTGAAATATTTTTACTTTGTATTTTTTTTTTGTGGTGACTATTCGTGTTATAGAGAAGATAGTTCTTTTCATAAATAAATTAGAAATTTTGAATCTTCCGCAGGATATGATTGATCAATACTGAGAATTAAAAAGTGGCTTCATATATATCAGATTAGTCTTATCAATTTGATACGTTTTATGAAAACTTGGAAAGTCCATGGGTGGCGCATTTTCTATTTGTGTCTGTATCTGTTCCTTTTTTTTTTTGTTGGAGAAGCTTTAGTTATTATTACGACTATTAAGATCATTAATCAATAAGAAATATATTTAGTAACATAAAAAGAAACGTTAATATATATAAATATTCATACATAATCGTTCATTATTTAAATTTCTTTGGATTCAGCATAGTAATGTAGGTAGGCAGCCATTAATTTAATACCGTTAATGAAGTTGCTGATATCCAATTTTTCGTTAATAGAATGAGCACCATCATCACCTCTACCCATTGGTAATAATAAGACACTAGTCTTTAATTGATCTTGGAAAGTGACGGTGATTGGAATAGAACCACCTTCTCTAGTTAAGTCTGGTTCGACACCATAAACTAATCTAGTGGCTTTGGAAGCAGCAGTGAATTGAGCATTATGAGGATCAGAGATCCAATAAGCACCATCATGAATCAATTCAGCCTTACATTTGTTTGGAGAGTTCAGTTTAGCAAACGCTTTTTCACAATGTTCGATAACTAATTCATCTAATTTGGCCGAGTCCATATCTGGAACAGTTCTGATGGAAAACTTACCGATAACTTTAGCTGGGATAACAGTCTTGGCACCTTGTCCAGAGAATGCACCTTCCACACCATGCAGGGATAGAGATGGGTATCTCCATCTGTGCATCAAGATATCTTCCTTCTTGGTGTAAAGAGCGGTGTTGGAGCCACTAGCTTTGTTCAATTCATCTAAGGAGAAGTCAATATTGTCATACAATTTACGTTCCTTTTCAGTCATTGGAGCGACCATTTCGTCGACACCTTTGATCAAGATCTTACCATCAGAGTCGACTAAAGTACTCATAACTTTCACCAAGTCGATCATTGGTTCAGCAATGATACCACCAAAAACACCAGAATGTAAATCGGCTTGTGGACCTTCAATAGTGACTTGGTAATAGTTACAACCTCTTAGACCGTAAGTTAAGACAGGTTTTTTAGTACCTAACCAATAATTATCGGAGATGCAGACAGCGTCGACGTCCTTGAAGTAGCCATTGGCTTCCTTGGCGATTAATTCTTCCAAACCCAAAGAACCAGACTCCTCCATCCCTTCGAAACAGGTGATTAAATTAACTGGGAATTCTACACCGGCTTCCTTGTGAGCTCTGACGACGTGCAACCAGCCGGTTAATGGACCTGTGTCGTCAGTGGCGCCTCTACCTTTCAAAAGACCTTTTTCTTCATCGACAACCAGTTCAAATGGTTCAGAGTCCCACCCATCTTCTTTGAAAGCTGGCTGGACATCGTAGTGGCCGTAGACCAAAACAGTTTTCTTTTGTGGGTCATTGCCATAACGAGATAGGATAACAGGAGGCAATTCCAAGTTTGGGTTACTGACTGGTGGAGGTTGTAGGCCTAGTGGTTTCAATTGGATATCGGTGAAGCCAAGGGATTCCAATTGTTGCACTAGAAAATGGGCCTTCTTGACCACTTGAGGTCTTAGGGTCTCGTCCGAGGAGACAGCAGGGATAGCCACTGCTTGAGCGACAACATCAATAAATTGTGGTTTCAACTCGTCAACTTTCTTGAACAGTTGTTCGAACTTTGTTGGAATTTGAGCAGACATTATAGCGCGACGTTGAATTGGGCCTATGATTGAGGTTAGTCCTCGAAGAAACATGAATTAACTGAGCTGAAAGTAGGAAGCAGGAAAGACCAGATAAAAAGGAACAAATGAAGATGAAGGTGGGAAATGGGATGTGTGAAGAAATATGCAGCAGAAGAACAAAAGAGATATCAAGTAGTTCCTTGTGGAAAGGAAAAGAAAGATTCTAAGTTTTCGCAGTGACAACATGGAATAAATATCAACCATATGCGTACTCAGAAGTCGATCGATTATGTCACAATTTAACAGCAAAAAAAAAAAAAACTTTGCAATGCAATTGTCTCCCAGTCAAACTCTAAAAGCAAACAATTTCTGTGTTCGAGGAAAAAAAAAAAGTTTTTACTTTTTTTTCTTTTGTCGTTTTTTTTTGTGTTACTTAGATCAAAAAAAAACAAAAGACAAAAGACAAAAGAAAAAAAAAATGTGTCAACTTCGGGTTTTCAGCCGAAAAAAAGAAAGAAGGGGAGAAAAGGGTACAAAATTAGGACTAGTATTAGGGTTGGTGTTAGGGTTGTTAAATGGTGTATGGGTCTATAATTTTTCTTTTAAACAAACAGAAGAAAGTGAAAAGAGTGAAGAAGACAAAGTTTGGCTGCGTTGTGCAATCATCTCCACAGCAGGCTAGTTAGATCATTCTGTCCAGAGTCTTCTATCCAGAACCAAATGGGTTGGACGAGTGAGTGAGTGAGTGAATGGGTAAGTATAAGTGTGTGTATAAGTGTGTGTGTGTATATATGTCTAAACCATAAATTTGATTACACGGGTCTTTTTTTTTTCTAAGTCTTTTATGGAAACAAGGTTATAATTTAAACATGAACAGTGAACAAGGATTGTTAATACCATTAATAGCAGGGAGTATCGCTGGAGTTGTTCAAACTACTGTTAGTCAACCTTTTGAATTTTGGAAAACTGTCTCACAGTTACCTCACAGGTTTCCTCAAGAAATGTTGCCATTGGGTCACTATTTCACAGGTTGTTCCATCTTGAATATATGTGCTGTGAGTAAAACTTTTATTCGATTTGGTTCCTTCCATGTCGTGAATAACTGGATGCAAAAGACAATTCCTGAAAATCAAGTTCCAGTAAATGGTAGAATCTTACTTTCCTCCCTTTTCACTGGGATGATGGAAAGTGTCTGTATTATTCCATTCGAAAACATTAAAACCAATATGATCGAAAATATTATCCTTGCTTCTCATTCTGTTAATACGACTAATAAGACTACTATTAAAAACGTCTCTACTAAAAGAACAACTTTTCATAAAGTGAAGAGTCCTCTTATCCAATCCAGATTCAGTTTCAGAGATCCTGTGCCAGTACATGGTTTGCTGAAAACTATTAAAGAAATGTACCGTTCCAGAGGTCTCAGATCATATTTTCAAGGCTCTATGCCTACATTGTTTAGACAAATGGAAAATTCGGTGGTCAGATTCGGTACTTACACTGCAATGAAGCAGGTTTGGTTGCAACGGTTTTCGAATAATGAAACATTGCAATCCTACATGGGAGTCATTCTAGGTACGTTTTCCTCTATTGCTGTGGTATCACTAACTCAACCTTTAGATGTCGTTAAGACAAGAATGCAAAGTCAATGGGCACCCAAACTATATACAAATTCAGTTAATTGCGCATATCAGATTTTTATTCATGAAGGCTTACCTGCTCTATGGAAGGGCTTCTTACCAAGATTTTTCAAAGTCGGTCTCTCCGGTGGTATATCATTCGGTATATACGAATATATGGAGAATTTTATCCATTCTATGCAACGGGATGGATATTTAAGTTCATAATATTGTTATCTTGTATATATTTATATATTGTATTTATTCATATTTATTCATACATATTCGTATATATTCATGACCTTTTCCTCATCTTTCCTCGTTAATGTTAGGCTACCTAATAAATAAACCATACTCTTTCAATTTCATTGATTTCACTCATATCTAAGTATTGACAACATATTTCAAATATTTCATTCATTGAAGGCATGGAGTCATTCATTATCATCTGATTATTATTTAAAAATGTAATTATTTTATCGAAATCTGTCTCAAATGTCCCATCTGGTCGGATCAACAAATGCCGTATTTTAGTGACCATATCAATGGTTTCACTACCATTGTTCTTGATATCAATACTACCATGACTATTACTTTTGTCTGCATCTGAATATGCAAGTAGTTCAGCTTCTTCATTGTCAGTGTGTGGCGTTGTTTGACCAAAAGCAAAGCTTCTTTCGTATTCATGGTCGATTATGTCTGGATCCTTATCATAGTTATTCGTATTCTGGCCGTTATCTTCTTCGAAATTCTCCATTCCAACATTGTCTATATCCATAGGAGCAGCAGCATTATCAACAGTATTATTATCGTTATGATCACTTATTGGAAGTAAAATATTGTCATCTGTATATATAGGTTTGACTGTTGGGGGAGTACGTGGCAGTCCAACCGGAAGAGAATCGTTATTAAAGATGAACCCTGTATTATTATTGTTGTTGTTGTTGATGTTGTTGTCATCAACATCTGTCAAAGGTTTTAAACCAACATCCTGAATTTTCAATGGTTCTAATTTACGTATCTTTACTTCTCGTGGAATTACTTTCAACTGTGAAAAGATCAAGTCTGATAAACGTTTAGGTGGGTTCTTAGTATTCTTATTTGTTGTATTTCCATATTCTTTATTCGAATCTCCTTTTGTTTCTGTAGGTAAATCACTTTTACTTGATATTGTAGGGCTACTATCTTCGAAGTTCTTTCTTGGTGTTGCAATAGGTTGTTCAATGTTGGATTTCGATAGATCATGTTCCGAATATGGAATAATCTGTTGAAGTTCGCTATCTTCACCAGATGCCATTTGTAATTGTCCCATAAGATTTTTCCCACTGTTTGAATATCTACTTTCACTCATGTCACTAATAAATAACCTTAATTCATTAGGATTACTACGCCAAGAAGAATGGCTTCTTTGAGCCTGTAATCTCCTTTTCAAACCGGGAGTCACACTCATTCTAAAGGCTTGTCGCAGTCTGTTTTCTTCTATAGCTCGACCCCTGAATGGGGTAAGTATCATTGAATCATCTGTATTCGTTTGAGTCTGAGTCATTTCAAATCTAGTCTTAGATGGTGTATTCATTTACTTACAGTTCCCAATAAGATTAACAGTACAGTACAGTATGGTATATATATACATATATATATATATTTCTTCAGTGTTATACCACTAGTATTAAATCCATATACTGGTAACTATAGATATTTTCATGCTAATATTCTTATACAGTTGTGGGTGACTGGAATGGTTTTGTATGGTTTTTAATAGTTTATTGTTGATATAAAATGTTTTTTGATTAGAGTAAATTGAAGAATTTTGAGAAATTGCCTCTTTGGGCAAAAAACGATGAGTTTTGGGTAGAAACATAGAAGAGAGAGATGTACAGAGAAGTTAATTCGCCATAATTAGGTTCTGCTGCAAACTTATCAGCATTATTAACAGATAACTGTTTATCATCTGTGCTAGAAGTTAGGCATGTATATAATATCTATTCAACTAAACCATTTGAAGTGTTGATCTTGAAGGCAAAGAGAACAACTTGTGAGTTTTTGATAGTAAGACTCTCCCCCCCCATCCTGATCCATACAACTTTGAAAAGAAGTTGAATATTAAAACGCCTCAATGAACGAAGTTCATATGATAAGTAATTATCTCTTATTAGAAGTACTTGTTAGCATTTTTCAAAATTACTCTTTTCACCAGTGAGAACTGATGCAAAAAACAATTTGATATGAGCATGTCTGTATTAATATCAATGATTTGATTTGTTTATTTTTTAGTTTGATCTTTAAATCCACTTTTGGGGAGAGGAGCAAATTCATCTAACTTTTTTGTATTTTAGACTAGCAAAATAATAGACTTTCAGATCTTTGTCTAATCATCTTTTGAACAAACTCATTGACTATTTCTTTGAGAAGTTCGATTCAAATATACTCTTCTTTGAACTTGATATAGGCACATTATATCTACTCGCTTTTGACTAAAAATAACCATTTTGATTACCTTAAGTAACTATTTAACAGGATCTACTAGCAAATGTTTAAAAGAATTCTTTTCACTAATAAAAAAAAACCTCAAAAGGTATTAATATTCCGGTTACAGGAACTTGACCACGAAATGTATTAGGATTCCTACGGCATCGATGAACCCTATTCTGTAACACATTAATGTGCTGTGGTAATGTATTAGCAAAGAGGAATCTGTATAACATATAATCTTATTTTTAATACAAAAAATATCATACTGATGTTGTAATTTACCATAAATTTATCATAGGTAAAACAAGATACTTCTCATTTTAACAAAATTATGAAAGTATGTGATAGTTCCCTGGTTCCCCATATAGAAGACATGGAAACTACTTCATATTTTCTTAATTATTAGACTTTATTAGTGTTATTCTGTTGTGCTAAATTTTGAACTGATGTATTCATTCTCTTTTTGTCTATATTTGTATATTTTAGAAGCACCTGTATATATTAATTACAATTTAGAACAAGCTATAATTCTCTTATATAATTATTAGTAGAACATTATGTTTCTCTTTTTCCTATCTAATATCTTCATGTTGAAATAATTGATTTCGCACTACTTAAATCACAATTAATCCTTATTATTAGAAAATAATTAATAATTATACATCATTCGACTTTCATGTATTTATATAAATGTGTACATTTTACATTGGTTATACCAAGTTTTGTGTTAGAACTGCTTTCTCGCTATCATTCAAAGAATTGTATATATTTTGGAATTCATTGGCATTACTAGTAGTTGCTTCTTTAAAGAATTCTATCAATAAATGTACAAGGCTTTGTGGGACATCCATAATGCCAGTAATTTCTTGGGCTTCAGCTTGTTCTGGATTTAGTTTAATACCTTCATGGTAAGTCTCATCATCATCGTCATCCTCAATAAATTCCTTTAACTTTTCATAATCCAGAACATCATCGACGTCCTCCCATTCATCATCATCATCATCACCTCCGTTATTAGCATTATTCATATTATTGTTAGTATCAATATTATTATCAGACCTGTCATCTATATGTTTGATGTCGCTAGTAATATACTTTTCCGGATCGGTCTTTCTAGTTCTATACTCTAATTCATTACAAAACAATTTGACAATTTTGGTGTAAACACTAATCTGAGTATATCTATCCGGCATTTTTTTAGCCATAGATCTTGTAATGATTAAATCACCATCATAGGGGATTAATTCACCATTGACGGTTACATCATTTAGCCTTGTATCTGACAAAAAGAAGATTTTACTTAATGCAATTACATTATCCTTAATTTTACGTTCTCCTCTGATAATTTCAAAAGTTTCAAACCATTTATTAAAAACTGTTTGAACCACATTAAACTGTGATTGTGGTAATGATTCTTGTTGTTGCTCCATTGACATTTGGAACAGGAAATTCAATGTTTGTAACGGATCACTGTAAGTCAAGAAACATAATAATGACACTAGATTTTCTTGTGTGGCAACATGTTTAACATGGATTAATCTGTTAACAGCAGCTTTTAAAATTTGCGGAATTAAATCAGATAATTCATTATTAAATTTGTTACAAATAGTAACGATTAAAGATCCTACATTCATGGCGGCAGTGTCACTAACATTCATAGATAATAGTCTTTCCAAAATGTTGACAATTGTAGATAACTGAGGTTTAATGATTTCTCTGTCAGTGTTGTGAATCAGATATGTAAAGGCATCTGTGGACAACTGTAAAACTTCATCTTCTACTGATGCTTGTAAAATTTGAACTAAGGGCTCCCAAATATATTCACAGAATTTAGTTGGTAATGGTCCATCAGTTGGTTTTTTCTTCATGAAAACGGTAAGAAATTCTAATATTAAGGATAGTAATGGGGAATATTTGAATCCTGTGATAGCATTACCTTGAATAATATGAACAAAAGATGGTAAGCATAATTCCATGAAGGAAACATATCTTTCGGTTGTAATATTAGCTAATAATTTCTCCAAACACTCTTGAGATTCTACTACAATTTGAATGTTAGATGGATCTTTACTAGAGATAGATAGAACTGAGGTAAATTCTTGACGAATAATCTTGAAATCAGTAGATTCAGTGTTACAATTAATGATATTATGCAACACCTCGATTAAAAGTCCGTTAGTATCCTCTTCAGCATCTTGTGATAGATGATTTACTAATTTTAAAAGATTTAATTGAAGCTGTGAACATAGCTCAAAGTTAAGAACACTAGACAATTCAGCATAATAGGCATAATAGGTGAATGCAATTAATATAGAGGAAAGAATTAAATTATCACTATCTTGATCCTGCAACATAATATTCATACCTCTTTCAACACTTTTAATCAAATAATTGGTAGTCATTATTTTAACATCAGGTAATATATCCATAAAATTGTCCAATAATTTGGGGATCACTAAAATAATTCTCGATGCAAGTAAAGCATCATTTAATTGGTATTGATGCATAAATAGTGCATCAATGAATGCTTCAAATTCATTGATTGATTTAATTCTGAAACTATCGGTTTCTTCACTATTTTCACCATTAATTAGAACACATTGCAACATATATATAGATGATTCTAGTAATTTTGGACTATTCGTCATATTGTTCATTATATATTGCACAACATTTTGGAAGGTTGTTTGTAAAGTTTGACCAGATAAATTACTTAAATAATCAGCCACTTGATCTCTTATGGTATAGTTTGCAGATAATCCATTTTCCTTCGATACAAATTCATTTGGATCATTTAACCAGGTGTCTCTTGTTGAATCATCAAGACATGATAATGTCAACATAGATTGTAATACTGCTGAATGGTCAGTTTCTGTCAATTGAATGGTTTCATTACATAAAGACAAGAATTCTAGAATCTGTATGACGTATTCATTGAATTGTTGCAATAAGATGTCGTCTAATAGTAATTGTTCATGATTATTGACGTACCAATTCTTTAATAAAGATAAATCTTGAATGGATCTTTCTTTAAAATTTTCTATCCACTTATTAGGGAATAATTTTACTGGGAAATCAGACTTTATTAGGACCAAATTTTCATAAATCAAAGATTTTAATTGGAATATCAATTTATTGAAGTTGTCGCCATATTGGGATAACATTTGGGATAACATTTCTAGTGATTTTGACACTATGTCCTTAACGAAGTGTTTTCTATCACCAGATGAATTTGAGGTAACCGTAGACATTTGTAGTAGGCATGCATTAAAGAGTTTCATGGCACCAATTTTGAACTTAACAGAGACCGATAATGATTCAGTAGAGTTGTTAGTATGTGGGTTCATGTCTGTAGCTAATTGTGAAACGATTTTTAAAGTTTCAATACCTATTCCACCATCAAAATACATATCCTCAGATATAATATCATCATAAATTTCATTTAGTATGGAGATTGCGTTTAATGCAGGCTGTGGATTTGCCATAACAATATTGGTTATGCATTTATATAGATCAGGTAACAATTGAGGCCACTGGTCAGGGAAGTCCACAGCGGCAATTTGCACGATACAGTAAGAAGCACCGTTATATAATTTAGTATCTTGGTTTGGATCAAGACATAACTTCAATAAAGAATTTCTGATCATTGTTTTAGTGCCTAAATCTAACGATGAAGTGTTTCTGTAGGACTCAAAAGCTGGGGACCAATAAAAGGTAATCAGTTTTCTTATTGTTAATAGAGCAAACTGTCTGGAAGTAAGGGTAGATTGGACTGCAACAGTAGAATTGTCTTCGTTGTTAGTAGCCACATTCATCAAAGTTGTTAATACAGACGAAGCATTCAAATCAGCTAATTCCAGTAAAGTACTCTCTGCATTATTTCTTTCCGCATTATTAGAGGATTGTGCTAGTTGGATTAACTGATAAATATCACAAGACATAATGGTAAGAGAAAGCTTTGTTTAAAAATGGTGGAGATAGGCTGTTAGTGTTCTTGGTGATTATCAACCAAGCAGTGTGAAATTGGATGCTACTTAATCATTGAGTATATCCCCTTCTTCTCCCTTTCATATGTAGATACACGTATGGATCTCAACTCTACATTTCACTCTTAGAACAATCTGTAAAGTGTCGCAGAGTCTAAATTTTCGTTTTTTTTTTCATTCTCTCCCCATAGAATTCCATACAAAAGTATTCTAATGTTAATTCATTTTCAGGTAACATAATGTTTAAGAGTATACGATTCAGATATATAGTGTTCTAAATCTTGTTAAGCAGAGGGAAGTGTTGGACTGCACTTACGTATAGAGTGTTGACGACATATTTTCCTAATTTCTGTATATAACTAATACGTCTGTTACAATGAAGAACGAGGAGAAAGAACCACAATTATCACATGAAGAAGGTGCCTCATTAGGGGAACAATTATTGGATGCTAGTAGAAGAAACAATGAGGATTTGTTTGACACTGTGATTGCTACGATCGGTAATGAGGATCAGAATAGATTGTCTAAATTAATTAATGAATCACATGATCCTATGGGAAACACAGCGTTACATCTTTGCTGTCAATATGGGTCGTGGGAAGTCTTGGACAAATTGCTCGATTTAGATGCAGATATAGAGATAGATAACAAGAATAAGAGCAATGGAGATACCCCTTTACATTTGGCAGTCAGATACTCGCTAGAGGAACCTGAACATGGGACTTTTATTGTATCAAATCTTATTGAAGTTGGTGCGGATCCTAGAATCAAAAACAACCATGGTCAAAAGCCAAGTGATTTGATACATGGAGACGAATTGGATGATTTGTTTGATTTATTACAAGGTGCAGAATTGGCTGCTGATAATGGTGGTATGGAAGGTTTGCAAGAGCAAGAAATTGATGTGTCTGACGATAATGATGAGTAATGAGTGAAGATTCCCACTTCTATTCTGTTCTTGCACTTAATGTTTGAATGGTCAGCATATATGGGGGAGGGAATTATGCATATTAGTAGATGTATATATATCTACACACACAAATATATATATATATACGTATTCCTCTTTATATGTCTTTGTTTAATTGACACGTACGTGTATAACAATATTTATGTTTAATGTTAGAACGAAATTTTTGATACACAAAAGAAACTGTTAAGGTAAATACATATATACTATATATACAACAAAACACACACATACATGTGAATAAAAAAACACATACAGTATACACAGATACAATAGTTATATATTGGAAGTGTAAGTGTAAGCCAGTGTAAATTATAAGCATATAATCAAGCTAAACTAAAAAAATAGTGTTCAACAGGAGAAAACATGACAATACGTTTGGCAGACGTTATTGATGATGATGACGATGATTATGAAGAAGATGATGACGTGGTTGGATTGGTTCCTACCAGATCAGCAATGTCTAAAAGAACACCGTCGATTCTGGTTACAGACGCAAGAAGTTCTAAACCAAGATCAACAGCCCCCTTTGCAGGTCATGCGGCAGGAATAAATGTTACTAAAGGTAAAAGAGGCATTGGTAGCCATATAAATGGTAGTAACGTGTCAAATAGTATAGGTGTTGGTAGCCACGTTATTTCTAACAGTTTAAGGACACAACATGGTATTAATAATGGACAATATACGACGGTCAGTAACAGTTATAATCAGAGTAGTAGAAGCTGTTCCAGTAGTTCATCCAGACCTGCTAGTGTGAGTCAAAGGATTACAAGCAGTATTAAGGATAGGTTAAAATACCCTTCAATTAGCAATAGAAGTAATAATGATGGAAATAGAACTAATGGTTCAAAATATGATTTCCGTTTGAAGTCAAAGAGTGCCAATATTCCAGTTGGATCAATATTAACAGTAAATACTGCAAATACAAGATCAAGTTGGGGAAGAGGAAACCCATTTGAAAAAAATAGAGAACGTTATAAGATGAGAAGATCTTCAGGGTCATCCAGATTCAGTGATATCTCGATGGATAATATCTTATTGGATTCATCCCTGGTTCCATCAGGTAGAAGAGAACAACGTGGCTCTCAGTCCTCTTGGGATCGTTTCCCACTGAAAAAGGTGCCATATTCACAAAACCATTATAATAAATATAGAAAATCAATAAACGCATTACCTTCAAGAACTTCTAAGATATCTCAAAAATTGGTTTTAATCCCAGAAGATGCAGAGTTAACGAACTTAACAAATCTCCAAAGAAATGATATTACACCTAATGGATTAACTTTGCATGGCAGTGGTGATATCTTGGATAGACAGAATCATTTTTCTACTAGAGTACAACTATTGAATGGCCATGAATCCTATCGATATAGAGATGGGAAATTGCCCAGGTTAACAGCGTATAACATTGCAGATGGTTTTAATATTAAGTTATTAACAAAATTCTTAAAGCGTACACATGAAGTTAGTCCTAGATTATACGATGATTGTCTTTATGTACCTTATGTGCTACCTTTGTTACCTGGTAAAGATGGTTTTAGGATTAAATCTAATGTATCAAAAAAGATTCATGGTGGGAAAACACTTATTGAAAAGTTGTTGGATACTAGTGAACAAAGGGATCACCATTTCGAATATTACTCTGGTGTTGAGGCTGTTAATGAATTAAACCAAAATGTCAGGAGTTCGTCTTTATATGATAGTACCCTAAACAATACAGAAATTAATGGCCTTAACAATAGCAATGACAAAACCACCACTTCTAATATATCTAATTCGATAAGTGAGAGTCCTATAATTAGTAACAGTAGTAAGATTGATCGTAGAAGTAGTGTAGGTAGTAAGAAAAGTACCGATAATATAGATAATAATATTCGAGCGAGACGAAGCTCAGAGAATGTTACATTAAGGGATAGGGAGCAGAATAGAATGATGGCAAGAGAGCGTATGAATGCTCCTTCAGATGATAATGCATACGAAAATCTTAATAATAATACAATTATGACTAATAACAAGAAAATAAGCACTAATGATGATTCCTTTGATCCTAGTGAACCACAACTGTTTGCTGAAGAGTCTCCTTTGGAACAAGAGATTCGTGAAAGAGAAGAATTGTTGAAAATTACTAGTCCTTTATCAACATCGCCGAATCTCTTGGGAGACTCAATGGGAGGTGTTATATCAGGTAAAAGGGCATCAACCATATTTCACAACCAAAGTGATAGCAAGGGTGTTGATACAAACAAAAATATTGATAGTAATCTGTTAAATGGTATCTCAGAGGCTGAAACAAAAAGATTTATTAATCAAAATATGTACAAACATGCGGAATTATTTATTTTCCACTATGGTGTAATAGTATTTTGGAATTTTACCGAAGATCAAGAAAAGGATTTGCTTGGGGATTTAGCATTTGCGGATGAAAAGAAATTAATAATTAGACCATTAGATGAACCAGATATTGAAACAGAAGAGTTCCATTTTGAGTATGATAAGGACACAAAGAGACCAAGGATTTTTAATGATGTGATCACATTGAGATCCGGGGATCATTTTATTAAATTGACTCTATCTTATGCAATAGCCCAATCCACCAAATTATCTAGATTTGAGTCCAGAATATCACCTATTTTAAATTCTGTTATGAAGTTACCCAAGAGATTGGCTTTACATGGGACTTTAGGTCTGAAAAGAGCACAATTGTTAAAGAAGTCAGGTAAATTGTTTAAATTGAGAGTAGATGTTAACCTCTCATCAAATGTGTTAGATACACCTGATTTTTTTTGGTCTGTAGAACCTAGTTTACATCCATTATATATTGCCATGAGAGAATATCTGGAGATAGACAAAAGAGTCACTGTGGTCAATGATAGATGTAAAGTGTTTCTAGAGTTTTTTGATATCTGTGTGGATTCTGTAGCAGAGAGGAACATTGCGAGAGTCACGTTTTGGTTTATTATAATGATTGTTGTGGGGGTTATCTTTTCAGTTACCGAAGTAATGGTTAGATACAGTATTATTCATAATTAATATTCAATTATATAAATATATTTTTATAAATAGGGAGATCAGTTTGTAAGATTATATGAAGTTTGTGGATTACAAAGTATTGAGAGGAGTGTGTTGTGGTTGTAGCTTTTGTAATCAGAGGGGATGTGTACTATGAAGAAAGAAGGTCTAGATCAAATCAAGAAGACAAAAATAAATGAATAAAAAAATTTGAATTGTACACAATACTGTAATAGACGAAGAATTGTAAATTGAGAGAGAGACTAGCAACAGTTACCTATATGACAAAAAGCCATGCAAATTAGTTCATTATCTGTTGATAAGCGAAGTAATGTGACACAACTGAAAACACCAAAGGAGTTGGGATATTATTCTCGAACTATTGACGATGAAATATTTGTGAATGATGAGAGAAATTTGGCTTATTATTATTTCACAGACGATGAGTTCTATAAAAATCAAAGTATTGATTTGATGGAAGGGCGGAGGCAATTTCAAGATCGTAGTATGGTCATTTCTGATCCATGTTCATTGAAAGGTTTATTAGATACTGTAAGAGAGACTGAAAAAAAATTTAAAAGAAGAATAAAGGCTGATATTATCACATTTCGAGGTATAATACGAAAATTGATAAGCTACGCAATTGAAGATTCAAAGTATGTTGATCCAATTAACTTGCAGATAATACATTTTGATGGTCAGATATTTATTAAGGAAGTGATACAAAATAGTGATTTAAGGAAATATGATTCTAACACGATTCAGACCAGTTATGGGGTAGATTTGGGATCCTTTAGTGGGTACAAATTTGAGACATTGGTTACAATACCGAAGCCATTTAGTTTGGTGGATAGGAACACCATTGAAAAGAGGCCTAGTCAGTTGGTTACTAATGGAAATGAATATGCTACTGTTGTGGGGACAGGAATCGGGTCTAATAAAATTATTCTTGGAGCTGAGATTGATGCAATATATGATTTTGAACCTAGTATAGATGAGGATGATAGTAAACTCACACATTATATTGAATTGAAATGCACAAGACAGATTCAAAGTGAAAGAGATTGTTTAAATTTTGAAAAGAAAATGTTTAGGACTTGGTTACAGTGTTTTTTGGTGGGGATTCCTCATGTAATTTACGGCTTTCGTGATGATCAGTATCAACTGAAAACCATTGAAGAGTATCGAACTGAAGAGATCCCCACTTTGGTGAGTTCCTCAATGAGACAACAATTTAATGATTCTATTAAATGGTATGGATGTCTTATAGATTGGTTGAAAAGCACTATATCAGATCATAGTAAAGGAAAAGAAATTAGTTGTTATAGGTTAACTAGTGGTGTGAAAGAATTAATATTAGAGTGTATTGCTGTCGACACGAAAGAGTATGAAGAAATGATAAACAATCCTAATTTTATTGATCCAGAGTTTAAAGAATGGAGACAGTCTTTGAAATTTTAAAATGTATGCTCTAGCAAGTAAGTTATGAAATAATAATTGTCTATTCATATTACACATATACATCAAAAAAAAGAAAAGAAAAGTTGGTAATACAGGAAAGGTTCAAAGCTGATTGTCTATCTTCCTTGAACTATATCAACTATAAAGAAAATAGGAGAATAAATGTTAGATTTATCCATTCATCAGCAAAAGATCTATCATTAAGTAACTAATTAGATACATATATGTACATATGTATGTATGCAGGCATGTTCCTTCTTTTAAACAAAGACAAAGGGAAAGGACAACAATGTTATGTGTTGTTATTATTATTATAGTAAACTACTTTATAAGATCCAAAGATAGTATTTGTGACCATAACGATGGAACACACAGTTATTAATACAAACAGTAAAGATCTCAATGTGATAGTTTCAATGAAAGTGTTAACTACCTCAGCTAAAGTCTGTACCCACAACTTAGCTGACTGAAAAGACCGTTTATTATTAAGCGAATATTGTTCAATACAATGTGACCATTCTTGGCATTTATATCGCAGTTTCGGTGGAATCGCCTCATTAGATAGAAAACATTTATTGTTTTTGTAATCTAATTCACACCGTCTCCATTGATTCATAGAATCTAACTCCAGTTCCATTAATTTCCATTCAACGTCTAAGGAGATTAAGTGAACGAATTTATACAAGATAAATAAAATTGCTAGGGTAATAATTATATTAAATATGATCTTGATGTATTGGTTTAACGGTTCTGGCTCATACCAATATCTAGAATGTGGGAGTGAAGTCACTACATTTTTCTCATCAGCGAAAGATTTATCATTATTTTTATTATTGTTATTACCATTAAGTCTATTTCCAAAGGACTTCCCAAAAGGTACCAAACTAGTCTTCATGAACAGTTATGTTATGGTTTTCCAACTACAGTATCCCAATACCTGTGTGCTGCAGCCTGTAGAGCAGTCTCTTGGGGTTTCAATCAGAATCGAAACACATCTCATCTTATTGGAACCTTCGTTGAAGTTCTCTCTCATTTGCTCTTCTCCCGATTTATTTTTGTTCTATTTCTGCCTTAATTTTTGTTATTATGTGTTTTTCTTTTTTTTTTTTGGGGGGGGGGGGGTTTGCCTTGCTTTCTTCTCGTAGTGATGAAAGGAACAAATGAAAATCGAAGAAAAGAAGTGATTTATATAGAGGAACTGAAGATAGGGAGTCAATCTAAGACGCTACACTCTCTTCTTCCCCCTTCTTCTCTAATACTTCTTACATCTCGCATCTTGTACATTCTTCTGACCGCTTTCTCGAATGGTTGCAATCAGATACGTGATATGAAATTAAGAGAACTATTAGTCTATACCAAAAACTGTATTTCTCGTATTTTAAAGACACATCCTACAACTAAACTATCTTTAACAACAACAGCAACAACAACAACCTCACTAAAAACAACTCCTAAGATTATTTTGCAAGACACAATGAAACCCACTTCTGTTAGATTAGCTACTCATTATAAACCAAGTATCAAATTTGTTGGTACAAGACATCCAGTGATACATAAATCAACAATCGAGGGCAAACTAAAACCTCACCCGTGTAGTCCTAGTGGTGTTTTACCCGGAACTACAGACTGTGTTCCAATTCAAGAATTTTTAAAGAAGCAATTGCCATTTGTCGTTAAGCCATATATGGCTGCTGTGCAACAGATCAAAGGTCCGTATTCCTTTGTTTCGAGACCTCTGGAGCCAAATGAAGTAGATTCTGTTTTCAAATTGCCTCCTGAGTATCAATTTAAACCTATTGAAATGGATGAGTGTGAGGTTATCAACGGTGGTGGTGCATTGTAAACAACTGATTAGAATATTATGCATTTGTATGTATATATATATATTTCAGTTGCACCACAATTTCCTCTTCCTCCTCTCTTTCTCCCTGTATATCTTGAATAAGCAAAAATATAAGAGAGGAAAGAAAATGTATACTTATATATTCTAAACAGTGATAACATTCGTTTGTGACATGTATTGACATTATTCATACATATATATATCAGATTTAAGTAATGAATGTGCAAAAACAAAAAACACAAATTAACATTATGAAAAATGTCAAAATTGGTTTATAAATTATGTCTTTTTTTAATAGAGATAGTAGAGATTTGTTTGTACATATTTATATATATATATATTTAGTATTGTTCGATTACATTACAGTGAATTGATCAGTCTTCAATGAAGTGATAACATCGTATGGTAATGAAGTAGTACCGTCTAGGCTGTCAATGACTTCTCCAACGGAGACTCCTATTAAACTTGTCTTATCAGCGATACTTAGATCAGTGTTATTATGATGGAATGTAACGGAAATTGGGAATAAAGCGTCTTCAAATTCGGCATCCACGACGAAATTGATAACTCCTTGAGAACCAGCTTCGATCCTAGAAACTTTAATAACGATACCTTCTTCATCATTAATGGATGTAATTTCAGCGCCACATTCATTTGATTCCTCATTCAATTGAACATCGACCTTGGTTGGTAGCACAGGGACAACGAAGTACAAATCTTCCAAGGACTCAATTTTATCATTATTGATTTCGAACTCGATGGTGACATCAAATATGTTTGTATCATTTTCTGAAACCCAGGTATTTACAGATAGTGGTAAAGTTGGTAAGTTGTTGTTGTTGTTGTTGTTATCACTTGTGATGTTTTTCTTCCATCTTAGTACACTACGGCTTTGATCATTAGCTGGGAATGCCTTTTTTTCTTTATCCTTTAAAGAAATTATACCTTGTGATAAGAAAGCACCTTTATCAATATTTGGATGAGTTTCAAACTTGTAAGAACGATCCTTTAAGATGTTTAAAGGTGGAGAGACTAATTTCAGTTGTGCATGTGAATATTCTTCATTATTTATTCTTAAATCTAAGGAACCTTTTAATTCATAGTTCTGTAAGTCACCATCACGGGTAAGTTGAGCTTGAATGGACTCCTTTAGTGTGACTAAGATACCGTTATTTTCAACATGTAGTTCTGTCTCTGGTCTAGTGGCACTGACATTTGAAGGGGTGGAAGATGAGCGGTAGTTGCCCATTCCTGAGGCTGATGGTTTGTGAATATTTCTTGATTGAGACAATTTCATACCACCGATGCGGTTAGTGACATTTTCAGTAGGGGATGAAATTTGTGTTTGGAACTGTTGTTGTTGTTGTTGTTGTTGAGAATTAACGTAAGATTGTTGAGCTGCTGGAGAAGCATGACTGTAGTAGCTGTTCAACGCGTTTGCCACATTTGGATCATTGCTACCGACAAAGGATTGGCCAGGATAATCTAACCCACCGAATTGCTTTCTTTCCTGTTCTCTTCTTGCAATTTCTTTAGCGCGACGTTTTCTTTCCTCATTAGCTTCGATTTCTTTATTTTTTTCGATGATTTCCTGGATCCTCTCTTCGTGAGATTCCATTGCTAAATAAGTGGAAATCTGTTGAGTGGTCAAATTTTCTTTGTAGCCCCCATTGATGATAATTTCATCGAATATGGTGATGATATCGAAGGATAAATCAAAGATTTCCCATTCACTGATATTGCCGTTGGAGTAATTCAAGTAGTTGATGATGGAATCGTTCATAAGATCTAGTGTTTTCAGGTCCTGGATAATGTTGGATTGTCGATTAGTGATTAAAATGATGTAGAAATCGTCCAATGGCTTATAAATGTACCTGATATGGCCATCCTCGATAAAATTATGGTTTTTGGAACCCTTTGAGACTAAGTTTTGAAAGTTCGATAGTAACTCCAACATTCTGTCCTTTGAAATGTCATGGAATTGACGGGATACGATTGGGTTCCCTTGGACGGTGGTGATAGATGCAGCCAAAACAACCATTTTTTTTTCTTTTTTGTTTTTTGACAGAGAGGGGGGGGGGGATGTGTGTGTGTGTGGGGGGGGAGAATATTACTATTATTTCAAAGAATAGAGATTGGGTTATAATGCAATAATCTATCCTTTATCAGTTTGTTGATCATTTACTTTACTGTATAGTTTCTTGAAAACTGTAATTTTTTTGTTTTTTTCATTTTTCCTCCAAAATTTAAAAGTCCAAAACACACAAAAAAAGAAAAAGCAGTTTTGAAGAAACTGAAAAGAGAAGACACAATTCTGGAAGGTAGGGTTTTCGTCAACAATGACGCACCGATTAGGGTTGTACGACGGGGAAAGAAAAAAAAAAAAAAAAAAAACAGGCCGCACAAAGAAGAGGGCAAAGATAAAGATTCGTAGAAGAAGCGAATTGCTTCTTTTTCCGCTCCCCCCTCCCTTTTCTAAACGGGATTTACTCGCTGTGGGTGTTCAAGCATTCGATTTCTTCGGAAAGTAGCGGTGTGGTGAGGTTACAGTTGGAGGTGTTGGGGACTCTTTCTCTTATAACAAGATTTCATGAAGATCGACAAAGATCATCCAAATACAGAGCCACAGATTACAGAACTACACATATACTCTAGTCTACATCCTTTAACTTTCTCCATACACACATACATACATACACCAGTCCTTATCATCTCTTTTTATCATCTCTTTTTTTTTTTCTTCTTCTTCTTCTGTGGTCCATTAGCAATCTTCATTGTTTATACCGCCATAGCTTCATCTTTTCTTCTTTTCTTTCTCACTTCTGCACAATTTGCGATTTTAGCCGCCCAGACTCTCGAAATCCACAAGCGTTTTCTCCTGCTATTGTTCTTTAATTTCCTTCTTGTTATGGCGATTCGTCAAAGACGACATGACTTTTTCTTCTGGAACTTTTCCCACGGGTTTTAAAGTCCTACGTAAAATGAAAATAGAGAAAGATAGAGGAAGATAGATGAAGGAACATAAGAGCTTAATTGTGTTTTTTAGTTCAACTCTACAGAGAAACAAAGTCGGTTTTTAAGTACTTAAAGATACACAGTAACCTTTTGTTGTTGTTGTTGTTGTTGTTTTTTCTTATTTTTTTTCCTTTTTTTTTTTTAATATCTTCTTCTATAGAAATAAATAAATCCAGAGAATTACTGAAAATGTCTGATACTGAAACAGAATTAATCTCACGTTCGTTATGTGGAATTGTAGATATAGGTACAAATGGCATTAGATTCTCCATATCTTCTAAATCCTCGCACCATGCAAGGATAATGCCTTGTGTCTTTAAAGATAGGCTAGGTATCTCTTTATATGAAATCCAGTTCCCTTACAAGGACTCGCTGGAGCAGATTCCAATCCCCAATGATATCATCTCAGAGATTGTCAACGCAATGAAAAGATTTAAATTGATCTGTGAAGATTTCGGTGTCTCTGAGGAAAGCGTTAGAGTCATTGCCACTGAAGCCACACGGATTGCCATAAACAAAGACCAATTTATTACTGCAATTTGGAAGGGCACCGGCTGGAACGTGGAAGTGTTAACCCCAGAAGAAGAGACAAGGATCACCACATATAGTCTTGTGGCCTCTTTCAACGACGTCAATGGACTTTATTTGGATTTGACTGGTGGATCTGTGCAATTATCCTGGGTTAAATGTAACTTAAATGGCTCAGGCGAAATCGAGTATTGTCATAATCCAATCACTTTGCCGTATGGTGCAAGTGTGATCACTAAGAGGCTACGTTTAGAAAACAAAATTACCTTGTTCAATGAAATTAAATCTAGTTTTATAAAACAGATAAATGAAAATTGGGAGATCCCACGGGATATGATGGATATGGCTGCAAAAAATGGTGGAATCGATCTTTGGATGCGTGGTGGTGGTTTGCGAAGTTTGGGACATCTTTTATTGTCTCAGAATAAAGATTATCCAATTCAAACTATTATCAACGGTACTTCGGTCCCATTCCAAGAATTAGAATCCATGACTGATTATCTGTTTTTAAAGGGTAAATTACCATCTCCGCCATTGGGCAAAACTACAAAAAGGGTCTTCAAAGTATCAGAGAAAAGAGCTTTACAACTACCTGCAGTGTCAGTGTTGATGACAGCATTGTTCGATGTTCTTCCAAAGATTAAAACAGTTTATTTCAGTGAAGGTGGGGTTAGAGAGGGTACGCTTTATTCCTATCTTCCAAGGGACATCAGATCTCAAAACCCTGTAGTGGTAGCATCAAGACCTTATGCCCCATTACTATCCAATAAGTATCTAGACTTGTTGATGACCGCTATCCCTAAGAACAAAGTGCCATCTATTGTAGTGGACTTGATCGCACCTGCGTTATGTAATTTAGCATTTGTTCACGCTTCATATCCTAAGGAATTACAACCTACCGCAGCATTACATGTCGCTACCACGGGTATAATATCAGGATGCCATGGCATATCACATTTGATTCGTGCATTAATTGGGATTGCACTTTGTAATAGATGGGGTGGCAACATTCCAGAGACAGAGGAATTGTATATGCAAAGTTTGGAGAATTTGGTGTTGAATGACTCTAATAGAATGCAAGCCAGGAGAATAGTATGGTGGACAAAGTATATTGGTACTATAATGTATGTGATCTGTGGTGTCCATCCAGGTGGGAATATTAGAGATAATGTTTTCGATTTCCAAGTCATTGGAAATAACTGTAGATTAAAATCCACCACCAAGAAAATGAAGGAGCTATTAATCGATGAGGCATTGCTGGATAGTTCAGCAGGTACACACAACGAATCGTTACCAAAAGAATTAGCATTAAGTGAGTCTATAGGAACAAACAAAGAACAAAATGATGATTATATACCTCCATTGACCCAAACAAAGACACTATCCACCGATGGCAATGAACATTATCCAACAGAATATGAGGTGTTAGTGAATATAGGCAAAGATGATTTGAAGACAAGTGCGTCTGTCCGTGCCAGAATCATCACGTTACAGAAGAAGATAAGAAAACTGTCGCGTGGGAACATTGAAAGAGTCAAAGTTCATGTGCAGGTTAAAGAGGATTGAATGTGGAGAATGTCAAGCATATATATAAGGATGCATGTACATATGCACGTGTTACTAAACAATGAGAGGAGAAGGAGCGAGCGATGGGATTACAAGAACATCACGTACATATTCTATATAAGACGATACATTATAAAAAACATTGGAGATGTGTAGATACACACACAGACAACAACATGGTTCATTGGTTCATTTCAATTATTGGAATTGTATCTTGTAGTTTTTGTTTTGTGGAGGTTGAGAAAAGATTCTTTGGGACTCACAGATTTTGCTTTGTTTCAGGGTAACACCATCGGTTGCGTATTTTATTTTTTTTTTTTTTTTTTTTTTTATTTTTTTCTTTCTTAGTTTCTGTTGGTCCGAATAAAAAGAGAAGAGGTGTGAAAAGTGGAAGAAAAGGATCACTTTTGTACATGTGTGATGTGTCTTATCAGCATTTTATCATCCATTTATAGTCATGTTACAAGGAAACCATAGAAAGTGATTCTATTCTTGTGTTAATTAGTTGTTTTTTTTTTTTATTATTTTTTTTCGCTTTTAATCCTGTTTTATATATTTTAAGGCCAGCATAATACTGTTTACATCTAACCGAAAAATGTCCTCCATTGCTCTTCCAGATTTGGTTAAAAGTCTATCAGTGGCGTTCAATAATAAAGAATACGAAAATTGTGAAAAGCTTTTGGGTCCAATTAAAGTAGAATTGATTAAACATAAACTTTTAATCCCTAACCTTCAAGGCTCCACTAACCTGACTCAAGACTATATCAACGATCTAAATATCACAAAACAGATTCTTGAAATAGGTGCATTGACGTCCATCTATCTATCCAAATTCGAAATATATCAGAACTATTTTGCACAACTTAGACAATTTTACTTCAATGATATCCAGGCATTAAATAACTCAAACAACAAATCCAAGTTGATCTCTCTGTATCTATTGATCCTTCTATCTCAAGGTGATGTAACTAGGTTCCACTCTGAATTGGAATATTTGGATAAACGGATCAAAAATTTAGAAGATGACGAGCTGTTGTCGTATCCAATCAAAGTGGACAGGTGGTTAATGGAAGGTTCTTATCAAAAAGCATGGGACCTATTGGAAGCTGGGTCTGCTGTCCCTGAATTAGATGTTTTCTCCAAAACTTTGATGGATGCTATTAGAGAGGAAATCGCAGTGAATACTGAATTAGCATATACTAGTTTGCCATTGATTAATGTTAAAACTCTTTTATTTTTCAGCACTGAAAAACAAGCAGAGCATTTTGCCCTGGAGAAAGGCTGGACTATAAATAATTCAATAGTTTATTTCCCTAACAAGGAACAATTAGATGGTATTGATAATGAAGACAATGAAGAAGAAGAAGAAGAAGAAGAAGCAATTACTGAAAACCTGACAAAGGTGGATAATAAATTGATACAACTGAATTTGATAAAGAAAACAATGAACTATGCCATTAACCTTGAAACAATTGTATAGTTATTTTATATATGTATATATTTAAATACAAGTATATAATAATGACGGTACTATTTATAATTGCTTATGGGTAGTGGTTGTTAGTCCAAATATACTTATTATTCTTTTTTATTTTTCTTCTTTCTGTCTTTTTTGATTATTAGGAAGAGGTTTCAAGTTTGTATTTGTAAATCCCATTCAACGATTGAAGGAGACGCAACAAACATCCAAAATATACATATATATATATATATATACACTTACGTACGATTGTACGTATATACAGAAAAACAATCAAAAAAGTTTATGAAATATTGGGAATTGTTGTATTTATTACTATTCATTACATCATTATAAACTAATATATAAAACATAAATCTACAATATTGTTCATTTCATACCTACAGAAAGACCAGCAGATAATCTTTGTTCAGTCAAAGCAGCAATGACAGCGGCACCAGCACCGGAACCATCTTCAGCATCGACAATAATGATTGGGTATTTCTTTGGATCAGTTTCCTTCCAGCCGTAGATATCCTTCAAAGCTTGGTGAGCCTTTTCCTTGAAGTTTGGATATCTTTGCCAAACAGAACCATCAGCAGCAATGTGACCAGTTTCGTAACCTCTCTTTTGACAGATAGCAGCAATACCACAGACAGATAATCTAGCAGCTCTAGTACCGATAGCTTCACAGATACGTCTTATGATCTTACGCTCTTGAACAGTGGTTTTAAGACCTAAGTCCTTTTGTAATAATTCTTCGGTGTTTTCTAGGTTTTCGAATGGATCTTCCTCGATTCTAGCTGGGTAAGAAGTATCCATGATGTATGGCCTCTTCAATTTGGTTAAGTCTTGGTTCTTTAAGATAAGACCTTGGTCATACAAATCTAGCATGGCTAATCTCAACAATTCACCTAAGTAGTAACCGGAGGTCATCTTTTCGAAGGTTTGTTGGCCTGGTCTTGGTGATTCTTCATCGATCTGGATATCGTATTTGGTTCTTGGCAAAGCGACATGTTCGTTATCGAAGGAACCGTATTCACAGTTAATGGCCATAGCGGATTCTGGTGGAATATCGTCGGCCAACTTACCCTCTAACTTTGGAATATCCTTGACGACATCGTAGTAAGCACCATTGACACCGGTACCGAAGATGACACCCATCTTAGTCTCTGGATCACTGTATAAGGAGGCGACCAAAGTACCAGTGGTATCGTTAATCAAAGCAACAACCTCAACTGGGACGTCCAATTTAGCCATGGATGCGTTCAATAAAGCAACGACATCGTGGCCTTCGACGTTTGGAATGTCGAAACCTTTAGTCCATCTTTGCAAGATACCGACATTGATTCTGTCTTGAGATGCAGGGTAGGAGAAGGTAAAACCCAATGGCAACTTGTTTTTGATTTGACCGTGGTAGATTTCTTCGACGAAGTCCTTCAAACATTGAGCGATAAAATCAAACAATTCGTCACGGTTCTTGGTGGTTCTGATGTGGCTTGGCAATTTGTACTTGGATTGAGTGGTGTCGAAGGTGCAATCACCACCTAACTTGACCAAGACGACTCTTAAGTTTGTACCACCCAGGTCAATAGCAAGGTAGTCACCCTTTTCTTTACCGGTTGGGTAATCGACAACCCAACCTGGGATCATAGGAATGTTCCCACCCTCTTTGGAGTTACCTTTGTTCAATTCAGAGATGAAATGCTTGACAATGGCATTTAATTTTTCAGTCTTGACAGTGAAGGCCTCCTCGATGGCAGCGGAGGCTTGGATCAATTCTTGTGGGACATCGATCATAGAACCCTTTCTTGCAGGTGGTTTTTTTGGACCTAAGTGAACCATTCTGTGTTTTCTTTTATTATTCTTATGATTATTGCTAAGCTGAAGCTGAATTAGTATCCTATATTTATAAACCGATACTGATTTGTCTTGCTGGCTTTTTCTGTATGCACAAGGGGAGAAGAGAAGGGAAAGGAAGAGAGAGGGAAATGGAAAAGGGAGAAAAGAAAGGGACAACGAAAAAGGATGAGAGGACCGGGGATCAGATCGTCGTGTTCGAGAAAGAAAAACTCGACTATTTATATCGATTGGAAGACAGATTGAAGATCGCAGGCAACGTAGTGTGTTCTGTTTGTTTTCTGTTTGTTTGCGTTCCTTCGAGAACTGCCCTTATTTTTTGTTTTTTACCCCTCACTGTGTTGCTTTCCTTTCCTTTTCCATTCTCTTTTTCCCCTTTTGCCCTCCTGTGTCGATTTTTACCCCTCTCTCGACTTCCACTAAACAAAATAACACAAAAAAATCAGTTGATGTTAGTTACTATATTTATTTTCTCTTTTCTATTGTGTTTGTTCTATTGTGCTTTTTCTTTTGTGCTTTTTCTTTTGTGCTTTTTCTTTTGTTGACAAACTTTCTTGAAAAAAAGTAAACAAAACTGGAAAAAAGAAAACAGAGAACTATTGTTGTTGTTATTGTTCTTGGAAAACCGCACTATTGCTTATAATAAATTCTGGGGTAAACAAAAACCAAAAACGATGAAAGTAAAATAAAAATAAAAGAAAACAGCACAATACAATACAATATAATACAATCAAAAAATCAGACCATATGAGATTTTAATCTTCTTCTTTGTCGCTTTCGCCTCCCCCTTTTCCTTCCTCCTTTTTCCGTCTCTTCAGATAATGAAGCTGTACCTCAATTTCCGTTTTGGGATATATCTGTCAGATCCCTTTCTGTATATGTTTTCTTTCTTTCTTTTTTTTTGATTTTCCAATCTTAGATTTATCTTCCCTTTTCCCTTCAGTTTCCTTCTTTTCCCTTGTCGTTGATAAAAAAAAGAAGAAATTACAAGTTGTCTTTTCACTTCTATTTACCATTACTTAGTTTTATTAAAGATCAAATGTTTTAACCCCGCGTTCTTGAAAATTTAATAGGGGGGTTAATTTTTGCTTTTTAGAAATGGACAAAAAAGCGGATTTTTAACAATAGACGGAAGAGAAAAACAACAGAATAAAAAAATAAAAAAATTAGGACTTTTTTCTCTTTTTCCCCCCTCCCCGCTTTTATTTTTATGTTTTTCTTTTGTGTCCCAATCTAAAGTTGGAAAAGTCGTAGTTTTCGGGCAAAATAATAATAATAACAATAATGATAATAAACATTAAAATTATGGACAGTTAGTTGAGACGAATGGTTGGTTAATTATTCTTCAGGGCCTGTACTTTTTTTTTTTATTTTTTTAGTTTTTTAAAAAAAAAAAAACTTTTCTATTTTGGGTACTTTCCTTGTTTCGTCTATAATAATTTAATTTCTTAATTCTAAATATAATAGTTGATGGTTTTGTTTTGTTTTGTTCTTTTTCCTACCCCATAATGTTACAGGAGTAGGTGATGTACTTATTGTTGTTGTTATTATTATTAATGTTGAAGTACTGGTAATTATTGATTGATTGGAAGCAAGGTATTCTGGATGATTTCTTTATAGATTTATAGATTTACAGAAAACTGTGTAAAATAAACGAACTTATAAATTATTAACTTCGAAATGATCATTGATAATTGTAGAAACTTCAAAAAAAAATTAGCATATGCATGCATCTCTAGATTTTACTTTTTACTGATTTATTTACTCGGTATCATCATCGAAGTGAAGCAAAAGCGAGAGGAAAGGGGATATTTATCTTGGAGTGTTTTCAAAGAAAGAAAACAACATAATTCAATTTTTTTTTCTTTACTTTTTGTTTTTTTCTTACTTTACTTGTGGAAACTTATGCAATATTTTTTATATTTTAATAGGAGCATTAAGTAATATATAGGCATCTGTATATGTGTCTGGTTTTTATATAGGCTCATTCGTGTATTGATATGCAATTTTGTTAGTGTGTTTGTCACTTTTATCAAAGGATTCATTTGTATTCTTCTGATATATACATTTCTTCTTCTTCCTCGTTCTTCTTCTTTTTCTTTTCTGTCCGTATTAGTTGTTGATATATAAGTGTTAAACATTGCTTAAACCTATACAATAATGATTCTTCATATTTGTCAGTGAAAACTTTTTTTTTTACATGAAAATAGTGTCTATATTCAAATTGTATATACAGACATAGGTGATCTCTAAGCTCACATTGTCGTGAAGGGACTTAACTTAACGTTATTAAATTATTTCTGTACTCTGTAGTTCTAAATATAATAACATAATGAGGGGTTCTCCTTGTTCTAAAGTAAGTCTTCTAGCTCTTAATTCAAAATTACTACTTCTTTTTGGTTCCAGGGGCGAAATCTTACAATGGCCTATTTTATAGTCTATACCCTATGTTTTACTGGGTACCATGTTGTATGTAACTTTTTTTTTTCTTTTTAACTTTAGCAAAAAAAAATTTTTACTCCACTGTGTTACAATAAATATCATGAACATATCTACAATAGTCTTCATAACAAAAGTCTTTAGACAAATAGACTAATAAACATTTTGTTCAAAAAAATCATCTTTTTTTTATTTGTATATATTCTTGCTTCAACAAATATCTATACAGTCAGATTTTGTCAAAAGGGGCTAGAATGGCAAAGATTGTTTGAAGAAGAAATTTAGTAAAAGTATCATTACTTTCTTATTTTTTAATTATCTTAACATACATTTCAATTTAAAAATTCAACATATTATAGTTTGTATTTGTATTTTATGCAACGTTATTATTTCTCCAAATTGTATAAGAATATCCTTATAGATTTTCTTCTCTTTCAAAATCTCATATATGTATATATATATATGTGTGTGTGTGTATGAGCATTAAATACCGTTTAGAGATCGTTGTAACCACCCAGTAGCGTGTCCTTTCACTTCTTCTATTTACATCTCTGCATAATCACCGATCTTCTAATATGTTTATCGTCTCATTAGCTTTCTTCATTCCATTGTCAATCCCATTTAAAATATATTTATATAAACATGCATGACTAAAAATTTATCTATTTCTTGTTAGTCTCTATTTATTACCATACTTTTTCCTCTAAAGCTAGAATTTACGAATTCTCATCGATTCCATGAACTTGTTCCTCCAAAATCGTTCTTACTGTGTTAGATATTTTTATGATTTTTAAATTTAAGTTATTTTTAATTTTGAGTGCTGGAATTTCCTTAATATCCATCTTCAACTTCCAAAACTCTAACTTTAAAATCCTTATTGTGTGAATAGGTGCTTGGATTAGTGCATATTAAACTGTACTTTGTTCCTGTATTACTACGACTGTCATTATTATAATTCATATTATTACAAAGCAATATCTTTGTTAGTGTTTGATTAATATATTCACTACTTGGAATTATAGCAATTTAGTTGTTGTTTTTGACTATGGTATAGCATCAGTAGTCAAAGATGGAGATATGAAATGGTTAAGATTAAGTGGATCCAATATACTAGTAAGTCTACCTTTAGAGTTGGCATTTGTGATCGTAGCAGCAGGTATCACTTATGTATCAGTGGAATCAATCATTTTTAGGATATCATTTAATGATGTCGTAGATATATTAGAATTATTGATAATTCTATCATCAGTTGATAGAGGTTCATTCGTACTGTCATTATGAAAAGGTAGAATACTATTTATTACTAATAATGGCTGTTGTGTTCGATTATTTGTGTGAAAATTTTTTTCCATTTTTTGATTTCATTTGAGTTTAAAACAAAATTGTTGTTTCCACAAATATATTTCCTAAAAGGGACAAAATAGGAACATTGTAGGATGTGTAATCCAGGGACAGAGTTTAACATATTTGGAACTTGCTATGGAACTTTTATCATTATTATTACTTACAAACTTAATATAGTGTAAGGGTTATCTCAAGTAATATACTAAAATATGGATATTAATTGTATATATAGACACTTACAAATCATATAATTGGTTGATTCTAACTATTAGATAGATTAGTCTTGGATGTTCGTCTTGTTATTCTATTCGATTAACCTGTTAGATAGATTACAAATATTAATGCTGATAATTACCTCTGGCACTATCTCTCAAGAATCAATGGTCTCTTATGTAAGCTTCTTAATAATTCGCCACCAATGTCTATCCGACGATCATATGTTCGTTCGAGCACACTCACAACCTTGGGCCCAGAGTTTCAGTTGTTCCGAGTTCTTCGCTTCGATATTAGACATTACCCGTAGATTACGTATTTTAGGATTTCCAGTTAGAGCTCCTTACATAGAGGTTGCATTTACATTTTGATTATTGGAACTTATATTTGTAAATAGGTAAGTAACTGGTGCAGTAACCAGGGCATTACTATTATTCTTGATATTATTGTTATAATGATTGTCAGTACTGTTGTTAGATGCTTTTATTTGACTATTCTGTGATAGCTATGATGAAGAATCATTTGTAATTGATATTAATACATGAAAAATGAATTGTTTTTCTTTAGATATTTCCAAATGATCTTTTTTTCGATATTCTTGTCTCTTTTGTTCAATTATTTTATTTTGTTCTAGTTCATATGAAATATTGTTAATTACTATTTTTAACTTTTGTAAAACCTTTTTTTTGTATATTAAATAAATTTTTATCACTTTAAGGAATTGTTCTTTCATGGCAATTTTTGTCATCTGATTCACTCTTTAAAACATATGTAAATGATTGGATGAAAATTCCATACTGGCAGTAAATAGCACTGATAAAGAATTGCTGTTTGTCTATAAAAGCTTTTTAATTTTTTCCTGAACGTTTATATGAGAAGAAAGCATGGATAATCTTGATTTATTTACTCCATTACCGATCAAATTGTTGTTCGGTCCAATAATTGGGTTATTTGGATCTAATTCAGCTTTACCTGTTGTATTTATTTGATAAATATTGAGCAAATTAATGTTATTTATTGTTTTAACTATATTAAAAGTTGTGATAGTCAAATTTCCATGAAAAGTATTGTTTGTTTGATTATGCAATATATTCATATGGACTTGTGGAAAATTGATTGTTGTATTTTTTCATCTATTAAAAATTTCCGTTGAGATTGATTATTGACAATGAATTATTAGATGAATTTAGTTGGCTCATGTTCTGTAAACTATTGATAGTAGTGGTTTAAATAGCATTCAAGATCGCATTACAGTCAAAATTATTAGTAACAATAACTATATCGTTGTCGATACCGTTATTGTTTTCACCACTTCAATAGTTGTTCAAAATTTGAATCTACCAAACACTTTTAAGTTTGTTAGATAGTGGCTTCTTTGGAAAGATATTGGTAAATCCTATATTTAGTGATGAAAGACAGAGAACCATGTCTTTTGTATTGCCCAATTCATAGGGGGACTGTTTCTTATGTCTCTTCTTATCAATATTGGCTCATACAATAACATTATCTATTTTAATAGGTCTTTATCTTATGCTATTTGAGGCATCAA